GATCCGCTATTAACTTAACCAGTAAAAAATAGTCACATAACACCACTTTTGCCGCATATGATGACGAGTCTGTGAGGAACCGTTGTACATTTAGCTTGATGGGAAGGGGAGGCACTTGGTGAACGATGATAAACACCCATGTATGCGCTTCAATTTATACTGTAATTTATCCGGGAATGTTTCGATAAAACTCCTCAACGATTAAACTTTTAATTTGGTATGTAAAATATCTCTCTTTTATATTTGGAAAGCACTGATATTGAAAGTCTCGTGTACCGCAAGCATAAGGTAGAATCGAACTTGAGTATTTTCGAAAAAATTTAGTCACAAAAAAGTTAACACAACCAACTACTCTGGAAAATGTCCTGTGGTAAATTTGCCAAATGCCATTGCCACAGTGACGTGGTGTAGATACATGAATCATACTCTAATTAAACTGTCAGGTGACACAACAGAAGTTTACTTTTGATCTTGAAAAAAACGCACCTCGGTTACATTCGCAAGAAAAGTGCAACTATTAGTAAAAGGGAAAGAATGTAAATGTAATCAAAGTATTGCAAAATTTAATCCCCTAGGGAATTTGTGTCTTATTCATCTTGCAAAAATTCCACGATGAGCTATAGGGAAGGTATGTAGGGGACTGTCAGCGATCGCACGTGAGTGAAACCTATTTACTGATTTGATGATGTCAAAACTCAAGCCTGTTTCAGTGGTTTCTGTTGACAGTCGCCTGTCGTATACTCACTCATTCTCGCATAAAGACGCTTGGCTGGCGTGACGCTAAAAAACAGTTGTAGCCGCTGTTGCTGTTTTGTCTCTTCTCAGGTTCTTATGGACAGTTAACAATATGAGTGGATTTTCGACGGGAAAACAACTGATTTTGCAGAAAAATTAAGTCCTGTATTTGTTCTAAATTTCGCTTACTGTAATTTTAATCGAATTATCAAGTGTGCGTGTGTGGAACACATGCTTTGAGTGTCGGAGCAAATCTATGAGCAGCAGGTAGATACGTGAAAATCACTATTACCACATAGATGTTATATATTTAGGATCAATGGCGGTTAGATTAGTAAAGCGAAATTAAACCAGTGACAATTATCTAGAAAGTTTTAATTAAATTCGTCTTATACCGTCAGGAATTTTCGTTTAATTTTCAAGATCAAATGAATTAGCTGACCCAAACAGATTGGAACTAGACTCTGGGTGAGTTAAGACTTTATCAAGTATGCATGAATAAGAAAGGCACAACTAAATGAGAAATTTCCGAACATTGCGACTTCTGTACGTGAGGTTTCACCACAGGTGGCAGTGGCAGATTTGCCTTAGTCTACTATGATCACCTTAGCGTTCAAACCACGGTTTATCAGTTAGGAAGCCTCAAGTTTATACCTGCGATTGTACATACTTCTCTCTTTGTTCTCTATTTTTATGAGCACTAATCCGGCTATCACGATGTCTTTTTGCAATTAAAGAATCCAGAAGACACCCACTAGGAAAGCGTGATATGCTAATCAACCTTGTACTTTCCTGCTTGGGATAACTACTTAGTAGTACGAACATTTCGTAGCCCGGTTTTGGTAGTGCTTTGCACTTTGAAGGCAATTTGATGTTTGAGGGTCTCATTCAGCCAATAGTGTGCGTTGAGATAAATTTGTCACCATCTAACCTACGCACCATTACAATAAATTACATGGTGTTTTCCTTAGAAGACCTCAAGGTGAAAGCAAAATTTTATTTTCCCTACGAGTCGTAAATATCATTTAAATGCTTTTTTCTATGTGAACTTAAATTTAACATAATCTGGTCGCTTTTAATTTTACACCTATTTTCCATACCCTTTTAACTAGTCAATGTCAGAGATCAGAATTTACTAAAGTAACTACTTAAATTATGCCAAATTAAAGCGCCGATGGTTTGCGCCAAAATGCTTGAGATGGGCAATAAAGCACAGTGGATTTTGTGTATTAAAAAAATATGTGCGCATGCTGCACCAACTCAGAGTGAATCGTGTCGATTCGCGTACATCCCCTCTGTCACCGCCTTCTCCAACTCACAGCTCCTTTTTCAAAGCAAGCCCGTCAGTCATTCACTTCTGCAATTACCACCACTACTCGCTGCATCCATCTTGCCATCCAGACGTTTGCGCTTTCCCTAGTCCGTCCACACTTTACCAGTTAACAAGAACACACGAGTCACGCACTACCTTTAATATACGCACACGCCGCAACATAACTTGGTAATGTTTTTGGGTAGGTTCGAATTCTTTCCATATTCACATCAATTCATTCAGCATCGTAATCACCATGAATCAGTTTCAACCCACATTGTCAGCTTGCTTGTTGGACAGGTAGTATGGTTTAAGTGCATCTTGTTGTTGTTGACACAAAAAGTTCCAGTACACACATTGCACTTCCTTTGGGTAATTCAAACGATTTTGGTATTATCAATTAAGGTATTTGCACTTTGTATACATATCACGTGCATAAATGCAACCGCAACCCGGCTCTACCAAAATCATCATTTCTGCCGAATTCGAAAAACCCCATCAACGCAAAACTCATGGCTATTTTCAGCAATGGGAAGTGGTTGTATCTGACAACAGGTGGTGACGTGTATTCATCGTTTTTAGTATGCTACTGTCTCCATTTAAATTAGTCATTTTGTACAAAGTATTTCAAGAGGCAATATTCATCCACCAGTCCGCCGATAGATGCACTAGACATTCGAAACGTATCAAAACACCAGAAGGTTGTGTACGAAAGCCCACTCTCTGAGTGTATCTTGCAGTACGTAGTATGGTTCAGGGTCTTAAATTGCAGTGAGGTGACCACGATGGTATAAGTACTGGCCGAGACTTAAACCAAATGTCAAATAGACTGACAAGTGAGAAGGGGAACATTACATTTCCATAACTTAAATCAACTGCATAATGACTGGTTGCCTGAGTTTAGCTTTCACAGGAATGTTTGGCAAGACTTAATAAAATGTGGCACTCATTTATCCAATGACATCATCAGAAGCAATCGAGTGATTTTCCGACCTCCCAGAGTACGCTTTGATGGTTGCTTACTTGTACTCTAATAGAGTGCCACTCTGTTACCCAAGTATCTCAAGGACATTGATTGACTACTATGGAATTTTTTGGAAAATAAATCATTGTAATCTTCTTACTGTGCATCCAAAGTATTTGCAGACTGTCTGGCAAACACCTGATTGACTAAACCGTAAGAAAATTGTCACCGATACATAGATTTAGTCAGAACTTGGCATTGCGATGCAAAGCAGTACCTAATTTGGCATTACAAATTGGAACTTTATTTTTATTTCCTGTCATAACCTTTTTTCAAGTCATTTCTAAATGAATCCAATTACTGATGCTTGAACTAATCCACATTTTTGTTTTAATACCGTCAGGTTGTTGAGTTCTCACTAAAGACACATTTTATTTCCTATTAAAAACGTCTAGTTGATGTAGTTGTGCTAAGCCTTATTCAAGTCCCTATATTTTATTCCCTCATAACAGCTCTTTTGTGAAATCTTCAAGACCAAGTCGTGTCGATGTTGCTGATGTTGACGTAACTCCCCTGATCATTTCCGATCCAGTCAGAATTAAACTAAATGTAGTGAGAATCGGTCGAAAATGTTTAGTGGTTGAAGCAAAAAGCCATATCTCTACATTTTAGGTGTTTTCAAGGCTAAAATTGGGGGTTGGCCGGTTATCCTCGTATTTTACGCAGATCAATTCGGCTCTAATCGGAATGGTCTCCAAGCTTAGGGGTAAAGAATCTACACAATGAGTTTATTAATTGCAAGTGCAAGGTAGATTTGATCCGAGGAAGTAATTTATAAGATTAATGCTCGTACCTACCGAATTTTCCACTGACAAATTAAAATTACCTTTGACCTCCTAATATAATTTTTTTCTAAAAGCACAGAGCTAAAAGGGGTGAACTGCAGCTGAAACACAAATTCCTTATATCCAATAAAGAGGCTTTTTTTCTGGAAGTTTTAGTACATAGATTTAAATGGGAAAGGATATGAGAACCTCTATATCTTGCTGACTGAAAACACGGGTGAATAAGTTGCTGAGGTTCCATTGACTAGCAGAATTCACGCAACTTAGAATCTCATATGCAGCAACCTTCGATAGACCTTGAACAGTTGCAGAATGGTTAAGATTAGATTTCCTACAAACGGCTGACAGTTGATTTGAAACTGGCTCAAATCCCGCGTTTACCCATCAGGTTGAAGTGACTTGCTATTAGAGCCTATGGCTCGGGTTATGGCTAATTTGAGAAAAAAAGATTTTTAATATGCTTTTATCAAAAGGATTTACGATTCATATTGCAATTACCAAATAAATGCCTGTTGATTCTGGACTTCAGTTTGGTTTTTGCCCAGTCGTAAATATTTCCAATTATTTCCCATTGAGATTTTTGACAATGTTTACATTAGGGATTGTTCCGTAAACCCTTCGCTGTTCTGTCATGTCACGGTTTCATCCCACTGTTTCTTTTCAGAGTATTGCTCAATACAAGCATTTTTGTCTGCTTGTGGTGGGCTGTAAAAGGTCCGGAATCGGTGCTACAGTCTCCAATACAGCATTTAGGCACACTTTGGCTTCAGCAGGTAATTATAGTTACGCTTTGAAGTGGCGCCGACAAAGTATGACATATTCTTGAGTAAAGAACTTCACTAGTCGGCTCATCAAAGCGAGTCTTCGCTGCAGATTACGCGTTGTGACGTATGTTGACTGAGATAAGGTTAATAAGTGACCCGTTGATACCTTGACATGGTGTAGCCTAGCCCCCTTTTTTATTTCAAATATTTATCGATCGTAAACAGTTTCGCATATCACTTACGCTCCTAAATTTTAGACTGTTGCGAATTAAAAAGGATAATTTAAAAGGCAAAATTTTATTCACAAAATATTTGCTTGGATTATTCCCACTTTGTGTTATTAGAAGTCATGCTTTGTTTAGTTTGTGTCTTGAGGTTTCCTAATGCCTCTTTACGGCGGCATCCACGTTGTGCATCCTATAGTAAACACCCTTGGCCTCCATTAGAGCTTCAGGAGAGCCGATTTCAGATTCCTGACCATCCTCCAGAACCACAATGACGTCACAGTTCTCCACAGTGGTGAGTCGATGCGCCACAACGAGGCTCGTGCAGCCACTCTTGGCCATAGCCTTGTCTAGTGCAGCTTGCACGATGCGCTCCGATTCGTTGTCCAGAGCTGAAGTGGCTTCGTCTAGCAGAAGGAACTTCGGTTTGCGGATGAGGGCTCTGGCTATTGCGATTCGCTGCTTCTGACCACCAGACAGTTGAGATCCCCTTGCACCAACTGGAGTTTCGTAACCCTAGTAAAGGTGTTTATTTATCTCTTAAAATTTGACTTGTTATACATTCAGGACTACTTAAATTATTGTCATCAGGGTATGCTCTTGCTAATGAGTAGCCAATTCAACTACAAGAACTGTCTGATACGTAAATACACCATCAGGACTCATCGAGATGCAAACAAATTTTACCGGAAAAAGCAACCAATAACAGTCTTCTAATCAAAGCCAAAAATTGAACATCAATGCTTCCACACGATGACTAGATGACTTGTCTATCAAGTAGCCCAACGCAAGGCAAATCCCATATGCTTGAGACAAAAGACAGCAATTCTAAGGCCTACCTGTGGTAGCGACTGGACAAAGTCGTGAACGTTTGCATCTTTGGCAGCAGCTATAATCTCCTCGAGAGAAACCTCTCTCGAGTTATCTCCGTAGGCGATATTTTCGCGAATTGTCAAGTCGAAGAGGTTGGGCTCCTGTGAGACAATACCAATCTGCTGGCGAATCCAATTCGGTGCCAGGCTGCGGACGTCTTTGCCATCCATGAAAATCCCACTGTTGGGACCGTGAGGCGTGACATCATAGAGACGTTGGACTAGCTGTAGAAGGGTCGATTTGCCACAGCCAGAAGCGCCGACAAGAGCCACAGAGTCCCCCGCATGGACGTGGTAGTTGAATCGCTGGAATGGCAACGAAAGATATTCACGTTGCTTGGCTCGTCATGCTTATAGCTTCTTTCTTGCCAATTTAATGATGCGAATGCACACTAATTTCATTGCTCGATGAACCAATACATTCACGGGGGAAATTAGAGCCTAGACTGACGCGTAAATAATGACTGACCTTCCAAAATCGGACTCATTATTTGCTTCTAGGAGACCTAGATCAAATTAATCAAGTTCTACATAAATCAAGACCCACACATACCGTTGCAGCCAATAAAATTTAGATATTTTTAGTACAACAAACGCGATATTAAACTTCCAGTAAAATATTTTCATATTTTTTTGAAACAAATTGACATGAAAATTCTTGTGGATTTCTGAACATAGCAACCATATGTCCACTCTTTAGCACAAATTCTTGCCTAACTCAAAAGCATCGCCATTGAAGTTGCCAACGTATTCTACTTTAGTGGTCATGCACGAATTAACTTGATAGAATTCTTTTCCGTCATTGCATAATCGCGCAGTTACATACTAATATACTTGACTGAAATCGTTTACCTGACGTGTACACCATAGTGAACTAATGTGAGAGTCTGGGATTCGGTATACGTCTTCACACAAGTGCAGAGCATGTCGCGAAGTTGTTTAGTCGATTCATTTTGTCATTTATCTCTTAAAATAATATCAGCAATGATAGACCTTAAGTTTAACTAACGAGAGCCAAAGACTTAATTGTACAGTTCAAAGCATGATAGTGTTAATTTTGAAAGCAACACTATAAGGCGTAGTCACACTTGAAGGTCAATTATGCTTTGCGGTGCTATGGAAATGGAAATTCAGATGCTTCTATGAGTCACTCGTATTATCATTCAAGCTCAACACGTACTCAACTATGTGTTGTGTGTTAGTAGATGGAACTAAAGTGTATGCAAAGTTGACTTTACATCAGCCTTACCCGGAGGACTTTGACATGTCTGCGAGTTGGATAACGGAAGTAGACATTCTTGAAGACGATCGAACCGCTTAGTGGTTTGTCAGGATATTCACCCTCCGTGACGTCTAGTTTGGTCTCTCTGTCCACTGTTGCGAAGACGGAGCAGATTTTTGTGGTCGCTTTTTTGAATTCCGGAGCCAATGCAGCTATTCTGGTCAGGCCCTGTGAGCCGAAGTTGAAAGCAGAAAAGGTTCTACGAGAAGTTGAGAACAGAAGTTAAAATTCACGATGATTATACTGATTTGATAGACCAGGCTCGTTAAAAACGACTTCCTTGAAACGGAGACCAATACACCAGTCAACCAATTTACCATCTTAACAACATGGTAATTTGATATGAATTACTACCTCGGTAGACTACCGCAGCAATGAAAAGGAAAACCCAAGTGCCTAGTTGACTTGGCTTCCTACAGCGTAAGATCCAAAACCCAACTATGAGATAATGTTCCAAGTAGCTGTGTTGATTATGTATAAATAAGGGTCTTATCCCAATGTTAAATAGCATTTTATGTAACTGTGCCAACTGATTAGCTTTCAAAGAGAACTCGCTTTTATTATAAGTGCAATATAATCGAAGCTCCTTTTTCCCCACCATAGATACCTCAGCGGAAAATCCAAAAAAGTAAATTGTAGAGAAGTTAAATGTTTCATATTTCACCGTTAGGACGTTTTCTACGAAGTTGACACAATGTTCTTTTAAAATTCGCCGTATTTCAACTTAAATATCACATAAGTGCTTACTGTGTGTTCCACTTTCTATGCATGAATTCGGGAAAATCCAACAGTAGTTAACATGAATGACCTGTTATTTTCACCTTCACTACCTGTTCACAAGCAATATTTGTGTGCAATTGTGAAACGACCGACCTCAAAAAGGATGCTTTCCTACGAACACCAAGACGGCCTGAGGAACTTGTGACTTGGGATACACATTTCTGTGTAACAGATAAAAAACTTCGAACATAAAATCCACTTGTTCAAGTCCTTTCCTTGAAAGCATATCGGTAAAAATGCAAAAAATTATAACAAGTTTCACAAATAATTAATCAATATACCTGAAAACGGCAATGACAGGAAGACCCTGTTGCATTAGTAAAGCGCCGACGTAGAAAGACGCGGCCGTCTGGAAGTAGCTTAGGGCATTAGCGGTGGCGTGAACCAAGGCGTACAGACAGGCGTCTTTTATGCGTTCCCTACAGAAATCATGAAGATCGATAAGATTTCTAGCGAATCGTGCCGGCTCACGACCACCAACCCGGTCATCGCATACTCCTACCCACCGCCCCCCTTTTCACAGTGTGTCCGTCAGTCACGCGGGACCGTCTGCCCACACACTCTGTGTGTGTACCTCCCCTGTCGTCCGCTTCACGCATCTGGCCATTCAATCAGATGTACGTCTACAGGTTCACCTAAACTGTGTGGGTCAAAGACCAAATCAGTCATACACAACTTCAAATTCACGCACGCAACACTTCAAAACTGGGTTGTCTTCCTGATTTTTCTGGCCAAATTCAACGCAGCGGCCCCAATGTGGTTCAACCCCCATACCGAGGCCTTCAACAGATTCATTTTAGCGAATACCAGTGATTGCTGTCAATATTTGCTGGGTAAAAAGGCAGTCTGACAAACCAACAGTTGATTACGTTAGGTGATTTTGTCGGTGTTGCTCGTGGAGCGATGGAATAGAATCCTCTCTATTGGAAGCTCAAGTCGATGCCTTTGAAATTCTGAATACGTTTTTGTTACTCCGTAGAGTAATGCAAGTTCCGTGATATCAGCATTTACAGCATAAGTTGATTAAATTGTAGGACAGTGCATCCCAACTAGACACAACAGAGGAACCCAATGAATCTATACTTTTGAAGTGGTATAATTCGAAGAGTAGATTGATGTTTAGCGCGTAGAATGAACAAATGCTCACTTCTTAGTGGGGCCTGATTTTTCAACAAATTTATTGTAAAAGTGGTCTTCAAGGCCTAAACTGAAGACGGTCCGTTCGGCTGAAAGGGACTCTTGCACCACTTGGGATCCTGCAACCTCACGAATGTTTTGGGCAGCCCGAAAGTTTTTCATCTAAAATTCAACGAAGAAAACGGTTTTGTAGTTGCAAACTACTTACGACGATAGTGTAAATTACATTGTAAATTCTCAGAATTTAGGTGTTTTAATCTCGTGCTGATTTATGATAAAAGCAGCGGAATTAAAAAATGCTCGAAGCCGAAGTGCTAGCTTCAATATGGAGTCTCTTTTATGTTTGACGTTGACACATAAACTGTCGTAATCGAGCCGATTTGACGTCATATTTAACCTCATATGAATTTCGTATGTTCCCACTTAGTAAATACTTCCTTGAGGGGAATCAGACAAAATTCTAAACTGTAATTTCAGGAGAGGCGGATGCTTTGAGAGCATTGAATGTAAACGCGTTATTGCACCTTTTAAATGCTTTCTTGTACACTTTCCTTAGCAATTCCTTCCATATTTGACTTCTATGATCTTCACTGTTCTAACTTGCCTGCAGGACACTGCTCACAACGATAACAGGAAGAAAACAGATGTTGACTAGAGTGAGCTGCCAGCTGTACGCAAAGGCGATGACCATGGACGCGACAAGTAAACAGACCGCCTCCATCATTGACCCCAGTTGAGCCCCTGTAACTGTCTCGAGGCTGGAGACTTCTGTCGCGAGTCTCGCTGTAAGCACACCAGGCTGATTGGCAACCTGGTCAAACCAACCGGGTTCCTAAAGAAGACAAAGTTCGTTAGGTAACACATCAGATGAACGACTTACAACCCGTGCTAGATGTCAATGGTTTTTGAGCCTTTTTTTAAAAAAAACATCTTGATTTGCATTTATCAGAACGAACAAAAAGCACTAAGATAGTTTGGTGTTTTTTTGGCGTGATACTTTCAGCAAATCCTTATATGCTATTTAACATCAAATTTATAAAACCAATGAAAATGATCAATGACTCAATATTGGTGATGAAGGGTGAATGATCGAAATCCATAACTGAACAGTTCACAATTTACTTTACGGGTTAACGATGCCGTTTTCTTACATCTATTCTTGCATGAAACCAAATCTAGTAAAAATACTAACTAGGAATCATTAGACTGATTTTGTACCATTCTAGGAAGCTAGAGGCTAGCTAAATTTTTATCCTCGGGAACTACTTAACTTGAAATACAGAAGAGTGTTCAATTGTAATACAACTTAATCAGTAAAATTAAACAACCTGGAAAAAATGATAAAAGCCGAATTTTGCCAAACCACTATAGAAGTAAAGGCTACTTAAAATATTCACTAGTCAAAACGACGCTTTCTCACGCACCGTTCATATAAAAATATTGCAGAATGAAAGTGACAAACATTTAGGGCTAGAAAATTGCTGAAATCAACAAACAAACCTGTTTAATCATGGCATCAAATAGCAAACTTCGAGTTCTTTGCGTTAGTTTGGACCCAGCCCATCCCAAAGATGTATTCTATTAAAGAATGATCAAAACCTCAGTAAAAAATACCAAAACTACTCATGTTAGTAAGAAAATGACTCGAACATACCGAAACAAGTTGTGTTATAAGACGCACTAACCCCAGCAAGGCCATCATGCCAGCAACAAACTCGGTTGGTTTCAGTTTGTCCTCTTGACTAAAAATCTAAAAAAGTGGAAAGAGGAAATTAAGGCACCTCTGGGCTTCAATCCTGCGTGTCTACCACTTATTAATTAATTACTGTCAGTCTTGATGGCTGAGGAAAAGGGTGTTTTGAACCCTTTTTGAACTAGACCCAACGCGCGATTAATCTAGGCGGTAATTATAAGGCAGGTTTGAAGAGATCCGGGTCTGAATCAGATTACACCAAGGCACATCATCGCACTGGTGTTAAAGTATTGTTAAATTTAGCAAACTGTGCACTACTATATGTATATATCCAGTTGTAAACGACAAGTTTGCTTACCTCGAACATTTGTGAGTAGAGAATAGAGAAGCCTGGTTGGATAAGCCCAGAAATTAATGACACGATCAAGCCAATGAATAAAACCGGGAACTCTGGTTTGTTTAACTTGAAAGCTCTCCAGAGAACGGTATTCTACAAGAAAGTGGCACCAAGTTTCGTTCAGGGACGTTGAGTAAGGAAGACTATTACTTAACGACCGTTATATATTAATTGAAGTGATTCAAGATATTCACCCAACAATTTTAGCTTTGCTAGTTAAAAATAGAAGACATATTGATGCTTGACCGCATCGATTACTTTATTTAACCCCAAAGATTTCTGGGAGGTAGACCTTGGATATCTCCGAGTATTCTATTTCCACAAAGGCGAATATTTGCCATAATGCTGTATAGACCATATGTTATGCAAATGACTCTGGTACCTTTTTAGCGGATGCTCCTACAATTGTTAGTTGAAGTATACCAACAACACTAAATTTACTGTAATTAGACAAACCCTTAGCGTTAAAGTAAAATGTAGAAGCCCAAGTTAAATCACCCTATCTTCTTGGCGAATATTTTTAAGCATTCAGATGCTAAGAGGTACTTCATCCAGGTAGCATAAAAGGAATCCGCTAACCGCCAGATGATACACTAGAGCAATGATGAAACACCTCTCAAGATCGACTTAGATGTGACACCAGATATCCAAAAAATGACGCACCTGCGATGTCGACGCAATGGAGGACTCACTCGAGGCACAAGTGAAGACACTCTCAGTCTCCGAGACGGGCTTTGTGCGCCTCCACACGCCGCGCTTCTTCTCGTGTGTGAAAGCAGGCGCGTCTGGTTCGGCGTCGCTTTGTGGTTCGCTGTCGGAATCATCGTGATCCTTCTTCTTCTACATTCCAAAATATACAATGCTTAACTTGTGAGTAGGCGTTATTAAAATTTCGAAACACAACCTGTTGACTTACTCTCATCAGAACTTAGCTAATTTGTTTGCTTAGATGACCCAGTAGGCCAAATATTTGACGGAATTGTCTTTTCTATTACTGTTCATGTGTGGTTTATTATTTGCCTTGCACAGCTAGGAATCTGGGTTTCACTGCAGTGAATGCACAACTACGTTCGCAGAAAACTCAAGTGCAACAGACAAGCCCGGTAGTTAAAACGGAAAACTACCTGGTTTTGATTGACTTTGATTTCAAGCTTAATTTGCTCTACATAAATGGCAACATCAATAAAGTTTTAGCCGCATCAGCAATAACTACCTACTTCTCAGCTGTCCAATCAAGGCTAAATATTTTAATCCAGCGTTATTCTAGTGATTTAAACAGGTAGTAGAGACAATTGGTTGACTTGATCTCCTTGATGAGTTAGTATATGAGTTTATTAATACTCGTTGCTTTGGTAGTCCCAACTGTTTCAAGAGCAATCCTAATATTAAAGAGTTCACCAGGTTGTAGGATGCATTTTTTAAGTATCACGAGACAAGCGATAAGAAAACCACATAAATCAAGATTTAGACCAGCGTGGCGATAACTACAAAGCGATCAATACATACAATTTACACCACATTAACCTACCACTTAGTGTATTACCGTAATAACGACAACGTCAGCTATGGTGATGTTGGAGTCACTTTGGGACAGTTTAAACAGCCGACACTGACCTGTGTGGAGAGCATGTGAGCATAGATTCCGTCAAGTTTTACGAGCTCATCGTGTGACCCCACTTCCTTCACCACGCCTCGGTCGACAACGATGATTTTGTCGGCGTTGCGGACAGTCGTCAGTCGGTGCGCCACCATTATAACAGTCCTCCCTTTACCTGCTTTGTCTAGGGCCTCCTGGACTGCTCTTTCAGAGTGCGTGTCCAGCGCCGATGTTGCTTCGTCCAGTAGCATGATTTTGGGGTTTCGAATGAGAGCTCTTGCAATGGCAAGTCGCTGTTTCTGTCCACCAGACATGCCTCCACCGCCTTCGCCAATCATTGTTTCGTACGCCTAGAAACGGAGAAGCGCTTAGTAGTACTTTAACTAATCCAAATAATATGTTACAGGTGTTCGACAGGGTCTGATACTCGTCAGTGAGGTTAGCCAAGCATTAAAGCACCTTTTACATGAAATACTGCTCCTCTATTTCAACACTTGCCTGATCATTCACAAACAGAAGGCCACTTCTCCAGAGGCGATATAATGGAATAGATTATCAGGTTATTTATTGCTTAGTGACTTCCGAAGACTACCCGTAAATTTTTAGACATCCATTTATTCAGCATCCACAGGACAACTCTACTCATTACCTAGTTAACCAGATGATTTTTTGGTGATTTCTTGAGTAGTTTTGGCTTGAATAAATTAATTTTATCCGTGGGCGAAATTGGAACTCACGTCCTGCAGAGCAATGATAAAGTCGTGCGCGTCAGCAAGCTTTGCAGCGTTCTCGATTTCCTCGAATGTCGCATCTTCTCGACCCAAGTTGATGTTTTCCTCGATTGTGCCAGCGAAAAGCACAGGTTCCTGAGAAACCACTCCAAACTGCCGCCGCATCCACTTGATATCAAGCTCACGGATGTCGTGACCATCGATCAATATCTAGTAAAGGAGGTTGTGAGTGATTTGGCTCGCAACATGCCATCTATTAGTCAAACACCCATGATGTAACAACTTAAACACACCACAGCACTCTGAATATTGTTCCATAACTCATGAACCACCAATATTTAACGGTGGGGGGACCTAATACGCCGATTTACGCCCACGTTGCCTTCTGATAGTTCTTTTGGATGACCGAGTGCCTGCGCAAATGGTCCACGCAGATTTGACGTGTGAGGATAAGTAATGACTCAGGAAGCGATAATGAAGTGTCACAATTACACAGCAATCATGCACACCCGCGCACACCACTACCATCAGCCTGTGGAGACTGTGTGATAGGCAAAAAACTTTCCCACAGTGAAGCGCAGCGAATGCCGCACACGTTGAACTATCAGCTTTACAGATAGTGTTTACAAGGGAACCAGATTTCTTCTTATAAAAACTTTCCGAGGCTTGCAAGAATAGAATGGAAAATGTTGGAACTTTTTATCGTAATTGCGGCCATGTGCAGTCAGGCGAACCACCGCCGATTCAGGACTATCTGTTCTGCCTTACCTGATGCATGCTAAATCTGAAATTCACCTCAAAAGATTTTCACAAGCAGAAAGCATTACATAGCTTTACAAGGAAATTCCTATTATTGAGAAGAACCAACTGTTGATTATGTAGTTTACAGTTATTTAACTTGCGGAATTCACAACTAGATATTCTCGCGTTAACATTTTAAGATCGACGCTTTCGACAAAAATCGGTTTCGTACAAGGGCATCTGTGCTTCTTCATTGTTTTAATTCTCAATTCGATAAAATAAGGTAACTAGCACCACTGTCATGGTAAGTGATTGCTCGACTGTGTGCACCTCAATGATGAGCAAACATGGGTTTAGATCAAACCGAAATTGAGTGCACCATATCCGTAGCCCATTAAAACAAGGCCACTTCAAATACCGCTGCCAATAAGTATGATAACTAACTTGTCCTTCACTGGGATCGTAGAAGCGTTGCAAAAGCTGAATAACGGTACTCTTCCCAGATCCACTTGGACCGACGATAGCGATTGTCTGACCGGCCTTTATCTTCATGGAAAAGTTCTTTAAAGTCTGTAAAAAGTTATGAACGAGGAAATAAGATTAAGTCTCCTAAAGTGGGTATGTTGTCAATTTAATCGTCCCTAAATCAAAATTTAACTATATGACAAGACGAGACCCCACTTCATTTCACTCCACAAAGGTAATATTAATCTTGGTTTGGAGAAAATTAGTTCCAACCACAAGTAGTTATGAAAATATTTCAGAACATTTGCCTTAGTAATATGTATGCAAACAGTTATTTCTGGAAAACCATAGCAATTCCTTCAGTGTATGTCTAAAAACACGATCAGGTAGAACTTATTTGATGAAATCATTGGTCAAAATATGATAAACTCGTTTCCTATTTAAATGATGACGCCTGTTCTGTAGGCGTTTTGACGACTGCATGAGATGCACACGAAGGACCCGCAAATTTGAATCCCTTGTTGAGAATAAAATAACACTTTGGCCATTTGACACCGGCTTACATTCGCCAATTTCCTCTCTCTTAATGGCCCTTGCTTATAAGGCTTTCATGAACATTGTCGTTGTGAAGAACCCAACTGTGCAGCAAGTAGAGTGGAAAATCTGTGTCAATTTTACCAGCCCCTGGGTGACAATACCTCAACCAACCACAAGTAACCTGAGCTAAAGACTCATTTTAAGATAACCAAAATCAGGTCTCAAGTTATTCACTGATCGAAAAACAGGCGTTCACCAAGGCAACGTGAAGAGAATTATTTTTAAGGATTGCAAATACTTCCTGTGCTCCAAACAAAATTTTGTTGGTACACTTATTTGGAGTCATTTTCATGAGCATAAAGTGCGCCTTCTGTGAAAATGAAAACTAATCCCAGCCACAGCCTCCCAAATTCACCTCTTAAGTCAACACCTTCTCCATTTCCCAGAAATTAAATTTGAACTCGTACAAGACTAACTTATAAAGAGCGCGCATTGGCAGTTTATTTAAAAGATGTCAGAATTGAAGGTGCATGAAAGTGCACCGTCTATTATTCACCTTCAAGTGTTTCAATTGGCTATTTTGACTGGCTAATTAAAAAAGATTGTAAAAAACATGAAAAACTGTCACCGCTGTTGGTGTGTAAAACGCTATAGTAACCCTGAGAAATGGTAACCACATGATGCTCTAATTAATGGAAGCCATCTCTGATAAGACAAAGTAACTACCTTCGCGAAGGCCCTTGGTACTTTATTTTTGTAAGATACTACGAAATCACACAATCATAACCAGCAAGCCCGAAATTTTGATTCAAAACATATTCCTAATCTCTCCCTCTTCAGCCCCATTAAAAGGTGGAGCAGTTTTGTTTGACCTTCGTCCATAATGAATGTTCTGGAAACCTTTTGCAAAATTAGGTACTCCCATGTGAAATGTCATTAAAAGTTTATTTTAATTTTAACGGTCTTCTGGTTAGCTAATCTCCGCCTATTTCTGAACTAGTTGCTAGCGTTTTGCAGAAAGAACCGTTGAGTGACTGCCATATTCCTGGTTTTCTGTATGCCCCAGTGATCGCATAAATAATGAGAATATGTCGGAAAAAATATGATGTCTTAAGCAGAATCGTTCACCACGCACTAGACTAGGCTTTTGATAGACTTTCCGTAGGCGTTGTGGTTCACCATTGTGGAACACAGGGCAAATTTTCTGCTGAAGTGCAACGTATTAGTGACATGGTTCTGCAACACCATGCTGAGTGTGGTTCTGTTTAACTATCTTACGTTCTGACAAAAAAATTGAGGTTATTTAATTTCATTCAAAGTTAAAATAACTTGTCAATGCTTGTTTCACTTGAACAAAACCCTAAGCAACCTTGAATCCACTAAAACAACGTCCTTGGGAAATCAACGGCAGAAAGACTTTCCTGATTATAAATGATTACTTGGATGTGTCAAGCCAAGTAGAATTATAAAATATGTCAATCATGAATCGCTATCAGGGCACAGAACCTTTCCATTCGTTAGTTGCTTTAAGCTCGACACTACCTTCGTGTAAACATATGAGCTAATGGTGAACAGTCGTTGCGGGTAACGCAGCATCACTACAACAAATACAGCAGCTGCATATTACAATTTTTTCTATATTTTATGTGCTTAAAATGACGTAATATGTTTTGCGCCAAATTGTCGCATATTTCAAACAAAAAACGTACCACTATATCCGGTCGCATTGGGTAGGAAAACGTGACATTCCTGAACTCTATATTCCCCTGCATATTTTCTAGCTCCATTCCTTGTTCGTCCTTGTCAATTTCGGGAATCTAAATCAAAGTGATTAAAAACCGCTAGACACGCTTCCCCTCAATAAACACAAAGCTCCTTCCTGCAGTACACATGCTGCTGTTGTTAGAAGATTCCCTCTGTACCTACTTTGTCACAGGTGTTTAATTCTGCCTCCCTAGTGGCTGATGGAAATTGTTGTGAAAGACTAATTGATTTAACCTCAGTTTTTTTATTTAAGGTAATTTGTAGGCAGCTCTACTGACTGCGACTGCTTAGGCAGTTGAGTGTCTCGCAAGAACCGGAGTGTTGACGATTTACCAGCAAAGTGATTCTCTTTACGCATTTTTTCAGTAACCAACACTGGTTGCAGTCTTCGGGTGACTTAGAAGCGTTAGGGATTTTGTCAGAATAGTCAAGGAACAGGAACATAAGGTCAGCAATAAGGGTAAGTCCGATTTAGGGGCGAAAGCCTTACATGAATGGTCTGACCGAGGTGGCAATGATGTTGTAGACCTCCGATATATTTCAAATTTATGAATAAAACCAACGTACACGTTCGATGATATAAAAGGTGCCTGAGGCAGCAGCTTTGGCACGAGTAAAGTACGAGAATTCGGGCAGAACCAGGCCTAGAGCAATACTTCCCACCAGGAACGCCAAAACCACCTATGTTGAAATAGGGAAATAACCGTACTTATGAGATTATCAACGCTAGCTGGTTCCTTGCTCTCCGAGACCATTCCTCCGCCATAAACATCCCATAATTTTAAAACTTATGAGCAATTCAAAAGATCTGATTTAAAAAGAGTGCTGAGATTGAGGTAATTCGTGAAGGGGAAGGTAAACAGCTTTGCTGATCGCTCCGAGTGGGAATTACCAAGGCACAGCAAGGATACGATTCTTCCAATCTTTGCAGACACGTTTTCACCTCTGGTATCACTACTAGGAAGTGGGTTTACCAAACAAATGCGTTTATTTATGTCCATTAATGCTCTAAAACACCTAGGTAATACCGTGCTTTCACAGACTTCGATTATAAAGAATCTATTAGCTTCAATTGAATATTTCGGATTTCAGGCTTAGTCAATTTCAAAAAAATGGTTTGGACAAAAACTTAAAAAAAAATGATCTGCACCATAAGTGTGGTTCAGGTTTAAAAAATAAATTGTTTCCCTACTAAAGTGCATGTGAAACATCTCGCGTACATATCGATCGTCAGTTAACATAAAGAGTATGTGTTAAATTCAGATTTCACATGGGCGTCACGAAAGGAATACATCAGTTGAGTTATCCGTTTAGCCAGAAATCGTACGTAAATGAAGAGTGCTTTAATCATTTGCAAAGGAATTTGTGTAGATGCAGATCTAGTTGTGTTTTCAAAAAACTCGAATCAGTGCAATGGTCAAATAAGTTGCATGGACATCTCTAACTTATGTGGTTGAGAGATGAGCAGAAGCAAGACTCACAGAAACGATGGTTCCACTGTCAGGAGACCCACTTTCTACCATCTGTTTCACACCAAACCAAAATGTCAGGCCTGATGATCCAAATATAGAACCGCCAATTAATCCGATGCCTAAAAAGCAGTGTAAAAATTTGACATGCATTCATTACACTTTGGTTTTGTCTCTATTTGCTAAACTTCTGATTGCTGCCCCTATTTGTGCACAAAAAACACGAGAACGCCAGCGTGTATATTACAAAATAGGACATTATATGATGAACTATCCCAGCTTTCAAGGTTACGTCAGGAATTTAGGTTTTGGTTCGATGGACAGGTCCGTGATAAGTTACTTGACATATGTTGAATGTGATACATTAGACAATTCTACAAAAACCAAGTTATGAATTGCTGCACCAGATATTGAATTCCATAGGGACCATATGACGAGAAGAATAGTGTACCATAGTGGAAAATTGGACTTACCAAAACCAAGCATGACATTTTTCTTGAACGAGACCTTTGCTGCAGAACCCAGTTGAGATCGATATCGTTGCTTCTCTTTCTCCTGACCAATGAAGGCGAATACCGTTTTTATGGAACTGAACACTTCGCTGGCAACATTGTTAGCAATTGAATAGGCCTTCTGTTCTTTTATAGCAAAGTTGCTGAGGGTGAATCCCATGACGAAGAAAGCCAACACAATTAATGGTGCTGAGCTGAGTCCGACTAAGGCAATTTTCCAGTTGTTTGTGAAGGCACTCACAAAGCAGCTAATAAACAGGGCAAAGTTTTGAAGAAAACGTCCTAGACGTTCGCCGATTCCTGTTTCAATATTGTCCACATTTGACGTCAGTTTTGTAATGATGTCGCCCAATGCCTGGCGGTCAAACCACGGTACATCCTGACGAAGTATTTGCTTAAAAAGACACAACAATTGAACTAGCCGGTTTTTTGGCCTAATGTTTAAGAAAACAGTAAATATTTACCTTAAACAGCATCAGACGAATGCGCCGACTTTGCCTTCTGGCTGAGAGACTAAAACAAAACATCTGAATGGCTGCCACTATAAATGTTACACTGCCCAGCAGGGCAAAATTGCCAACCACACGAGGCATAACATCAATAGGAGACGCAGTGGTGTTTGTGAAGGCATTCACAACATCCGAAAATATGAGCAGATTTACCGGAAATGAACATCCGACAGCGAGACCACAAAGACTTCCAATTACAAGCATTAAAATATCAAATTTGTCAGCATATTTGAACTATTTAAAACACGGTTAGTTTTTTCACAGTTTGAAGTACCAGTTGAAAGAAGGAAACGCTAGTAGACTCGTCAAGACTAAAAACTTGATAATATATCAAAGTATAAAATACTTTAGGTCGTCTTCAAGCTTCACTGTTTCAAAATCCTAAAATAAATGAAACCAACGCGTAAATTAGTTAAGCGAAGTAACGCAACGGTGAAAGAGAAATAATCAAAGTAGTTTCGAAATTAGTGGTGCGTTCTTCTTCGAGGTATAAAGTGGCATTAAACTTTAAATGAGTGATTTAAAAAAAATTTTATACTATAATGCGTTCTATTTTAAAGATGCCCAATAAATATAGTGCACATTCAATGAAACCCATAAAAAAATAAAAAAATGGCTCGCTGACAAAACGCATTTCGATTAATAAAACTGTGGACTTCGACCAGGTAAAGACAGCGAATAGATTCATGATAGCACATCACTAGCAAACCCATTGCCATATTTGGTTTTATTATTCATCTCAAATTGCCTATTATATATTGATTAAAAAATAATTTTCAATCATGTCATTAGCTTAGAATATTACTGTCATGCAGTTAAGACAATCATTCTCATAGTCATTATTTACTAGATAAATCGCATCTGCAAAAAATGAAGTAGAAGGGATTCTAGGGCTACTTGAAAAAATTCTTGCCTTAAAAATACTAATTGATCGAAGATCAGTGAGACTAATAGAAGGCGTACATTGTAGTAAAAAAACAGGCGTGCCACAAAAGTAGCCAAAAATCTGCTTTGTCTAAATAAGTTTGAATAAAATTACACTTTGGGACAGAACATAATGAGTGAATCAGTAAAAATATATAGATAGTTCTTACATTTATATCATAATCCTCTTCCTTTTCCTCGGAATTTCTGCCTAATTTAGAATGAACAAAACTGATACATACTCCACAGTTCCTTTCGACCGACGCCCTTTCATCGTAATCGCCGAATGTTCGAAACGCCGCCTAATATTTTCCTCAAAGTTTTTAGCAGATTAAAACAATGGGTTTTATCAAGCACGTAGGTTATCATGTCACCTGAAATGACTAATCGCGTAAGTCTTATTTTGTGAATATTTATCCTGATTATCATTTATACTATAAAGATCAGATCGTGTATCATTCCAACTTCCATTTAAAATCTTGAGATGCAAGAGCAAATTTAGGTAAGATAATTAGCTATCTATTACAAAGCATGAGCAAAGCTCATAGGTTTTAACTGCATGTGTGAATTGGGCGCTATTATATATTCCAGATATTTGCTTTCAACAGGGCATATTTTTTACCTAAAGACATTAATCACTACAATGAATATTTGTAATTGACTCCTAAAAAATTTGGAATATGAAAATAAAAGCTGTGTTTTAATTATGTGGATAGAAAATTGTTTGGGGGGCATAATTCACCTATACAGCTTCTTCCTATCAACAAATTTGTAAATTCCTCGTTATCTGAACTGTTCACACAATCACACCATTAAGACGACCTTAAAATTAAGATTACTTTACAGTCACAATATATTTTTGTCGACACAGTCAAATCTACTCTTAGTGGTTATCACATCACTCCTTGGACCAAGATCGCCGAAACTTATATAAGTGGCAAAAAAACGTTAGGGATTGTGTCTACAGTTTTTGGCCAGTTTTCATATATCCTCCTCCTCGGCCGTTGATTTAAATCTGATAATATACATTCATGTACCTGAACTCTAAACGCACGTTCTTCTACCGGTAATCGCAACCGTGCTATCCAAAAAGTATTGTAGTGAATCCTATTGATTCACGTCCAATAACTCAGTAGTCCCAGCTTCCAGCACACGGCCCCCCTTTTCATGGTATGCTCGTCAGTCACGTGAAGTCGCCGGTCCATTAACCCCTCTGCATGTACAACCACCACCACCACCCGCTTTAGTCAATGAGGCTCACAGACGTCCGTGTTTATTTTTACATGTCCACTCAACTGTATCAGTAGACACACAACTTGGCTGAGCTGTCTAGTAAACGGTCATGCCTGCCATCTCTGGACTTATTTTCTTCCCTGGATTACTTTGTGTGGTAAAGGGCCTTAACGGCACCAATTAAATGTAACAACAACCCCTTTTCCTAACATTTCCAATCAACTAAAATCACTGTTTGATGGTGGTGTATAAATTAATTCGTTAAATCATTATTACTAACATTCAACACCTTTTGCCGCATGTATATATAACCCGCCACCTTTTTGCAGTTTCTTCATCGTTACTATCGGCATATCCAATCATTCACCCATGTGCACCCTCATTTTATCACCCTTTTGGTCATCTCCCTACCTCACTTTTGACAGGATAAATATTTCAACACAATATATTTATCCCTTCACGATATTAAATGCGCACGCAAATACAACAGGGTTGAGCCATTAAATGAACGATGGCATTTCCGTCATCTTTTTGGAAATCTACACAAACATGTAGTTCAAAAACAATCTGGCAACTCCGAGATCCATACCTGGGTCTTTACAGTTCGATACACACAAACTGTTTAAATCAAATTAATTCCGTCCTTGAATAGGAATATTCTGGTCGAATCATTAATTATCACAAAGGCTCCAGTGGGATAAAATTGAATTGTTCTACAATTTAATAACCCCAAACTCAAATATTTCGGGAAAACAATTATCTGCTGGATAAGGATGTAACATCCACCATCTGCTTATTTGTAGCAAATTTTTAAAGTTGCTGCTAGCAAAACGTTTTGTCTTAGCTTATTTGACAATTAGACATCAACGAATTTATAAAGTTCATAATCTGATACATCCAAACATTGTTCGGAATAATTATGTACTATGAAATAATATGTTGACACATGTTCCCAGAAGCGCAATAGGTATTTAAGAGTGCATATCTTGCTCATGTTATGATGTAATGCAGGCTAGTTCCTTCTTCATCACTAATTTTAGCTTTCTGTTATGGGCCCAAGTATGTAATCTCGAACCACGCCGGGCCACTGAGTTGCATCGGGCCCGATCACGCTACCCTGCCATCCGCGATGAAGAAAAAGATTGGAGAGGACCCGGACATGACCGTTTATTTTAGAGCTTAACCAAGTTGGTGCCGATGTGTCGTGTGTGGGGTTTGCGCGTGTGTATTTATAGCTCAGGTGTTTGAAATAGATGTGCTAGCATCGAGACCTAGGTGTTGTGATAATCTAGGATAATCGTTCGCGTTAATGAGGAGGGAGTTGTGGTTCCACTCGGCCGATGACAAGCTGTGAAAATGGGGACATTGTATCGGAGGCTGGAGTGACCGGATTAACGAATGGGAATCAACACAATTCGCAACAGTCCTTTTGCTTAGTAAAGCGATGATTCAGACAATTTACCAGCATGATTTTCACACATTATTACTAGGGTCAGAGTAGGTTTATTTTAAAACTAGCTTCTGCCTGTTTCTCACCCGTATAAACGAAATACCGATCAATTCTGCCAAGTACAAATTATTTATTATCCTTTCTTAAAGACGAGCTGGTAAGAATTTCTTAAAATAGGACCTTGGTTATACTTTGTAGGTTCACTTAATAGCAGATTTCGCATGTAGATGTTTCCCAAAATGCTAACTTATGATCTGAATACTGACCTTATTTGTAGATTTCCTTAAGAACATTTATTTAGAATCTCCAGCGAAGTACTGTTTTCTTTATTTGTGTTGGTTCTAAACATTGAACAAAGCCACTCTAGAAGAAAAATCTTTGAAGGCCATCGAAAGTTATCTGAAGTGAAAAGTTGACAAATCTAGATCCGATAAAGTGTACGGTTTAATTAACTGCGGCATCAACATTATGCAGTGTGTAAAAGACTCCTCGTGCTTTCATCAACGCTGAGGGCGGACCAGATTCGACCTTTTGGCCTTCCTGAAGTACAACAATCATGTCACAGTTCTCCACGGTAGTGAGGCGGTGGGCTACTACAAGGCTTGTGCGGTTTCCACCTGCCATGGCCGCATCCAGCGCTGCCTGAACGACACGTTCACTCTCGTTGTCCAATGCTGACGTTGCCTCGTCAAGCAGGAGAATGCGTGGCTCTCGAATAATAGCCCGAGCGATGGCCACGCGCTGCTTTTGACCGCCAGACAATTGAGAACCACCTTGACCCACGTTTGTTTCATAGCCCTTAAAAAAGGCCGCAAAAAGGCAGGAACTATTTCAGTTCTCGTGACTCCTCATTCATGGTCAATATAATCAATAAGAAATGGGAAGAAGTTTTGTAAATAGTATAGGTTTACCTCTATTTACCTATTTCTGTTCTAAATTAATGTTCCCTAATATTAGTGGGCCAAGATAAAAAAGATTTAAATGTAGTATGCATGTGGGAATGACCTCAGTGGTTAGTAAATGTATGCAAAGTAATGATTGCTGGTGAAGTCTGCGACGCATTGAACCTGCGTGAACTGATCTCGTATGCACGTTGAATTCTGAACTACGCAGCGCAATATCGCAATACTACATAGCATTTTTGATCACTTATTTTCGCATCACCTCACGGGAGTTTTCAACATAACATTGAGTAAATCTGTTAACTCTCGGGCAGGTCGAAAAAAATAAATGGGATTCAGCACCAGCAGGAACACATCTACAACTCAATTCGGTTGGGCATGAACGACCTTAACAGTTTGGTGTTTTAATATATATGGATTGTAGTCGCATTGCATGGCACAGATCAAACTTCCTGATGGATAACTTGCACTTAGATTCCTTTTTGTTATCAAAGTTAACTACGCCGAGTTATTTAGCCAAGAAATTTGTTGGTGTCTTCCAAATCACTTACAACTAATCAAGAACAATATGCTTCATTTGGGCCATAATTTTGAGCTACACTGCAATGGCACCATTTTAAAACGACTTAAACTGGTAGTAGTAGCAGTAGTAATGGTTAAAATTACCTCTGGTAGCGTCTCAATGAAGGAATGAGCATTGGCCTTTTTCGCCGCGGCAATGATCTCCTCCATACTCACTTCGCGCGAGTTGTCACCGTAGGCGATGTTTTCACGGATGGTGAGATCGAATAGGTTCGGCTCTTGCGAGACAATACCTATTTGCTTTCTGATCCAGTTTGGTGCCAGGGTACGAACGTCGCGTCCGTTCATGAAAATACCGCTGTCCGGCCCGTGGTTGGACGCATCGTAGAGGCGCTGCACCAATTGGAGTAGGGTGGACTTACCGCAGCCTGACTGGCCCACGAGCGCAACCGACTGCCCCGCCTCCACTGTGTGACTGAAACGCTGCAAGCAAGGACATTAGCAATTTGACCACGTGGTTGTACTACGAAGCTGAAGCACCAATTACTCTTAGAATCCGTGTGTTAGGCCTAGTCGGGTAACGGAAGTAGACGTTGCGAAACTCTATTCGTCCATCGAACGGTTCATCTGGAAAGTCACCGGCGTTGACGTCGGATTTCGTTTTTCGGTCCATCGTGGCGAAAACCAGTCTCACGTCGTGTGACGCCTTCTTGAATCCAGGTGCCAAAGATGCTACACGGCCGAGGGCCTGGCTGCCGAAATTGAAAGCAGCAAATGACCTAGGAGCAAGAGATGCAATGCTAGTAGGTCCCAATCAAAGCACACCGTAAAGAGCTTTCTGCAAATAAACTACCAGGAATTTTTACCTTTTTTAAATACTGTCTACTCCCGACAACAAGAAAACTCAGTCTCTGTTCTGATGTAGGTTCTGAATTGTTCAACGCAGTTATTATGCAGCATTATTATGTTGATATATTTAATAAGTAAATTATGGGTTAAGTCGAACCCAAACCTATCCAAAACATTGGTTTTCGTTGGATTTTAGTGGATTTTTAACATTAAGTCATTTAACTACAATTAAATGTTCCATCCACGATAATTTGTTTGTAAAGACTCACAACGTCAAATATTCGGGTCTTTAGATGTTCACACAACCACAGATTCACCTTTCTTTTTATAGGAAACAAAAATAGGTAATGAATCAACGCATTAGCCAGGGTGCTATTAGGAATTCACCTCCGCGAACAAATCAGTAGCAGATGTTTTGTCGTTACGGCTCGACTGGGGGAGTAAAACTGTTAAAGAACAAACCTAAGAAATTTCTTGGCGTATAAGGTGGAGCTCAACATTTAAGAAATACAGCAAACTTGGAAGAGGGGTTACCGGAATATTGCAAGCGTGGTGAGTTGACCTTTTGACAAGAGGACGGCGCCAACGTAGAAGGTGGAGCCCGCCTGATAGTAGAGCAACGAAGAGGCGATTGAGTGAACCACAGCAAACATTAATGCCTCCTTGTAGCGGGCACTACAATGATTGCAGGGATTGCAAAATTGCAGACACAAACCAACCAATGTGATTCGACTTATAGAGGATTAGACGAATCAAAAGACGTCTGATTTTCCTGAACAGTACAAAAAACACCACCGACAGAACTACCAGTGAAGTGCACACAGTCAAGACAGAACTTCAAGTCAGGTTTCCACCAATCAAGAAGACAAACCGAAAATTCCTTAGTCTTTTGGCATTACACAGTCGCTGGAAAGGTTATGTGAGCTAAAATAAGTTCATGCTTATTCGCTTGAGGTGGTGCGGAGCGCAGACAATACAAAAGCATTTTAAAATGAGACAAACATATTATCATTTCTACTTTTGAATATTATTAGGTTCATCACTTATAGTGGTATTCAAGTATCGTACACAGTATCACACAAAACTCACGAAGGAGCAGGCGCAGACCGCTTACGGAACTTTTCGTAGAAGTGCGATTCTAGTCCAAAACTGGTCACTGTCTTTTCCGCGCTGAGGGCCTCTTGAACCACCTGAGAACCTGCTACTTCGTGACGCCCGATACTTGCTTTTAAGTGATTCATCTAAAACATTTAGTTAGACGCTTGGATTATTTAGGACGCTCCTCTGATCCACATTTAACGATCAAAAGCGCATCTGCAGTCAACGACATCTAAATTAAACTGATTTCTCTGAAAAAAATTGTAAGACTAATTCTGCAGATAATAGGAATTATTATTTTAAGTAAGCCTTCATTAAAATTAGAGAAATGGGCTGACGTATATGGAATGAATTTAGCTGAATTCTCGTTATTTGTGGACCTGAAACCCTATTGCAACTCTGCGTGACGCATAAGAGTTCATAGATCGTATTTTAAGCGCTCTCTAGTTTTTGAAGTCGGTACAGATCGCAGTCAAAAAAGCAAAGTAGGTACCTGAAGTGCACTGGAAATGACAAGAATGGGCGCAAAGCATAAATTGACCAGAGACAATGCCCAGCTGTTGACGAAGCCGATTACAAGGGAGGCAGTGATTAGGCTGATTGCCTCCATCAATGTACCCAGTTGCACGCCAGTCACGGTCTCTAAACACGAGACTTCTGTCGCAAGACGAGCCGTTAAAATTCCCGGGCTGTTTTCCACGCGATCGAACCATCCAATTTCCTACGAAAAACAAAATGAGGGTTTTGATTAAATTCTGCACTTACCTAGTTTATGGAGTGTTCTTTTACCAAGGTAACGATAGTGCTGGTATTAGTAAAGTAGAGAGGTCCTTAGGTTCCATTCGATTTGAAAAGAAAACAAGCCGCAACGTAAGCTATTACCTTGGCAACCATGGATTTTTGATCAAGCTGTTGAAAGACAAATACTTCCTACTAGCACCACTAATAGTTACAAAGTGACTGATTTGCTTCTCAACAGCTATGGTTTATTTTGCAGGGTATAGCATGAGGCAACCTAACTTTATTAACTGCCTGTTCGATTTTTTTTAATTAACAAACAAAAATGTCCATGTTTGCCATCTTTTAAAAAACCAGGTCCTATTTAATCGAATGTTAAGTGGGGATAGGGAAAATATGTTCTAATCAGTCTATTGGCTTTTGGCTGAAATGATGGTCAAAATCAAGGCGAAATGATCGAATTCCAAGATATCTTACCTGTCTAAGAAGTGCACTAAACAGTAGGGATCTGGCTCGTTTTATAAGCCTCGATCCCGCATACCCAAGTGCGCCCCCCTAAAATGTTTAATAATTAAGTCGTCATAATCCATCAAGGTTAAAGAAAGTACACCTTAAAGTACACCTAATCACACTTAAAACGTGTTTTACAATTCCATAAATGTCAAGTTGTTCGAAGTGGAAAGCATTATTCATCTCCACACATAAGAACTATACTGCCCATCAACGGGGCCACTGCATTGGATGATTTTGCGTGACAAGTTCTACAACTAGGTTTTTTTTTCAAATTTCCCAACATTGATTTGGTTTTACTGTTTAAACAAATGTGCGCATTTTTTGTAGGTAGATATGTACTTTAAAGCAATAGCGCAACTAAAGGTGAAGTTTGCGAACATCAAGAACTCTGATTGGACACATTCCGAAGTAATTACATTAAAATGCAATGCTTTCGGGAAGGGTTTTTAAATTACAAACACCCTTCTAGCGAAATTTGCTAACATGAAGAAGATGGAGACACCAGTTTTACAAATCGTACAGATTGTTGCAGAGTCGTACTCGTCCTCATTAACCAAGCTTATGCAAAATTTATCGGCGTTCCCGAGATCATAATTCCAGCAAGAAAGGCGTTTGTATATTCACATTACGTCGTGGATTTTATCTGGAATTCAAGTCCTGTTTGCTACATTTAGGCACACATATTTATGTCGAAAAAACTTAAAAATTCCTCAAGAGTGGTGATCTTAAGAGGGTGATTTTATATAAACCATTGTTAATTGTTTTGACAAAATAGCTGATCTCAACTACTATGCATTGTTTTGTCGAAATTGTTAATTTTAAAATAGAAAAAGAAACATTGCATGGTTTTCAACTTTCAGAACAGCGACTGCTTCGTTGCAAATTTCATAATTACATATCAGTTTGCAGAGCCAGCCATGAATGGATTAACCGCCTTTGTTAAGTCAAGCCATTTTATATTACTCAACGACCTTTAAAGACAACAGATCCTGGCATTTTAAAGCCATGTGACACTTTTAGATTTGATTATTCATATTAAAATGCAGCAATTGATGAAGTAAATTTAGAAAACTTCCCGTATTTAATCATAACTGACTTACCGACAGAACTTGCACCACGAATTGCAAAAATCCCAGCAAAGCCATCATACCGGAGTAGAAACTGGTTTCATTAAGCTTCTCTTGTGCAGTGTTATTCATCGAAAAGATCTACGTCGTCGTTAAAAAGTATAAAAAATAGCAGGATAATAAACACCGATACTAAAGCCCAGTACTTCCTTTTGATGGGTCGTATTGATAAACTTGAATGAGATGTAAAACGGAAGAGTCAGAGTTAGAATCGACGCAAAATGCAATTAAACCGTTTTGCAATCGCATTCTTAATCATCAGACCTTCCACTGTTAAGGCTGGGAGGTGTGCTTAACACATAAAAGTAGCAACTACACCACTGTATCAAAAGAGAGTATGACTAAAAACCATTCATCAGAGCTTGGCTAACAGGGTAGGCAAAAATTTTCATCTTAAACAGTTGTAAAACACGATCGATGAAAATATCTAAATGCTAGGTTTTTACGATCAACTATATGGCTCACATTCCAGCTTTTTTGGTAGGGAGCATTTTCCACTCCCTGGAGACGCAAATTATAGTGGGCCAAGAAAGTAACAAGGCATGGTACAGATAGATAATAATTAAATGTCTAGGCTGATTTGAAGAAAGCCATTTTATGCATTACCCTTGGGCCTTGGATATTTTTATAGCTAACATGGAAAATTGTCTTGGTCGCGACCATGAAGATGTATCAGTAAACTTGCAATCTGGGAGTGATATCCAGGCGTAAAGTGAGCCAGCGTGCCAGTTAAGCAAAACACAACCCATGATTGCAAACTATATCTTCACGTCGGTTGATAGACAAGTCATCTTGCCAACATTTCTTGGTGTTGGACTCGTGCGGGCACCACCAGGCCAATGCACCAAGAAGTATTCGACTCAGCAGGTTCTCAGCTGTGGCTCGGGATAACCCAAATATGGTGAAATTACTTTATGAGATTCGGGTGTTTTGTAACTAAGAAAAAAAGGTTATATATACCCCGAACATTTGTGAGTAGAGAATTGAGAAACCTGGCTGACTCAAACCGGATAGAAGAGAAAAGAAAAGCCCCGCAAAGAGGAATGGAAATTCCGGTCGGTTCAGTTTGACTGCTCTAAGCAAAACATTCTTCTATAATACAAAAAAATAGATGTTAGTTGTTTCAATAACACGTTTTCCCAGTTGCTTTAACTGTTAAAACGAAATCTGCTCTTGTGAACCTTAAAAGTACCTCTTTGGAAGTTTTTATTGAGCTGGAGGTCTCACTGAGGGTTTCAAGAACACTTTCAACTTCAGAATAGCGTTTGGAGCGCATCCAGACATTCCGTTTGCGCATTTCTTCTTTTGACATTCCAAGGGACTGGTCGATATTTCCCTCCTCGTCTGATTCGCGTTCCGTATCCGATTCGCTGTCAGGTTTATCCTATAAGGGCAAAATGATTATCCGACTATAATCGCCAGTACTACTTTTAACATTGTCACCTAGGGATTCATTCATTTGTATCATTTCCATTTGTTTGGCATATAGAAAGTCAATTGCCTTCACAGTAAAACCTTCGTGCCTGTCTGTTGAAGGCATTGACACAAAAATCAAGGGGTTTAGGCAGCTCAAAGTTGTGACATGATCGCATAACCCGATATAGCATCAGAATTTGAAGGGTTCCTGAACTAAGGGCTGAATCTCTAACGACATCAGCTTCTTCGAAGTGTCGAAAATATAAAAACCAAATCTTTGTGTGTAATCCTCGTCAGAACCAAATTGAATTCACATTTTACTCACCTGTGTTGACAGCATGTGAGCGTAAATGCCATTTAGAGCAACAAGCTGGTCATGATTGCCGATTTCCATAACTTGTCCTCTATCCATCACGACGATTTTGTTGGCATCGCGAACTGTTGTCAGCCTGTGCGCGACCATTATCACGGTCCGGCCTGTGCGGGCTCTGTCAAGGGCCATTTGAACGGCGCGTTCAGAGCGTGTGTCTAATGCCGAAGTGGCCTCATCAAGGAGGAGGATTTTGGGATTGCGAATAAGGGCTCTTGCGATCGCAATCCGCTGCTTCTGACCTCCTGACATTCCACCGCCGCCTTCAACAATCGAGGTTTGGTAGGCCTACGCAAGAAAACATAGGCTGAAAATTAGACTGCATATTAAGTTTGAGTTAAGAAGAAACTTGAGGAAGAAGAAAGAGAAGAAGGTCTTCTTCGTTTCCGTACCACCGACGAGCAAAATCACTTTAAAGACCACGAATAACAGGAAAGGGAAGCAAAAATAGTCTCACTACTGATTTACAGACTTTGGTAGATAGTAAACGGTGGTAGAAGTTTCAATATTTTTTCTGCTGTGAGGCCAATAATACTAGTTCAAGTGTGTGATGTACGTGTCTTATTAAGTAACGACTAAACAGTGAATATTCATCACGTGTTCTCTCAACAAAACACGGGCTGATGGTTGATAGAATCGAACCTGATACTAAATCAGCCCAAAGGAGATTCTGGTCTTTTATCGGATCAGAAACTGAAAACCATGATAAATGCTGATTTGGATTGATTGTGTGTGTGTGAAAGTTCTCCAACTCCCTTGTTTTATCGGTTACCTACGTGTTACCTGGGTTCAAACTAAAAGTGCTTCGTGGACAGTTGGCGCAAGTTAAATAAACCCATCTGGTTTCGCACACTAACAACGATTCCTGCAACAGATGAAGAATGAGGTAGCAAGGCAATGCAATCCAACAGCCAATACTTGTGGAAGTTTTAGGATGAAGTCGTGCGCATCGGCCATTTTGGCAGCAGCCTCAATCTCCTGTTCTGTTGCACCAGGCAGTCCGAAAGCGATGTTCTCAGCAACGGTTCCTGAGAAAAGAGTTGGTTCCTGTTGAACCACCCCAATCTGCTTGCGAAGCCAAACCAAGTCCAAAGTTCTGATATCTTTTCCGTCGATTAGGATCTAGAAGGTGAATAATTTGAGCGATTAGTCTAGATATTTATGGAGCACTTACGAATAAATAAGTATCAAGAATATGAGATTTAAGGCAACCAACATTTTGTGGTCTCATCCTTTGATTTTCCGTCAGATCTTAAAATTTCAACCATTGGACGGAAGTGCGTAATATTGTATCACAACGGGCTTTCCAGAAAATTTAACTAGTTACCTTTAAAAATGATTAAAGAAACCTAGTCAAAGTTATGCACTCGTACTCAGGTTGTCAGGACTGAAATTCATCCTGAAACAAATTTGGACAATCCGCTATCTTTGGTCAGTTGTTGTACACCTGCTGAGTAGAATCTTTAATATAATTTAGGCAAAACTATTTACCCAGAATCAATTACCGATGTATTTATTGCATTGATTTCGTAAATGCTTACATTTAAACCAGTAAAGGAAACAACAATCAGTACTTAAGGAGAAAATGCAAGGTTGATCTGAACTCTGCTCATTTTATTGACCCAAATATCAGGGATACTACTGAGCGTATCTAAGTATTTCGGCAAGCCGATAGATATATTAAAGGTTTACCACAACACAGAAAATTCAGTCACACAGTACCCGGTTCGATAGTAAGTCAGTAACCAGGCTAACTTGTCATAATCGCCAAAATCTCATAGGAAGCCAGATAACTTACCTCTCCTGATTCTGCATTGTAAAAACGCTGAATCAGTTGGATTGTCGTGCTCTTGCCTGAACCGCTCGGACCAACGATTGCAACAGTTTGTCCCGGTCGAACCTTGATGGACAGATTGTTCAGGGTCTACGGCGGCAAAGGTACTAATAAATGTTACAATGACAGTCATTGGCGGAACATAACGGCATCAGTAACACGAATGAAGCCAATGGGGCGGGTTAAATCGACATGGTCTGACTTGAAGGAAACGAAAAATACGAGGAGCCTAGTGTTTTCCACAACAGCTTTTGATCTTTTGAAGCTACTCCTTTCAACTAGTCGTAGGTTTCTCTACTGAAAGAAGATAGCCAATGCCTTCATAGTACAATGCCTTTTCCGTTTATGATAGGATTTGCACTTGATGTGACATTTGTGATGTTGGTTCGGTATAACCTTTTGTTTTACTACAGTGGTTTCGTTGGAACACTATTCAAAGTTGGACTAGCAGTAAGCGTTCACATTCGTTGTAATTAGTTATTCCTCAACATTTACTATTTACCATACCTGCTGCCATCCATGTTTTTGCTTAAGCTGCTGTTATTTACGCCTGCATTTTAAAGAATAATTTAAATCGCCTAATGAAGTTGACGGCGTAATTAGTTTTTTAACCTTTTTTTTAAATTTTATTGCTATTACAAAAACCAAATATTCTGATTTTGTCGAAAGTCCGTGCTTCTAATTGGTATTCAGCAGTACTACGTGTCAAGAAACATCAATAAATACTCAAACATTGAAATACTTTGTGTCTTTGTCTTGATTCGAACCTTAAGAGATTTCATCAACTTTCGAACGAATCAAGGTGAAAATGGTCCAAGGTGGTTTGGTAAGTCTCAAAAGTAACTAAATCGTCAAATGAAACAATACTTGAAAAACCCAGGAAAAGTCAAAAGAAAATAGTAATGAATCAGAAATTTCTAGAGAAATGCCAAAAGTTTAAGTTGGCTTCGTTGAGTGTGATTTTCAGTGCTTTTAATTGACTTTAGCACCCAAACAGTCAGCCAGAAGCGAGGTCAGATTAAATCGATGTGCAGAACTCCCCAAGGCAGTTTCACCACATGATTTACCACCTATCAAATTAGATAAACAGGTTCATCCACGTAAACACCTTACCTGGGCATTGTTCGTGGTGTTTTACTGCATTTTCTCAATGATGCTTCTTGCCCACCATTTTTAGACGCCCTTGGGATTCACACGCATGCTCTTACTGGTTTTCAAAAGCGGATGCCTTCTGGAGAACGCAGTTTGCATAGGCAATTGCTTTAAGCAAGTTGTCGAAGTGAATTTGCTTTCGCTATGACCTCTCGTGTCATGTAACGGGTCTTACACAATCGATGCCATAATTTACTCGTCATTATTTACCAATGATCTGCGTGAAACTCATACAAGCACATAGAACAGCTGAAAGGAAATTTAGCAAACCATTTTCAGCATGCAGATTTGCTTATTATGTCGCCATAAGCACCGATTATCCTTTCGGGCTTTTCCTTTTGTTTAATTCAATTGATTCTTCCCATCTTGCTTCGTGTCTTTAGCGCCGACAAGTAGAGTGTGCCTAATCGATCGTGAGGCATGATAACGCGCAAACGTCGAGTTACAGAATGACAGTATTATTGTTTTGTGACAGAAAAATGAGAACTACATCACGCTCAGTGCATTCCCTCTTTCCAAAAAGAGTTCTTCGCGGTGTCGTATTTGCATGACGGTGCGATTTTTGTACGTTTTTCTATTGATAACACGTTAATTTTCGATCAGTCAGTTTTAAATGTGCATTGGCATTTAATCCTGTTCAAAATCTTACCGTCATTGTTGGTCTAGTTGGGTAACGAAACGTGACGTTTTTGAATTCAATGCGACCCTTGAAGTTCTCGATAATTTCGCCAGGCTGGTCCTTGTCAATTGGGGGAATCTAAATCGCAAAACGTAGACGGAAGATTATTCTACATCGTTGCAACGATGTAGTTTTCACATTTCTGTCCTCAGGGTCGGAAGTAAAACTTAAGTGAGTTATGGAGACCCAGTGGTTAGCGTGAACGACCTCCCGACTTTGGCAAAACAAGTGAATCCTCACACACTGCCCTAAAAGCCCCCTTGTTCACATGAGACCTACTGTCCTTGAGTGCCTTACCCAGGCATGTTTTTGCATACGTGAAACTGTTTACCACAATTCCGCTTGGATGCTAATTCTATTCAAATTAGCTGTGTAAAAAAAAGAAAGTTCATTGAATTGTAGCGTGCCTTAGACACAACAACTTTTTTATGGACATCCTATAACATTTGTGCAGAACATGATTGTACCCCTGTGAACGTGCTCTATCATCGAACGAAAAGTAGAAGTGGAAGGCCAAGGTTACCCTTTCGATGATCCAGAAAGTGCTCTTGGCCGCAGAGGCTGCGCGGGTGAAGAAGGCGAATTCAGGGAGAACAAGTCCCAGGGCTATGCTGCCAACCAGGAAGGCCAGCACCACCTGAATGGTAAGAGAAACTAGCAAAGGCATTCTGGGAGTGCGCATGAGCAGGACTACGAAAGAACGCTACATTAGGTAAAATGGGTAGCGAGCAATTGCATGATCGTAAAGTTTGGCAAGCTGATTGCCACTGTGTTCGACATTCCTGATCAAATTCTACTTAATTAATTATATTCACACATGGAAAAACTAGGGATTAAAATGCAAAAATCTGCTTAGCCTCGTAAATAAGTGCAAGGTAGTTTGCAAAATGGCTGCTCTTTCCACGCATCGCATCAAATATTTCACAAATTTTAAGTGGGCTTTAAGGAACGGTGTGTCATTGTGCGACCGTTAAAAGCATTATTGGTTGAATAATCGTCGCCAGTTGAAGGAGTAAGTGTTACTTCGTCAATTCGAAAGGAAAACGATCTTTAAACACAAAGATATCTCTTTTAAAAGACATCATTCGGGAGGTGAAAAGCTTTTGCTCATTATTTCTACATAAGTAGTTAAAAGTGCCGGCACCCGTATTCTTTTAAATGGTGACATTCGACATACTTGATGACCTGATATTTCGGAATCATAGTGCAATCATAGGTGACCAGCAGGATGAAATTAGGCCGTGTTAAAACTTAAATTTTTCAAATAACACAAGTGAGTAAAACAAAAAAACACGCGCCGAATTTTAATAAAAGTTCCACTTGACTCTCTAATTCAGTTTTGCGTTGATCACAAAATGTCCAGCTGTTTCGCTTAGAGCAAGTTTGAATCCCGTGCTGAAATTTGGTTGCTACTTTGACTAGTCACTTGATTAGTGACGAGAGCTCTTGCTTGAATGTCAGATGTGCTCAGTAGTGTGGTTTGACGCAGAAATCACAGATTGCAAAATTGTACCAAAAGATACAAATTCTTACCGACACGATGGTTCCACCTTGGACACTAGTGTCGCCTTCAGTGATTAATTTGATGCCGTACCAAAAGGTGAGGCCCGAGGAGGAAAAAATGGAGAAGCTAATCAAACCCACACCTAGAGATAAAAAGGTTTTTCATCAAACCAACGTCACCACGATGTTACTCGAGTCGCTTTTGACTTGAAATCCCAATTATTAAGGTAATTGTCGCAGCCTAAATGTAATCGAAAGTAGAAAAAACATGAAGTGTACTCTGTCTGTGGGACTAAATCATCCTGAAGGTGCACAAAGAGATGGAAAAACAAATCTAAACTTTAGGGGTTGTGACAAACTGAGCAAAGAATCTGGAATAAGCAGTTTTGAGGAAACAGGCTTGGTCTATCCATTCAAAGTATTCTCAAATGAGATTGAGGTTTTTCGTGGAAGATCATTGCGGATATTTCAGTGAATGCAGTTAAGAATTAATTATTTTTAATTTAAGTTGCCTAACACAAGATACATCTCTATACACCTTCTACCGAAAACATCAATTTCTAAACACCAAGTCCAACAGGGTTTCAAGTTTACTGGGTGGTTGGGTGACATTTTGCCCATTACTAAGAACATGTAATCGGAGTTAAGGGGCTCTATTTACCAATGTACATTTACATGTAATTTTGTTGGAGAACTTTCACAATAATTTCCTTTTTAGTCGATTTTATCACGCTTTTGCGGTATTACTTATGTGTACTCTAAGTAATATTTTGCAGTACTCACGAAATGGGGGTTAAGGATGCACTGACACCTGACTTTACTGTTTTAAGGCTACGTTTTTTATCAATGTTTGTAACAATTAAGGTTGAGTTTGCTCACTACCCTCGTTAATAAAGGCGATGGCTTTGTTGACAGTGTTAATTAATGCCTAGTTAAATTCATAACGCAGCTACTTCTAGCTACTAATTAGCATTGTAATAACTGTGTTTGCTTTTTGGAATTTTAACTGTTAATTATTAAAAAAAAATTAAAGGGATGTTTAACTTAAATAACAGTAAATTATCAAATTCATTAATGCAACCCGTTCATCTCTATCTTTGCCCTATTTTATTAAATGGGATGATTATTTAAACTCCTCACCCTTTACGCCAATCATAGCTGTACTAGAAATATCTCTTAGTAGCAATTATAACATGACTAATCGCAAATTAATTACTAGTAGGTATTAGGTGTTTCGTTTACAAATGAGCTCTGGAAAATCTACCAGGTGACTTCCGTGAGGTTATGTTCCAAGTCCGTTCCTTGTTCTTCAACAATAACTGCTCGGTTAGGAAATCGTAAGATTTTTAGAGGTTGTTGGAAATTTTTGAATTTTGATGAGATAAATAATTTGTCGGGGTTAAAATTGCCCGTTTCACGAAGAAACGTGTTCTTTAATGATCTGACCACGTCATTGTTCCCCTTTATTTACTAAAAACCTCCCCAAAACTACCTGCGTCTCAAAAACGGAAACAAAATAACACCCTCACGGGTTATTTTAGTGAAGTTTCTACTGAAAATCATGCATTCAAACAACCATATTCATATAAACTATTGTCCATTGAATCGTATTCATCACTGGGCTCTATTCCAGAATGCATTCGCCTAGATACTGTGACCCACAACTTGGATTCCTCTGCATTTTCAAATTCGAGTGAGCCGTCAACAAGATGCAGAATTTTGGGTTCTACAGATGGCTCGTCTTAATGCAAATTAGACGGATATTTAGGTGTAGATAAAGCTGGCGTGAGCCTGAATTATGAACTCGCAAAGGTTTTGACTACCTCATCATATAAAGGCTTAAATTGCCTTGTTGCATACAAATATAGCCACCGATAAATTCATAGAGGATTCTTTGCAGAGACCTCTGTAACCAATAAAATTTTCTGATCATTAAAATTGGCTGAGACTTAACGAAAAGGGCATTTAAGAATGCGAATTCAGCAGAACCGTACCAAAACCGAGGACAAGGTTCTTCTTAAGTGAAACCTTGGCGGCTGCCCCAAGGTTTGCATTATAGCGCGCTGCTTCCTTTTCCTGCCCGATAAAGGCAAACACAGTCCTTATGGAGACAAGAACTTCACTAGCGATACTGTTGGCAAGCGAGTACTCCTTGTCTTCCTTTGTGGAATAGCGGCTCAGTCCTAGCCCCAGGATTGTGAAGGCAATGACAATGACGGGTGTTGTCGAGAGGCCCACAAGGGCTAGTTTCCATTGATTATTAAAGGCACTGACAAAGCAGCTGATAAACATAACCAAGTTTTGGAGAAAACGACCTAATCTATCGCCGATTCCAGTTTCGATTTGATCAACTTGAGACGTCAGTTTTGTGATAAGATCACCCATGGTTTGTTGATCAAACCAACCAATGTCTTGTCGAAGAATTTGCTAAACAGAGAAAACAATCTGCATGACATAAAGCGTGTATTAGCGGCTTAGCAAGAAAGCGTAATTGAATTGAATTAAATCTAATGCAATTTATTAAATCTGTAAGTTCAGCTACTCAAGTGCAAGAAAACATTAAAAATATGGTGGAACACGTTGTCTGTGCAATTTTCAAGTCATATGTATATCATATTTGACCATTTAAATTCAATGGAGTAAAACATCAATGTTTGAATTCTACCGTCCGATTCTATCCTAAGACGTCCTATGATTTACCTTCAAACCTAGTTCTACAATTTAAAATTTAAAAACATTGCATACAAATAAAATTTAATTTGTACACAATGAGATATTCTAGTTAGTGGGTACCCTTGCGTTTCAGATAATGGATCCAGGCTCTACGGCATTTTAATTTTAGCATCCATAGTTATCATAGGGGAAAATTAAAATGCAAAAAAGTCTAAACTAACTTACTTGGAATAATTTTAATCGAATCCTTCGGCCTTGGCGTTTCGCCGACAGGCTGAAGCAAAACATTTGCAGAAAGGCGAGCAGGAGAGTTAAAGAGCCCAGCAAAACATACCACTTTATCATTTCGTTCATCGTCTCCAAAGCCTTCGTTTGTGCGTCCAATGCCACAAATCCGTTTATAACACGATTGATTATTAACAAATTCAGCGGGAATGTTATTCCCACTACGCAACTGCAAATAACTCCCACGACTAGCATAATAATGTCAGCAGTGTCAGAGTAGCGGAACTTTTAGGCTAAAATAAGGGAACTAATTGATAAAATACCAGGGAGAAGTAAGTAATTTTCTTCTTGTCATTGTCAAAGAGTCTATTTTTTTATTCATATAAGGGCAAATGAAATCTTACGAATGGTCATATGAAGAGAAATCATCTCCGGATGAAAGTTCATTAGAGGATCTTTGTGCAGCCCTTCATTGGACAAGAAAAATATAAAGAAATAGACGACTAGTAAGCTATTTGATAAAACAATAAGCAGCCTAATCTTTGAATGTTTTTAAAACTGCATTCATCTTTGTAACAGATCCAAAATACTTGTACCCAACAGACGTCATTTAGGCTTTAGAGCGCCACTAACATTAAAAATCCTTGCATCTATAAGGATAAACCACAAATACCTTCCAGATTCTGTCGATTGCGACACCGCACCAACCATTACGGTATCGGCAAAAGCAGATATTCAAAAGACGCGCAACTGACAGATATAATGACCCCAAAATACACGTTAGTCTAAAGTAAAAAGTGTACAAAAGATTACAACTAAAATGATTTTGTATTTTTGAGCATTATTTACAAAAGTGTTAGCGCAGACTATTGCTAAAGCATTTAATCGTAAATTCAGAAAACTTATTGTAATGTCTAAAGTAAATAAAATTCATAAGTGTAAATTAAGGAGAATAAAATAAAATTTATGCATGACAATATACATCTATAGTTGGCGTGATTTGCATTATCAGCTATTGACTAGTAGTGTCAAGGACATGGAGTTAAATACAAATCAATGGCGAATTTTGAATTCATTAAAATCATTATGTTGCCAAGACGGTAATGCCAGTTCATTCGTTACCCTGTTCATTGATAGTCTGGATTTCATAGTCAATTACACACCTCCTGTCATTCTTAGTAAATCTCAGGATTTCGATTGTGACACTTAACTGTCCTATAAGCAGGAAGAGATATAACATTTAACCAATTATTTTAAATTAAAATTAAAAATCGTGGCAACTATTAATTCATATGCATCTATTAATATTTTCCTTATAAATTTTTTGATGGAAATATCTTGCCATACTGTGATAATAGACTATTGAACTATGTTTAAGCATCTGTGTCTGATAATATACTACCAAAGATTATGTAATAACACTATAAACGCTTTTTTGTATCATTTATGCGCTAAGAGATATACCCTGTATTGCGAAAGCAAACAGACGCTTTAAATTATTAATTAAAACTGACATTCAGGTTCGATCAGAGATAGTTATTTAAACAGTAGCAATTTACGGTACGATTTTTGATAAGTCCCACCTAAAAGCATTTACGCATATATCTTTTAAAATTTTTAGAATAACCTGAATATTTAATGTGGATTTTCTTTAACTCTAAGTTTCATAAAAAACAGCCCACAAAATTCCGCACTTTTTTGATAACCTTGATCGGTGAGTCTGAGAAACATCATTTCCAATAACTGCCAGATATTTCCTTTTTTAAGCTTAAATTTCCATATAATCCTCTAATGCATTTAGTATGTGCAGGTTATATTATTTTTATTATGCACTGCTTAAAAAATACCCTGAATTCCTTGAAAATTCAAGGACAAAATTCGACCTAAGTGGGCTCAATCGAAGCATTTTACATTTTGGATAGTAAGTTAATGCGACTAATTATAAAAGCATGGTTTAATAGCCCACGTGTTAGCTTTTTGGCCCAAACGTTAGTCTTGTTGTGAATCTGGTGCGTGGTGTACAGGACGTCTGTCATTCAATTGTTTCATGCAAAAAACGTGATGTGCCTCATTCCTATACATTCTCAGCAAGTTTTCTATTTACCAGCCAGTTTTTTCAGTGAAACAATAGTGTCAATCGATGTCTTGTCCTCGACCCATCATTGTTCAAAAATAACTTCGCCTGTTCTATCACATCTTAGGTGCATAGTTACTTATATAGTAATATACAAACCATTTTCGGCTCGTGCTCTTGACCCTGACCATTGTTAGAATTAGTCAAACTCGTTTCCTAGATTTTTTCACGGTGAATCTGATTAGGCACATATTCCATTATTTATTTGCCTCTTTTTTTCTTAAGTGGTAAAACGCTTTGATTATGGTCATTTGCTGAAAGTATTTTTAAGACCTAAAACTCCGCATTTGTCATGTAAACCCACCTAAATATGTTAAAGTGGTTTGTTTTTCGTTACCTTTGGTGGGCAATCTTCATGTTAAACACATGATTTGTATGACTTAGAGTGATATCCACATCTCTATACCGTATATCTGCACTGAGCTTTATGGAACAGCGGTTTTCTCTCTGATTCAGTTTTCATAGTTATTACATCTATTAACCATCAGGGATTTTTTTATTCGTTACAATTTGGATTTCCGTTCCATATCGTTGCAATTGGCGTCCTAGGAAGTGTCATCCTTGTTTATTGCTATTAAAATCCACATTGTTTGTTCATTTTGCTCGTGGTTGCCAAACCTAACAATGAAGTGCTTAAAATGCGAGCACCTGGTAAATAGTTGATGTTATATCTAAAATCGATTATCCGAATACTCATCAATTAGTTTCGTTGATATGCCTAATTTCTGTAACCTGGTGTTAAAAGATGTCCGTTGAATTGCCTTGTTGCCAGTTTATCTAACAGTTTTTAGCAAGTAATTCTGATTAATAAAACATTAGTTATGCATTTTATACAAAAAAGTGCAGTCTATCATTTTACCGCATATTCTGCATTAATTTGTGATTGATACGTTGGGTTATACCGACACTATCTCCATTCTCCACCTTAAATGTGAGGTGCCTTTTCTCGTCTTGAGTATCGGTGGTTGTCCACATCACATTCTATGTTTTTACACCACTTCGCTTTCAATGACTATCACTTAGGTATCAAACGGGTGTCTCTACTCAGTGATTTACATAATTAGTAGCCCATCGTACGAAGGCATGAAAGCGGATCTATACTAAGTCTATGTGAAGATTGCGTTGGATTTTTGGTCCCATTGGCCACTTCGTGTTCTAGTTTCCAACTTATTGCTCGTATGGGCCAAATGCGTTCCGGCCTTTACGCCATTTTAATTATTCGTCATGATCCTGCAAAGGAATCAACGTTTCTCACTTAATGTGGCCGATCATCCTGCGGCAAATCGTTAAACTATGGCGGAATTTTAAATATTCAGTTTAATGTGCATAATGCACTCTAACCACCTCAGTAAATTATGCTTCGTTTGATAAGTGCTAGTCTTGACTAGATGTCGGGTCGCCGAATAAATGCTTTCACGTGTAATAGGAATGAAGTTCATAGTCATTGTCTTTCTGCACGAGCTGTGTGCTTTAATTTAAAATAACGAATTCCGTGACCTTTAATCAGATTTTGGTTTATATCAAGGCCATAGCAGTCTATTGTTCGTGTTTGCAATGCATTCCTTTTAACAGAAACCGTGTATTTTGTGCTTGGTTTGTTATTTCTTAAGTGTAGGCTAATCAATAAGTGTGCTGAGTAGGTTTATGATGTGTAAAAAGCATGCTAAATGAGCCTTTTTTATTGACACCCTCAGTCGTTATTTCTCTTCTGGAAATAATAAATTTCTGCAAATGAGTCAACTTGCACCAATATCTGAATTTTGTCCGTGCAAAAAGCAAATAATTACGCTTTCATTGATATGTTGATTCAATTTCAGTTAGGACATAAGCTTGTATTTGCGCTTATTTACTATGGGTCTCTTGTGGATCAGTGCTTCAGTATGTGTGAAGTGATGAACAATCGTGTCTGTCTCTAAAGTCGATGTAGCACAAATGGAACATGCTTCGTAGGCAATGTAAGGCTTCGAGAAGTTATTTTGCCGTTGAAGTGCTCGGAGGGTGGCCGCCTCCATAGATCGTTCATTGCGTAGTATTTGGTGATACATTGCAAATGCCTTCTTTCATGGTTTAATTTTTTTTTAAATTTTAGCAAACGTTACTGTTCTATCTTGTATCAAACACACTGTGTGTTCGCAGTTTACAATTTTTGATGAAATGGCTGACCCTCCACCTCCTGAAACTCAACAGCGAGAACCAACGGAAGATCTGCGAGCTTTAGACTCCCAGGAGAGCAGTTCCCCGGAGAAGCCAAATCCTTGTACAGAGGAACCTTCTAGCTTAAATGCTTTAAACAAGGATCGAAAACCTGAAGTTTCTATTCCCAGCGAGGAACCGATCGACCCCTCAGCTCCTTCTAATGCCGACTTAGGGCCAGTCATTCAAGATTTTGGCAACGAGCTGCACATCGTAGATACTGGGGTTGATGAGGTTGATTCTCATCCTTTAGTGGAAGATAATAGGACGTTATTTTTGCGAGAATCAGGAGGACTGAACCTTCAGGCCAACTCCGCCGAACCTGATCCCACACCTTCCTCAAAGCCGTTAGCTGGAGCCTCGGCTGTTGAAACCCTGCCCTTAAGCTCTGACGAACCTCCTGAACCTGAAACACAGATTCCTCAAACACATCTTAACAAACCAGATTTAACTTCCCAAACGTCTAGTACCTTTCCACAGTCTTCCGGAGAACCTGTAACATCGACTTCGCCAGCAGGACCTGATACAACCACAAGCACATTAGAGCAACTTAGGGAAGCGCCCACAAGTGGTCAAACCAGTGCGGCAAACGAGAAGGCGCAACTGCCTTCTGAGGCCGCGTCACCAGTGCTCGAGGCATCTTCTGCTGCTGGCGCGCCCGAGACATCTCCATCGAAGGCTGCTGCGAAATCAGCAGCCAAGGATGCCTCAGTTCATCAAGTCAAGTGGATCACCTTCAACGGCAACAAGGTGCCAGTAATTACACAGAATGAAAATGGACCCTGTCCGATGATCGCGATCACAAATGTCCTGCTGTTAAGACGGAAACTTAATCTCCCTCCGGGCAACGAAGTCATCTCCAGTGACTTGCTTATTGCTGCGCTAAGCGATAATCTCCTTTCTTATTCAATTGCGGTAAGTTGCGTCTGAGCACGCAAGTCTTCTTTCGCCCATCGATTTTCCCCAAGTGTGTGTGTCAAAGTTCAGCATAGATTGTCTCCCTGGAATTCTTACCTATAATTTGTTTTGGCTTGTGATGAAGGGGAACCCAAACTTGGTCAAAGTCTGCTGAGATCGGGCTCTTTCCGTGGTATTATTTATTCCTATTCGTAGGTTTCTGGTACCATAGCCGTTTCTTTACCCTGCTCAAAATGTACCTGATTGGCCAATAGGCTGCTCATGTCATTAAAAGGCTCCACATCGGAAGGCATTTTGGATTCGAGAACCTAAGTCCCTGCCGCAATTGGTAGTTCAGAGGTTTGTTCATTGAACCACACAATTCTAAATCACTTCAGGCCCCAATTTTTATGCTGCCTTTCGCGTGATTTCGCCAACCCATTACGCCGAATGAGTTGTTTAGGAACCGTATTTAAAATAATCCAGCTGTTCTTTGGTAGCATGTGAAATTCTGCAATCCGTAAGCGGTAACTAGTCGTGGATAAGGATGCTGTATAGCTCAACTTAGAAATCTGGCAACAGTTTTAGTGTTCTCGTTTTTCAAGTAGATTAACTCCTGACTGTGGTACCCGTGATATTAGGCTTGCACTTGCGACAGCCGTAAGCTCTATCAGACTCCGTGGTGAATCAATATTTACGACCTTTGACTGGTAGTCTAAACATTTGCAAATGAATGTTGAACCATTCTTCGCACTGTTTTTCTCTCAATCGTTCAATATGTACCCCTCACCAGCACAGTTTTACCGCATCTTTAGTCGGGGCAACGCAGTAGTGGTTTCCATGTCCTTCCTTATTGAATTCCTCACTAATTCGTGGTATAATTGTGTGAGAATGGAGACGTAGCGGGCGCACTAATGTTCTATGCATTTCGTCAATACACTGCTGTATCCCATAAGAAGTCATAGATGCTATGAGAATGCATTACAGCGCCTCTACGCTACTGGCCAACGCGTCTAATTGCGATTGTGTGTGCTCGCGCCTAAAGTACACAGCCAGGCATGTGAATTGTGCGTACACGCGGCTAGGCCCCAAATACTTGTCCTGTGATTTCATCTTTTTGATTTAGTGATTCTCAGGAGAATTTGCTAGCCTTTATTCTCTGTCGCTTTTTTTCTCGGAATGTGGAAATGAAGGCATCCGTTCTTGTTCGCAGCTTCACGTCCACTTCTATGTTGTGGATTCGGACAGCTCAATATTTGTGTGAACATGTCGGATCATTTATCATGATGAGCTCTGTTCTAATTTGTTGTTTTAAGGTTAATCTGTCGACTAAATTGACCCTGCTGGCATATTTGTCGTAGAATACTTTGCTGTACCAAACTTCGAGGTAATTTTAGAATGCAATTTCGTCTTTTTGGCTTGGATGCATATCGTTCCACCTCATCGTAGCGTATGCGAGTGCAACGAACAACTATCACTTAGTAATTTAAATGTCCCTATTAGGGGTGGAAGCACAATTTTATCCGCAAATTCTTTGCCTGCCCCCACCACTATGTAACCTGGAATCACTTCCTCATAGCCAGTGTGAAATAATCACCAAACACGCGTAGTAGGTGTCGTTTATTGCATCTTCAGCAAGTTGTACCGACCATTTCTCTTTCAAATCCCATCGCATGCAACTGGCGTTGTTTCTGCAACGGTAAAGGGTGGATAGCCGGAGGTAACAGTGCCTAATTTCGTAAAATTTCTTGCTCAAATATGCCTAATGCGCTCAACAAAAACCATGCGCTTGCAAAAAAACTAGACCGCTTTAGCGCAGCAACTCACAATTCTCGGTTTTGTAGTTAGGCTAACTGAGCGTTGAATTCTGCAACCCTGTAGCATTTCATCGAGGGCTAAGTTCTGGTTATTCGATTCGAGGAATCTTCGGTGGTGTTTGTGAAACTCGGGCGGGATTTTCCGGAACTGTACTGGGCTGCATTAATCCACGTCAACCCATACAAACTGCCTGCTGACAAAGCGTAAACAACAACAGCAGCAACAAGAGGAGTGTTGATGTGCCTAAATTTTGACATCAAGTTTACCTGCCATTGTCTCTTCAATAAGTCCGATCGCTTGGCTCTACTAGTGTTGCCGAGATTTATTCGATTTTCCCGGCGCTCACCGTTGTCTGGTCCTCCAATTTTTCCCTGGTTTTGGCTTCGATTTTCCGTTGCTAGAAATGAAACCTTGCAGATTTATTTGCATCCCGGGAACTATTTCAACCCAAGGCTATCAAACGAAAACTTGAGTGTCTAGTGGTTGCCGTTTGTCTTCTATCACTTGATCAGTGTACTTTCTCCACACGAGGTAGAGCACATGAACGAGTACAACTTCGTGTTATTTCGAACTGTGTACTATTTAAGCTAGTGGACCCTTTCATTGCTTGCTTCTTTCACCATAGCTTATGTCCTGCTCTCTTACTTTGGCAAACGATCCAAATAAATCACCACTAGGTCTTTTTAAGTGATTTTGGTGCTGTAGTGTGTCTAGGTGGTTCAAAAAAGGCTCGCTTTCCCGGTGATTGCTGGCTACTTCAAAGTTTTCGGGCGTTTAATGGATTCTTTGTGCCAAAATTCGTGTTATTTTATTGAGTCACCAATGATCTGCGACCAGGCTAAATTGTGCGGAAGATATATTCGCTGCTAGCATGTACTTTAAAGCGCCCTGCACAAGGTCACTTCAGTAAGCCGACGAGGTATTTAGTCGAAAAACCTTACTATTAATCAGCCATTAGGTGGATTAGAAAATTCTTGCGCCATTTCGAACTCTTACGCTTTTAATTTAAATACTTTCTTGGTGTTTTTTTTAGGACTTGGATGAAGGTCAACGCTCAAACTACGAAGCAAACCTCTCTGCCGCCCTTAGTGTTTTCCCATATTTGCAGACGGGACTGGACATCAATGTTCGCTTCACGGGGTAAGGTTTTGCGAGAAAATGCAATATAAAAAATACGGCCTTGTTTAGACTACGGCAATCTACATGTTTTTCGATCAACATGCTAATTCATTATCAGGTCATTAAGATTGTTCGAGTGGAAAAATCATGAATTAGCGATTTCGAAGACGGTCCAACCATTCGCTCAAGCGATTTACTCTCCCAAACCTAACCTTGTCCATTGTCTTATCTAGGGTGTCTGATTTTGAGTACACGCCGGCACTCACGGTGTTCGATCTCTTTCGAATTCCTCTCTTCCATGGCTGGGTGGTGGATCCGCAGGACCGGGAATTAGCCCAGACCCTCAAGGACCAGACGTACAACCAAGTCGTTGAAATGATTATCAACTACAAGTCCTCCTCCGACCCCAGTCGCATCCAACAAGGTGAGCCAAATTACATTCGCGTGCTAGGTGGCGCATTGTCGTGTCTGCCCATTATGTGTAGTCATTTGAACGCATTCGATTCGTTTATCCGTCGTGTGTGTTGGTATCTTTGTGGTAACCTGGCCTTATCTCCCTCGCTTAACGCTCCTTCGCTGTTGACCACAAATCCACTTCTCTGTCTGCCTCTTTTAGGCTACTTAATCGAGGAATTCCTCGAGCGGACGGCTTCCCAGCTCACGGTCCATGGTCTCTGTAAACTCTCGGAGAATCTACGCGAGCATCAGCTGGCCATATTGTTTCGGAACAATCATTTCAATACAATTTACAAGAGTGGGGTGCGTTCGTGTTGCATTTTCTGGAAGGGCATCTTGAGCTATTGTGTTGCCTTAACACAGAGCCTCCAAGTTAGACGAGTCCAAACCCCCAGATTTGAGTCACCTTATTAGTCACAGTACTCGAAGGCAGTCCACTTTTCCACCCCAAAAATCTATCCCCCGGTTTCACTTCATGGGCCCAAGCGACTGTAGCGACGAGTCAATTTTTGTCTCATTAAAGGTGATCAGTTTGTATCCCCAAGTTGTGTGCGTTGATTCCCACTCGTTAATCCGATCACTCCAGCCTCCAACACAGGGTTCCCCTCTTCGCAACATGCCGTCAGCCGCGCGGACCCCCAAGTCCCTCCTCATTCGCACGAACGATTATCCTTTATTACCAGAACATCTGGATCTCGATGTTCACACATCTATAACTCACGTGTATGAGGTATAAATACACACGCGCAAACGCAACATACGACACCAACGTGGCTGAGCTCTAAAGTGAACGGTTGTGCCCACGTCCTCTCTGGTCTTTTTTTTCATCGCGGGTAGCAGGGAAGTGTAATCGGGCCGGAGTTAATTCAGTGGCCCCGGCGTGGGGCCCACAATAATTGGTGACCTCGACGTAAGCAGAACACGCAACCTTCTGATCTGAAGGCCCACAACAGCGTCAACCAAGCGGAAGCTGTTTCCTGTCTTTGTTCGATTCCATTCAGACGAAATCTCTTTGCTACTAGCTGAAATTTGAATGATAATTATAGGTAGTGAGTCTGCTTATCGTGATTAAAGTGCTCTGAGTAAAACACATGACGGTTGTTTCAAAATTATAGACTTTTCACCCAATTTTAAATTGCAATTATTAGTTCTCCAAAAAAAATAACCATACTCTGTCGTTTACGTAATCTTGTTTAGGTTGCATAATTATAACATGAGTCGAAATTCGTGAATAAGGGAAACAAATTCGACACATAACCTATTCAGTGCATAAAATATTTTTAACTAACCGTTCTTAGTGGTTATTTTCTTCGGATTTTTTTGACGTCGCTCTGGTAGGTACCATTTCTCGAGGGTGAAGTGGAACAAATTGCAATCGTTCTAATTTTTGTTTCTTTTTTTCATTGTAAGACAACCCCTTGATCTCCTTTTTTTATGCATCTTATGTCAAGTTACCGCGTAATTTGTGGCACTTTTTTCACCTTGAATGGTCTAAATCATTTTCGAGTTGAAATTACCCAAGCCAACTGTAAATGACTAAATTCGTTGTACGCTGCTTAACACTTTGGACGTGTAAACATCACAAGAAGATAAGTCTTCTTATTCACGCTTATCTATTTTCGATATCGATAAGTAACCATCTGCCAATTTTTCTTACAAATCGTCACTTCACAACGGCGATTCGCCCTATATTGACAGCGTCATTGAGGCTGTCAGGTGTATGCGTGATATCGAGGCGTCTACCTCGAGAATAGATTAATAAAACCAACCACTTCTCGTATTTTGCTAATGGATGCCATGATTTCTGAAAACTGCACTAATACTTTGTCGATTTAAACTGAGTAATGGCAACAGATTACCCCACCTAACTAACCTGTAACCTTTATTCGTGTAACTTGCTCCTTAATGAGTGTCTGAAAGCTAAAGAAGTACAGTTGACGCCAAAATTTCGACAATGGTCTGTAGTCGTTTCACTGTCCTCTTGGGCAATTTATTTGATTGATCAGTGCTAACTTGTGGCAAGTTCAAATCTGCTTTCTAATTACTGCCCACAAACCTCAAGCCCAAGTTTGGTCCGTTTATTTGGCTGATTGTCGCTCTCCTTTCTTGTGCACAAGCTCCTGAAATCCGACAGCTCCTACTTCGCCAATAATGCACACATTGGAGCGCGCTTCGAAGTGTAGCTGTTACAGACACGTGATTCTTCCGTTGTGGGTAGTTACTCTGTGCCAGCGAGCCAATTTAACATGTTCGTCTGTTAGTAAAGAAATTCTCAGCCGCTGGGCGTTCCAATAGCTACTTCTGGTTTTATGGTGATTGTGCCTTCGTCAATTTGTGGTCTCAAGTGCCTGATTCACCTTGTATTTTGTGCGTTTTTACCAGAGTTTGCAGATCACGAAATCTGCAAGTTTACCTTCATCTGTTTGTGCCCGTAGTCTCAAACTTTGTGACCTTGCGAGGTGAGAATTATGCGAAGTGGTTTGTCTTGTGTATGGTGAATAACTCAGTTTCGTTTTAACTGCCTTGTCTTTTCTGGATTCTGAAGATTTCAAGTCGGATTGCCTGATCTTAATGAGTGTTTAATTACGTGTATTGGAAACAGCTCCATAAGGGATTAGTGTGCCTTTAGTCAAATAAACAGAACGCAACACGAAATTGATTTGTCGCATATTTTAGTACTTCTCGTCAGGTAAGGTAACTTGCCCTCCTTCAATTTACCCTGGAAATCACGTGTATATTACAAGGTCGTGGAGAGTTGATAAGGTCAGTAGTTAGGGTGCGTTTTTGAAAAAAACCGCATCATTTTGATGGACAGAGCTCGTAGGAGGTTACTCGGTCACTTTGCTTCCGTTAACGTTAAGTATTGCAGTGTCCGAGGTATCAGTATCCGTTTGTGAGTTCCAGACACGTACGTCTGAACAAAACCTACAGTGGATGTTGCCTGTATTACCTGTGACTTAGAAATGCCCTCTGCAAACATTCATCATGGGCCACTGATAACGGGAGATGTTGTTTCTGCCTTGTAGAGAATTTCCCATGATCATTTCCATAAAACGCAGTTAATGTCTAATCCAGTGGTGTTCCGTCGGTAACGCATCCCCACTGGAATCTTTCAGGGCCAAGTGTACGTGCTGGTGACGGACGTGGGATTCATGAATGAGCCGAACATCGTGTGGGAGACGCTGGACGACGTCGATGGGGACTCCCGTTTTGTTGACTGCGATTTTCGGCTGTGTACCAAATTCACCGCCAGGTCGCCGCCCGCTGCCGCCACAACGCCGTCCGACGTCCCCCCCGTGTCGGCCACCGCCTCGTCGCACACCACCTCCCCTGTTTGTGGGTCGCCCGAGCAAATCGACATGGAGTTAGTCACTTGAAATTTTTCTATGTGTGGATACGCATTTAACTCGTTCCTGTGGTCCGATCCCAACTTCGGGCTGTACTCTTCATGCCGTCGTTTGCTAAAGTGTTGACTTGGTGCCTAAATGCAGCTGACAGTGGCCAATCAAATGTCGAACAGGTCGGATTTGTGTGTGTTGAGTGCGCGTACCTCAGCACCAAGTTTTCCGACTAGCATCAATTTGTGTGTGCCTGAATCGTTGCACAAAGTTAATTCGTTTCACCAACGCGTCTTCTTGTGCTGTGTCAACTGTCGTTCAGATCTTCGACAAGTTTAACCAATGTGTGCACACCTTACTAAGATTCTGAGAGGTTGACTGCAAGAAAACATTTTGAAAATTTTCTTCCGTTAAAGGTAGCTGGTCCAAAGCATGCGGTGTTTGATCACAATCAGCAAACGCAAAGCGAAATAAGTGAATAAATTGAAAAGTGTCTGGCATGACTTTTTACCTATATGCACTTCCAAGTGGTGTTACCGCTCTCATCGCCTGCCTATTGCATAGTTATGGCTTTCACGAGATTATCATCGCCACTATTCTGCCCTTTCTCTGTAGCCACCAGCTGGCCATGTCGTTGGAAGCCGCGGACAGAGAGGACGCGCAGACACGAGCAGATCTAGATCTGGCGAAACGCCTCCAGGCAGAGGAGGACGCAGCGTCGCGCAACTCCGGTAGGCCACGGAAACCGCACCAGCCCCCTCTAACCCACCAACAACCGCCTCCCCAGCACCGCCATCGCTACTCACCGTCATCTCCGCAAAACTCAACACCACGCCACCGTCACCGGGCCGAGCACGATCGGTCGAATTCGGTGTGTTTCGAGCGCATTTAATCTGCATCTTTCAGTGTTTTTTTCCGATTGGTTGCCTTCCAGTAATCAACACCGCCGCCAAGTTCTAGCACATGGGCTTCGACTTCACTCGGCAATTGCGGAAGTCGCGGTTTCAGGGGCTCACTAACCATAACCCCCCGATGGCTCATTCTGCTTCCCTTGCTTTAGCCAAATCCTGATCACCAATGTTAGTTAAATAATGTCCCTCTTTTTGCCTAACCGTTGTGCACAAGCAAAAGCGTTCTTCACATGACCTCATATTTGGAATTTGGAATTCTTTGCCTTGGGTCAGATGTCAACCAAGATGCCGGTGGAATGTTGGCGTGCAAACTAGTCACTGAAGTCCGTGCTAACGCCTAGTTAAACCGTTTTATTGATTACATCGTGCAGGTACTGCTCTAGCTGCATGCCTCAACCGCAGTCGCGCCTACACCAACTCTTGGCCATTTAGTGGCACTGTTTACTTGGAAAAGGGAATACCAGCACATATTGACCGCTGGCTACATCTTTTTGTCATCAACTCACGCCCCTTCATTGGTGGTTTAATTGCGTGTTGTGATTGGCCACCACTTGTGAATGCACGTGGGATGCTACTTTCCGTTGTCCATGAATGTCTCGCAGGCGCCTCCATCAGCACGCGAGCCACCACCGATTGCTTCGGTGAATAATTTTGTGGCTTTCAGTTTGTTTCCGCCTGGCTCTGACACTAGTCACGTGCATTCGCTCGCCCTCATGCTGTGCCAACTTGGTCACGTGGTGTCAGCGTCTTTTTAATTTAAAACACTGCAAATATCCCTGAATATGAATTGTGTGACCTTTTTATCGAAGACTTACAATTTGTACGCTCACGAATTGTTTGTCACGGGTTCGTCGACTGGCTTGAAGCAACCTACGGTTCGTATTTTCAACGTCGTGATGTCATAGGATGCTTCCACCTGCAACCCTACCTGCATATACTTTTGCTACTAACGAGCAATAAAGTAGAAATGAAGGAATAGCAAACAAAATCTCGTTGTTACATTCCACCAGCAATTGCTACTGCCGTTTATCCATATCTTCCCGCGCTACTTCTTTGACGTATCTCGGGAAGATTATGTGGCTTTAGTGTACCAACCTTTTTATCAGTCTTATTTCCACCAATAACCTGACTTTTTTCCTTTTGCAGTGGGCGTGTAGCATCTCATGAACCGGATCACCTCAAATTTAGCCATTAAAATGCCCCACCAACGAGGCAGTATGGGTCTTTCTTCACAGATTAACCATGCTTCCACTATACTAGTGCCTCCTCGTGCACACACTAGCGCGAGCCCCATCCATAAGCCCTCCCCCGTCCCCCAGCCAAAACACTTCCTTTAATTTACTCCCCGTTCAACAACGAAAGCCACCAGAGTCCGTTTCTTTTCTACCCACCATTGTCTCCATCCTATAAAGTTTGCTCTGTGCTTATTTGGTCCATGTACTTTTTACACAACTTCTAATGCAGTGACTGTCCACACGTGTTTCTGTGCAGAATGGTGGCGAATAAAGCTCTCGTGTGCGGTTGTGTTGTGCATTGTGGTTACACTTTAATAAACGTTTTTTTCTATCTGACGAAGGCGCTTCTACTGGACTGGGAACGGCATTCTTCCTTACCACCCCTTATTAACACTGCAGGCGTGGTGTGTGAGCAATCTTATGGCGTACTTTGTGAACATTGAGGATTCGTGATGTTATGCATGTCGCAAGTAAATCCTTTAGGCCGCCATCACAGAAGGTTGGGCATTATTGGTGCTCTAATAGCATCTCGTGGCTAGCTTGATTCCGTGATGGATTGGCGGATATGATCACTAGACTGATAAGGTTTGAACAATGAGGGTGATGAATGTGGTTCAGTGGAGGGGGAATTGAGTGGTACACTGTCGTTCAAGGTTGAGTTTTTATTCGCCAATTGTAACTAAATTGTGTATGAGTTGTGGAGAGGAGTTGAGAAGTCGGCATTTTAGAGGAAGAGGACACCCGGCATTGTTGTATCGGAATGTGGAAAAAATGCAACCTATCTGTATTCAAACTTGAGAGTTCGCCAATTATGGTGCTCAATTTTGAAAAAATCCCCACCAAGACATTTGCAACTCGCCCTAGTCATTTTCGGGGCACTAAATACGCCTTACTATGAACCAGCCACTCCACCATCACATTAACTGACATCTGCCGGCCATAAAAGTAGTCCAGTTCTAGGTGTTGAGCTAAAGTTCTCTTAAGAGGCCTGCGTTTTGTGTTAGACCTAGTCAAGTGCCGCAATAGAAATGAGAAAATCGATAACTGATTCAGTCACGTTAGTATTAGCCAAAATACCAGATCATTGGTTTGCTTTTTGCTTATGACCACTTGCACTTGAGAATATTTTTGCGTTCCATTAGGCTCCAATGAAGTTCTCAATGGAAAAAGGGTGTGAAGCTTAAGGACCTTGTAGATTAGATCTTGTAAACGCTTCGTTAGTGGGAGTTTGGTTAAGTGTGAGTCATGAAACAAATTAGACCATCCTCTTTCGGATAGAGCCAACTTTAACGTTTCAGTGTTTCTACATTGCATAGAAAAACCTAAGCAGACCAAAGATCGTGTGAAATTTCTTATTCGCATTTATCTACCGGAACCAAAATAATGTGGTCATTAGGGTACTGTACCAAACGTGTTTGTCTCGCTAAGAACAGTTAAACCAAAGAAGGTTGCCTTCACGCCTCGGCATAGCTCACACGGTGACCGCCTAGTCAAAGGTACGAATAACTTCTTATTCCATCAAGGTTGACATCATCCAGACTGGGGTGCGTTGGTTTTCAAACTGATGCATACAGAGACAGCCATTTCTACATAAAGGTACCACAAAAAACACCATATTACTACAGTTGTTACGCCATTCAAGATTTTCGTTTTCCCTTATGGCCTTTCCTGTTGGCCATTCTTATTTCGCTATTCCCCGTGCCAAAGTAGTTTGAATACCGAAACCAAAGTTTATATCATGCCCTGCTGGGAGTAAAGATGTCACATCGGCTGTGTCAATACAGGACCAAAAGTTCCCCTAAATTACCACGCCATTTCATTCAATTTCCAGATTACGTGACCATTCACTTTTTAACGACTAATTATTTGCACACACCGAAATTAAACTACGTACGAGCGACGCGATTGCCGACGAAGAGCGCTGTTAAATGAACTTACTCCTATTTACGCCTGTCAAAAGTACTTCGCGATTGTGGAACATGCTGTCAACTTCTTGACCTTGTGTGTGGTAGAGTATAGTTGCGTAGTTAGGCAGCAAGACAGACCGCGCACATGAATTAGACCGCAGTCACAGGCAAGGATTGGCCGATGGCATTGGTCGACACGTCATTATGCAAATCACATTGACACCGAAACGCAAATCTGCATCATTTTTACCGCTTGGACACTATGGAGTGGTCACAGCTAAATGTGCTATTAGCGGTCATGTCAATGGCGGCAGGTGCTGTCTCCAATCCAATTGGCCTAAAAAACGCCACCATTGAAGATACCGGCGAAGTTGTCGCCTTTGAGTGGTATAATGCATCTCTGCCCGACAAATCACAAGCCAAACAATTTTGCGCCTCACGCCGGTCTAGCCTTCCAGCCGCACGCGAACTTCGATACTTCTACAAAAGCTTGGACATTAGAAACGGTTCGACTTTTTATCTCGACGATACTATCGAGACAACAATGGATTCACCGAACGAAGCCATCGGCGAGAGGATGTGCATCACAATAATGAACATTCCTGGGAAACCGGTAAGTCAAGTTTTGAGAAAATCCAATATAGACAAAACACGGACAGGAGGGCAGGCTCTAGCTCATTAGCATTCCTCACAACCTATTGGCAGTTGTAAAAAATATATCTTGCGTAATAACTACCTCCAAAATAGTTTCCTTGGCAGACACCTAGGCTATGGACGCCAGTAAGGCCTAGGAGAGCCCTCGAGCGAAGGTAGCACCTCGTCTTAATAGGCTTCACCAGTAAATGGAGTTCTTTGTACCTAACAGACATTACAACTACGCATGTAACCAACGCACCATTTAGAAACGGCCTTAATTATACAGCCCACGCTGTATCATTCGCAGTTTACTTCTACGCCTTCAGCTCCAGCTAGCCGAGACGTACGCGATAAGAAGCTGTTCAATAAGAGCTGATGCAGTGGTTTGTCGAAGGACCACTTCTACGGTTGAATCGTCTTATTCAAACTGCGTTCCACAGGAGTACGTAGAGGTCAAGGGAAACAACACCATCGAATTCAATAAAGCAAGATTCGCCTACGTAGCAGGTAACCAGCATCCCCATGTCACCAGCCATCAAATAAGCCGATAAATTCCCGCCGGACATTCTAAAACCTACTTCGTTTACAATTTTAGGAGCTATTTGTTTTGCACTTCTCCTAACAAACATTTTGTGGATCATCTTATGCTACAAATACTGCGCAATTCGAAAACAAGCACACGCACGCATTAGGGACAACACAAGTGTTCTCTTCGCTACGAGCAGTTTGCTAAAGCCGACTGGATTCAACTCAACCATGGTGGATCCCGGTAGATACGATCTTCTGCCCGACGTACCCCTTCAACAATGCGATAGTTTTCGCAAGTCTTGCAGATCCACCAGTACTCGCGACCACAGCGCCAATGAGGAAACTAGTAGACACGACACTATTGAAACAATTTATCATGACAACGATTTGGAGCGAAAGAACACGATGACAGAGGCTACCGGCTTTCTTTAAACAATTCCTGTACTAGCATACTATAGTGTGCGGTATAAAGGACAAATAAAAGCCCAGTTCAATAAAAAAACAATCGAGGATTTCGAACTATTTGATGAAAGTGAAGAGCGAACGGCGGATTTCAAGCAGATTTTATTGGAACTGCAGCGGAGGAAATGGTAGAAAATAGCAATGCAAGAAGAACCTTACCTTAGATAAAGCAAAGAGCACGAAGCGTTAGGGAACCTCAATAACTAACCACACTAACCCATCCGAAGCTTATATCCACGACTACTTGAATTAACATTAAACGCAAAAATTCGTAGTATACTATGTATCCCGCTACTAAAACCCTGTATACATTTGATCTTGAATATTTTAGACCTAAAGCCACAGAGACCAGCTACCAAGCACACTAACAAGCAATTCCTACACTAGCGTATTTCATGATCTTACGGCCCAATCGTCAAATGCTGGACCGATGAAGCCGCTTCCCGGTGAATGAATATAGGATCCACTCGGTGGTCGCGGCTTGACTCCGACCGATAATGCCTGTCACTGCCTTTCAGGAGGAAAGGCTCCAAAATACTGTAGTGCATGTGCGTGCCTGGTTCATCCAATAACGGACGCTGGTCTCAATGGAATTTTGGTCGCAAGTGAAGCAGCAATACCTAAAAGACAAACGAAACTACTTAATATTGCTGCTTTTACGAATTAAAGGCGACTGTGACGTATGATTTTGGGACACACAAGTAGAGCCGCGGTACGGGAAACAATTACTGTTGGATAAACTTGACTTTAATGTAGTCACCTACTATCATGCAAACTCGAATTTATATTTAGTAAAGGCGAGTTATTATGATAAAAACATGGGTCATTGACAAAGTAGTATTAGGAATTTAATAGCCCGAGTATTGGTGCTGAGGTGGCCACGCACCTTGAGGCCAGGCTTGGGAAGCCTGGGGATAAACACCAGGAACCTGGCTCACAAATTGTGCGTAACCTGATGGCGGCTGTGCGACGTAATTAGCTGGCTTGGTTTGCTGATTTGACGGCGGTGGGGGTGCAGGATAGGCAGATACGGCAGCGGCCGATTGAGGGGGTGGAGGAAGTTGGCTATAGTTATGTGTCACCTTAGAAGAGAGTGATGGCTGTGACGGGGCCGGATTGGAGGGATAAGGACCGGCGGACCACTGACTATTAATGGACGCTTGATTCGTGGATGAAGACGGTGGTGGCGGAGGAGGTTGACTAGTTTTCGCCCACGACGAATTGTTCCAGCCGTTAGCTTGAGGCGGGGGAGCTGTAGGTGTAGGCTGGGTATAGCCAGATTGCGCTGAGCTGTCGCCCCAGCTAGTCTTGCTTACTTTTGACGGCGGTTGGTATGACCCAGTACTACCGAGAGAGGACTGGGAAAAATTACGCTTCTCTCCAACACTCGCGGACGGGGCTTGTAAAGTGGATGTTTGTGGAACGGTTCTATCTTGATAACTATTTCCTGGTTTCGAGGTGCTAGAATTATAAGTCGACCCTCCACTGCGAAGCGGGTAGGCGTGGTGTTCGCCCCTGTATGGCTGTTGCCCACTCTGTGAATCATGGGTCATATAACTACTGCTGGGTCGTCCTGAATGACCACTGCGGGGTGCGAAGCGACTGGAGCCGCGATCTGCAGAAAACGGAGCGATTGCATAATGCCCGACGAAAAGGTCAGTTAAACTTCAGCGTAATAAAATGCAATAAACGAAAACCACTTGAGGAATGACGTAATAACGAAATCTAAATTATTTTGGCGAATGCGTGAATGTAAACATGCAAAAGCTACTTTCCACTCGACACAACCCTCGCAGTCATGGATTCACTAAATATCCCATGCAGATAGCGAAGTAATAACTTACCACTTCGGCCTCTGCTGAATCGGTTGCTCCCACCAGCCATACGTAAGAGCTCAGGATTGACTTGTTGGTTGGCCTCCTCCAAAATTTCCACGAGACCAGCGGCCTGTTTGTAATTTTTGCGTGTAAAAAAGGTGAACGCTGTTCCTTTTTTGTTGCTCCTTGCCGTACGACCAATGCGGTGAATGTAGTCTTCGGTTTGATTCGGAAAGTCGTAGTTTATAACATATTCAATGTCATCAATGTCTACGGAAACAAATGAAGAAATTAATGTATCGAAGATGGGGAGGATGGATCAATTCATTGGTTTCTACGTACCTAATCCACGGGAGGCGACATCTGTGGCAACTAGCACTGTGATATGATTTCTCTTGAAGGCATCTAGAGTCGCGTCACGCTCTCTTTGGACCTTATCCCCGTGCATAGCAGCGACACGGAAACCATTACGTTTGAGAGTAAATGCAACCTGGTCAGTTTTTTTCTTAGTTTCCACGAAAACCAGGCATCTCAGACCATTGAAGGATCTAATAAGATTTATGAGACGTTGATCTTTCTCAAAGTCATCGACAACTTCGACAACTTGTGTGATGTTTGGATTGGCATGTAGTGACGTGGACCCTATGTTAACTTGAATATACTCTCTTAAGAAGCTCCGCGCGAGACTTTGAACTTCGCGAGGCCATGTGGCGGACCACATGACGGTCTGTCTATCTGGGCGTGTTTGTTCCACGATCTTGCGTATTTGAGGCTCAAACCCCATATCCAACATGCGGTCTGCTTCGTCCAAAACCAGGTAAGTGCACCGACGTAAGTTGGTCCTAAGGCGGCAAATGTCAACAAAAAAGGACATCCTTACGCTCTCGTCTTCAAAAAATCGATAAGCCGACCGGGAGTGGCCACGCAGACTTCCGCGCCCCTTTGAAGATCGCGTTGTTGTGGTCCTTTTGGAGCACCACCATATAGACAAACCGTCCTAAGCCTTGCTGCCCCACAGAACTGTTCTGCTACCTGGATGACCTGTTGCGCAAGCTCTCTTGTGGGTACTAGGACCAAGCATATTGGACCATCATCTCTTAGAAGACGTGGCTGGGCCTGAATGTGTACCAAAGCAGGGACCAGGTAGCAAGCCGTCTTGCCTGAACCGGTTTGAGCTATACCAACTACATCGCGTCCGCTGAGAACCATCGGCCAGCCCTGAGATTGTATAGGTGTTGGGTTAGCCCATCCGGCACGCTGAAAAGCATTTGTGACATATGGAGGCAAATCGATTTCGTCAAAGCTGAAGATTGGTCTTGGGACATCACGACCGTGAAGAGTCATCCGATTGTCAGCCCTAAATTTATCAATCTCTTCCTGGGAACGGCTGATAACAGTGGGATGTTCTTTGTAGAACACCTTTTCGAAACGAGGGAGGGAGGCGATGTCCCACCTAGGAGGCTTGAGGTCATCAAGGCTTGAATCCCGAGTACGGCGATTCGGGGGGCCACCCCATCTAGGACATGTCTAAACCAAAGCAAACAAACCTTCGAATAGGCGAACGCGATCTAAAGGGCATTTTGCACAACCTCCAACACAGAAAGTGAAACAGCCAAGGTTTAAAACAAGGCGATTAAAAATCGTAGTTTAGACATCCTATCAAACAAAGTTTAAATGTGATTTCTTATCAAAATAACGCTAGCCCATTGTTTTTAAAAGCAGTCATAAGTTCATTAAAATTGGGTTAGCAACATTGTTTTGAATCAATAAAATTTTAAACTAATTGCTGCCGTTATTTTCTATCTCCGTTCAGATGTATGATTACATTTATGTAATTTTAAAAATATATGTGCTAGTTTCTGAAAATAATTGTACTTTTAGCTTTGACAATTTACCTCCCGCTGTTTTGCATGCACCGAAATTGAAACATAACTTTTCAATAATGACGAAAGTTTTGGTTTTCTTGTCTTTTTTTAAATTGCATATTTGACATTTTAGCTCTGACTTTAATCACGGAAATCACAGTTGTACCCATGTATAGTTGCATGTAGGCATAATCGTTATGCAATAACTAAATTTATTCAATTTATCCCCTTGATAATAGAATTGTCGAAATGTTTTTTCTAATCTGTACGTCTGATTGCTATAAATATTATCTTAGTTCTAACTCTCGCAACTGAAAATTCGGCTTACAAAATTATGTTAGAAAGCCGGTTATTTGTTATGAAAATTAGGGCATGAAAGAAATCTCTAATGAGGTGGAAAAGTTAAAAGCACGACCAAACGTTCCTTATTGAAAAAATGTCAATCACCCAAGATATGTTAGAGGGTGTGCATCATTCTTATTACGACAAAAAATTACTTTTAAATTGTGTCTTCGCTTCATTTGACTTAGAGTACGAATTTTCGTTCCTATTCATCTTTTATCTGCATTTTAACATTTGATTTGTCACAAATGCAACTTATAATTTGACTGCGGAAATTTCGGTGCACTAGAGGATTTTTTTCCTTTTATTTGTTACATTTGGTTAGATTCCACTATAAATTTTTGCAACTTTTTCTGTCTAAACTCTTAGACATGCATCATCGAATTATTCATTCACATTTTTGTTTAGTTTTCAGTCTTTTATATTTGAGTTCGACCTTCAAAGTTTTGTTGGCAGTTCTTGGCTAGGAATTTATTTGCTTTTATGAATAACTTTAAGGATCAGTTTACCGCTCCTATATATCCGAAGTTATTGCGGATAGAGTCAATGTCGGTTTTTTCGTGATCGAATTGAGATGTCTTTTAGAAGAAAAACAATGTCTGGGATTTTAGCGTGGATATTAACGTGGATAGTTGCTAAATATTAAATCTCTAAAACCTAGCTGTAACCTATAATATTATTTTTTTACGTTTGCGACAGGTTGATTCTGCAATTTGTTACCAGATATTGGTCTCAGAATATCAATCCTCAAAACATATTCCGTCTTTAAAGTTGCCCTGAATATTTATCAGCAAATGTTCTGGTAATGCTTGATGGCAGCTTAGGTCTGTGTAAACGAGTTTCTTATGCGTCGTCTCTAAAGGTCAGATATATTCCGTACTATTTTAACCTATTCCAGTAAAGTCGTCATAATTCAAGCGACTATAAATTGAGGTTTTTTTTCAACTTTAAACGTATATCGTTTGACATTCGTTATTTACGATAAAACGTAGGTGCTAAAATACATTTCAGATTGTTTTTTACTCTTAAATTATTTTTATTGCGTGTCCAATCGTCGTCCTGAATTTTCGTGAAAAGTTTTTATGTAGACTTAAACGAGAAATGACGAGTTTATACTTAGGAATTTATGGGAATACTTTTTGATGGTTCCTTTGGATTTACTTTGCCCGTAAAGTAAAAATGTCTTTAATATGAATTATTAAAAGTGTTGCAAGCGATACAGATGCACAAAAATGTTCTGTAGAATTTTAAACCTGTTATTTTCTACTGCATTAAATTCAAAAATCAGTCCTGTGGGATTATTTTAAGTAGAAAAACACTGGACTGCTCTTAATAAACCTTTTAGATGAGTGTAAATTGCACGATTCCAAGAAATTCGAATTGCAAATTCTGATCCCAAAATGAAAAGTGGTCTATATTAATGCTGGCAATGTCAAATGGAGCACATCAGTTGCGTAAAATGTAAACTTTTAAATAATGGTTTTAATCTTAACAGTCGTTGATATGGTAAGTCAATGTGTTCTAAATCTATTAGATAATTTATTTAATTTGCTAAAAATTCTCAATTTTATTATTGTTTTTTTCAGTGTTTGACTAATGAAAGACAAGAATTTACAAGCAACATAATATGCAATTGAACTTCTCTCAGCTTGGCCCAATTTCCTGAAGAGAAGACTTCAGATGGAGTCATTTTAGTTAGATTACTCCTTATATATTTTTTAAACTTGCATTCGAGACAGCGACAAGTGGGCTTTAGCAATGGTTACATGTATCTTACAGAAAGTAAGCAGCTGCATTATGTATCACTTTTCTGGTTTAACGCCAAATTGTTTTTTAAACATACTAAATGTGAACACGTTTATATTGTTGATGTGCAAAACTGCACAAAGGAATCCCTACTTTTTATGTTTTCGAGAGTAGGAAGCACGTCAATTTTCTCTCTTATTTAAAACTCTCTAAACTATTTTTTTAATATGCTTGGTTGGCCTGTTTTTTTGTTGAAGACACTCTGGCTAGTGTTTTTTTTTTCACTTTGCTGCCACCACCTTGAACTCCTCACCAAAAGCAGTTTATTCTTTTTTTTTGTTGTATATGTTTATTGTATGCCATTTTCAGTTTACTATACTTATTGTCATTATATTCGTTATTCAGTACAACCTGCAATAATGTATACAGGTCCGAATTGACTTTGATGTCCCTTAAGTACGCCAGTAATAAATATTTAAGCGGAATAATGAGAACTGTTGACTCTGCGGCTTCGTGGTTTTAGGAAACAGCTATGAGCTGACAAGTTCCGCGGTAAATGAAGGCTTAAAACCATTTTGATTTTTCACTGCCCGTGCACTTTTCAGTAGTTTGTGTGGGGCTTGAAAATGACATTGTACAAATCCTAAGTAAAATTCAGTCATAATAAGAATTATAAAAAAATTTCTTCAAACAATATTTTTTTTTAAATACATGTTTTTATTCGCATGGTGTAATGTTATTTATGAAAAAGGTGAGAGGAAAATATTCAGAAAGGAACAATTAAACCCTGTGAAATAAAAAAGCTTATCTGATTCTGTAATAAACTACAGGCATGCCTATATCCTATCTGTAGTAGTAGCAGTACTAGACATAAATTGTGAATCACAAAAAATATGCATAGACCTAGAAGCACTTAGAATGAACAAAGTCAATTATTCTGTTAGTCTTAAATCATGAATATTGACGGTACTTAAATGGCGTAGGTTTTTCTTGCTTTTCTTTAGCATTTAATGCATTTTTCTCTTAAAAACAGAGAGTGGAATTAATACTTTTGCGGTTGAATGCAGTCTTTTACATATCTAAGTGTTAAATGGAGAATTGACTAGTTTCGATCACTCCAATTCAGCGCAGGAAACTTCTTTTGTAAGAAGCTATGATTACTAGAGCTTTCATCAGAAACTAGTGTAATGGCGCACGATTTTAAGTCAAAAAACAATTAAGTAAAGAGGGATATAAATTGTCACATGGGAAGAACGCTGAACATATAATGGGATCCCAACCTTAATATTGTTGACGTAAAGGGGCATTTAATGTAGCTATTCGGACAATGCGTAAAGTACTCGGATCATTCAAAATCGTTCATAGTTTTTTGTAAGTATTTTTTTCATCTAGAAAGATCATGTTTCGGAAAAAAATTAACTGGTTTTTAATAAAAATGTGCCGGCTACATATTGACAAAATACGGCAGACGATGAGAGTTATACTAAGTATTTTTTAAACTATAATTAAGTGAGCTGATGCTCTTTTAAAGTATTTATGCAAATGGTCTTCTATGCTTGGTCGGCCGTGTACTTAGCTAATGCAAATCTAGTACTACTTTGTTATTTTAGTTGCAATTTTTAAGTATTTTTATTTATTAGGTGGGTCCAATTGCATCCAGCAGCTCCTTTTTGTACTAGTCACAAAATTAGATTAGTAACTAAAATATTTTCATCAAATTTGTCAAATAACTGACCATATTAATACGACGTTTGCCTAAGTGAGTTAAGAAGTGTATATACGTGTCTAAATAAACGTTGTTTGGTCTTTTTTGGTTTTCTACTTTTGAAGCAATAGCGAAATAATGTGCAAACCTTATGGAACATTTTTTAGTAATTCGGGTATGATAAAATCAATTTTAAATAACATCTAGTTTTATCAAAAGAGTTGTTAATGATGCTCCTTCTATTCCAGTTGTTATCTAGCCTACTTTAGTAGTGTTGGATCCTCACTGGCCTGTTCTGTAAGTACGCATGTCAAAACGAGGTGCGGATAAGCCACTAGACTATAATAACTGGGACGCACCAGATGTCCCTGATAAAGCTGATGTTTTTGAAAAAGCAGACGAAGCTACAATAAGAGCTCGTAACATCATTGTTGCACGGAGGAAGTCTGCTCAGCTCGTCACACAAACCAAACGGGGTCTTTTCAAATCTCTCGATGTATTTGGCGGATATAAAGACACCACTACGGCTACTCCTGTTATTTCATCTTCAAAGACAGAAACAAAGGATGATAACTATTTATCAAAATTAGCGATCTTAAATAAAGAAGTGTCTGCGTGGATTTCTAAACATGTTTCAGAGGATCCATACTGCATCCTAACTCCCATTTTTAATGATTACGCCAAGCATCTTGCTTCGATTGAATCATCGACAAATACGTCCCCGCCGTCGGAACCTGATGCACAATCAAACACTACTGTATCTGAAAATAAATCGGCATCCGTACCTGCTCCTTCATCTTTAAAGCCGGCAGCATCTAATGGATTCAACTTTAGCTTTCAGCCCACGTCCTCCTCCGGGTCTTCGGAGGCTCCCAAACCTGTATTCTCATTTGGGCTGGCAACTTCAAGCCTTACTACTAGCCAATCATCTGCAACCCCGATATTCTCTTTTAATCCCACGTCACTTAAAACAGACGACTCAAAACTTATTCCGAGTGAACCAGGTACATATTCTGTTCATGTTTGCTTGCAATTTTCAGAATTTGCCTTACCCTAAGCTGACGTACCATTTTTTAGCTGATAACGAAGAATACGTTCCGCCGAAACCCGAAGTAAAAGAAATAAAGGAGGAAGGTTCCGTATTTACAATTAGGTACATTGTATCCCTGTTTAAATACATTGTTCTTCGGCATCCTTTCTCTTGAAGCATCTTTTCTCAAAATTAGGTGTAAGTTGTTCTACAAGAAATCAGATCAATGGACTGAAAGGGGATTGGGAAATCTTCATATAATTCCATCTGGTGACGACAAATTTCAGCTTCTTGTTCGTGCTGATACCAACTTGGGTAAGTTTATTTCATTGTCGATTTACGTTATTACAGTTATTACGTGATTACGTTGCTATAGTTATTACGTGACTGTCACATAATGTATTTGGGATATTTTTGTCCCCCGAATTGGCGAGGGGTAATCGAGCCATGCTTTATCCTTCACTATTTTTCTCCTTGGCTTGAAGTAGTCGTACCTTAGTATACCTTTCCACCTGCGATATGAAACAGCAAATGAAAGCACATGGATTGTTCGTTTGGATGTTTACTATATGTGGTCGTATTAACTCAAGGATACATACATTTAATCATTAAATGTTCGGATTCTGTACATAACAAAGACTTGAACCTTTTTATAGTGTGTTCATATTGAGTTATCAGAAACCCTTATGGGGTTGTCGGGGACATGGTCGCCCGCAAGTTCCGTTCTCACAGTCGACCCTTGAGGATATAAAAACTACCATTTTTATACCATCTTTCATGTGTGCAGGAAATATTCTTTTGAATATCATGGTGACGAAGGACATCCCGATGCAACTGCAAAAAAACAACATCACCTTCGCTTGCGTTCCTTCACCCCCACTGCCTGGTGCTTCACAGAACGACGAAGCTACCTCATCTCCCCGTCCTGTACCAATGCTCATTCGCGTAAAAAATGATGAAGCTGCCGAAAATCTTTTGTCTGAAATCGAAAAGCATCGGGGCAAGAAGTCTGATTAACTGCGTCGGCAAACATCACTGTACTTGTACCAACCTTTATGCGTGAAGAGTTTACTTTGCTAACCGTGTGATTGGTCTTCAAACTGATTTTTTTTGTAATCATGTTGGGTTTAAATTTAAATCATTTTGCCCATAAATTAACTCGTAATTTTAGAGCTTATGACTGTGGTATTTTAACACCAGTTAGTGTTGTTGCAACACTGACTCAAATCAGGATGCTGTCCACCAATTCACCACGAGGATGCAATCTTTTTTGTCAGGTGCTTTGTGAATCGGCTTTAAAAATTTTAAGCATGCGCTAATGGAAATGACTGCCGCCTCGTTAGAAGTCCTTTTAGACCAACTCATCTTAAGGTGTGCGGTGTTAAGGGATTTGATTTTACTGACTGCGCAAATTCAAAACATCGATCAATATTCAGCGTTGACGTAGTGAAACACGCCATTGCATGTAAGCAACCTACTTCTCTTTGCATGTAAAATTAGCTAACCTCACCATGAGTGCATTTTATACAGTCCTTCAAACTTTCGATACAGATTGTACTTAAGTAAAATCGACAGGTGTCTAGCGCCACTTCCAAAATATTGCATTTTGGCTAGGCAAGTTATTCCTATTCTCGTAGCTCAATAACGTTAGTCGTTTTATCCCGGTTTACTGGTAATCTACACAATGGTGTGTCAATCTTTACTTGAATTGCACTCTAGCCTCGGCCGAGCTGTCTTCAAGTAGCCATTTAGATAACAAGTCTATTTTTCTTACTCATGCGGTGAGATGGAAAAATGGGCAAAAACTATGCACCCTTGGTTTCTTTGTGCTGTTTGGTCCAGGAGGCACTCAAATACCAGATTTGGCAATATTTTTTTACGCTTTGGAAGTGACTAAGTGTAAATATGCCAGAGAAGTCTGTGTATCTAAAACGCCTTGTGACCGGTGACAGAATTCTGCACTACTTGCCTGTGAATAAGCGATACATTCTATGATGTAACGATCCCCTACTATCTGGGGAAAGTTAAACATTCAAAGACTAGCTCCAAAAGTGTAGCATCTAAATTTCAATCATTTTAAGATGTCATCACTGAAAATGGTTCGACAAATGTCATCGCTCGTTTAGTGCATTGATGACTTGAAGCGCTGGGGGCTTGCAATTTGGTTATGTTGTAATGGAATAAAAGAGCCCGCTGACCATTTGACAATGCGCATAGAATGCTGAGTGGTTTAAGTTCCCATAATTGCTCCTAAGACTAGAGTATTGGTTGTATTTCCTACTCATTCCCGACATAACTTGTAGCCGAAAATCGGGGTTGAGCCGAGCAAAATAATTCTGTTAGGGGCATTTAATTACTGATGAGATGGTTGTTATCGTATTGCATCAGGCCAATACGTGGAAGGACCTGTTTTACAAATTATCAATCCCGAAACGTAAACACGTCACCCACTGTAGTGATTGCCTTTGTAACCGTCACCCTCATATCCCAGCTCAGAAGACGATTGTGTGGGTTTTTTCATATTTTGAATTTGGAAAATAAATTCTGCCTACCATCTACCAAAGGAGTGTTGCTATTCAAAATGTGTAGAGCTGCTGTATTCCTCCATATAGGTTGGAATTTTGTTTAGCTGACTATCCGCTATCACAGTGCGCCAAGCAAGTGCTCGCACTTTGAGTACACTCGCTTTCATCTGGTATATCTTGCAAATACCTCGTGCCATTTACCAGTTTTAGTCATGGCGATCGAGCTAGAACACGTATTTGGAAATGAGGCCGTGATGTTAATCACACGACAACAACTGTTGTAACATGTCTATGAGATATGAACAAGTACACCAAAGAATGACTGAATGGTTTGTGAGTTATGGAAAAGTGCTGTGGATTAAAACTAGCTTTTGACGTGGAATTCGTAGAATTTACTCATGAGAACTCTGAACTAGCTTCAGGTTCCTCGTTTTGCTTATGTTTTAATGGCGTCAGATACAGTAGTCGTCATCAGTGATTCAAATTGTCAACTAACAAGGACAAAAACGTGCGAACTCTAGAATACTTTTCTCTAAAGGTGATTCCAAGGCCATTTGATGCTTCTGAGGCAGCCATGACAACCAACGACGGCCTTATTTTATTGGCTACAAATAAAAGTCTCATTATAAAATTTGTCATCTTTCATTTTTCTTATTGTACTTAAAAACAATAATTGGCTTAACTTTCGGTTACTTTAGAGCCCAACGGATTAGCACTGATCGAAACACACTCCACTTCGTGGTATTTAAATGCGATGCCTTATTTAACTAGTTTTTTGTCTTTCATAGTTCTTCGGAAACAGCTGACTGTGCATGACCGACGCGAAGCCTCTACCTCGCAGTGAAGAGGAGTTGCAGGAGGCTAGGATCCAGAGGGCCAACAAACTGGCCCGGTACTTCCGTATCCTGCCCTGCCCCTTCACGCAGCAGGTTAGATCTCAGTGTCTAGGGGTTACCGAGGTTGTACATTATGTCTAGACGGGCAAAATTTGGGCAAGTCTGTATGACTTTGGCCCATTTTCAAATTACCGTAGCCTTATTTCATGAAAGTGCCCTCCAAAAGTTCGTTAAAATGTATCTATTCTTTGGCACTCCCCTGTGGGCTCAAAGCCAACGTACTTATTCCGTTGCTGAAATATCTGACGGTTTAAGCAGAAGTTGCCATTTTATCGTGACTTTGCCCGGGACTTGATCACATGCTATTAATTTTCATCCGATCTACAGAAGTGGCTCCTCTGGAATTGTAAATATTTCGTTTTATCAAGATTGGTACGATCCGACCAAATGTGTAAACAAGTCGAAGTAGAGCAAAATAATTTACACTATGCGTGTGTACAAAACTCTTAGACCAATGCCCTTCTTCTTATCAGTAGCTATGATGTGGAAATCGCACTCTCATTGGAGCGTAATCAAATGACACTTAACGGTCTTCACTGTTTTATATAAGAAATTTTGCTATCATTATTGGCTCACTCATAAATACGAAGGTAAACTACATCATTCTGGCAATTAAGTTCAACTCTACGTAATCGGTGGTGATGGATCTTTGGACTAGAATAGGACCCAGATATAAAAATAACTGCGGATGGAAACACAATTAGAAAACCAGTTTTCCCCTGGATTGACATCAGACTACAAATATTCGCCTGGGAAAAAATTGAACAAGAACAGCGTGTTATGGAAGTATTTGGAAACAAGCCCTTCAGCAGAATAACTCAATTAACGGTTCACCTAACTATCTGTAAGGTATAAATAACATCCCTGCTGAGTAGGAATCGTCACTCAAAAAAATCTGGTAATACCCAGCATGGGTAGCGTGTAATTCCTCTGAAGTCGGTGGATTGAACGGAAGGCATGAACTTCAAAGGATCCTATTTTTATTTGAGTCACGATAAAATAAACATAAAAGAATGCACCATTGGAGTGAATTACTTACCAACACTGCTGTGGGGGTTATTCCTGAGATGATTGAAAGAAACATTGCTGGTATTTCATCATAAACCTAGGAGATGAACACCTAGCAGTAGTAAAACGATGTGAAATGTGTAACATCAATGTCTAGCTGCATTTGAATTGCGAACTGAGCTATGTACCGAATCGTGTATGATAAGTGTCGATCGGAAAGGCATATATATGGTTTCATGGATGATTAATGAGTGTTGCTGCATATTTAAGGCGAGAATCTTAAAATGCTGCATTCCTGTGGGAAGATTTGTCATTAAACGATGTGCCCGTCGCTGATGAAGTGAGGACTAGCTCTCGTAGGCAGTTTGATCCTCTAAGTTTGTGATGTCTGTTTTGTAACGCCTATTGTAGGAAATAATTCATTGTAACTTGTTCTAGAATAATATTCAACCTCTGTTTTAACCCACCAGAATCCGATTGACAACGCGTGGATCGAGGTGGGCTTAAGTAAACTCAAAGTGTATACTACGTGACCATGTATTGCTACGTCTAGCATAAATTTATATATTCCGAGTTTGACCCGACTTACGCACGATGACGCGGTTAACAAAGCTACAGTCGAGTGCGACGTGTTGTCACCTTTTACGAGCATCGGAAAAACCCAATTTGAGCTACAGCTGTTTGATGATGGTAAAATGTGTTGTACCCGTACTAGTGTACAGAAAACTGTCCCAATCTTCCAGATCATTGCTGTCATAAGCATTCCTTAACTACGGCATGTAAACAAAGGCGCAATACGGAGGTAGGCGTAGGGAAATGAATGTACTCCTGAACTGTGGCTCTGGTTCTTTTACTTTTATGCATGTTTAGTTCTGAGTGAAGTAAGCCGAGCAAACTTACGTCCACACTTTGATAAACGTACTTTCATGCATTAAGTAATAGTTCTGTATTTGCCATTCTTCTCATCGCCACAACCTAGGTTTTCTGCTATGCGGCTTGTCTTTTAAAATGGTTCAAAGTCGAGCAAGCGCGCATGGAGCTACTAGCTCAAACACTCGAAGCCCAGAAACAGCTGGCTGCTCAAAACGCCCCTGGAAACGAAGATGCTGAGGAAGAGGAGGAGGGGGACGAGGAAGAGGGGGAGGAGGATGTCCAGGCACTCTCTGAACATCAATCACTGGCAGATGGTCCACCTGCTGACTCAGCTGACCCTGTTGCCCAGTCCACTGTTGAACCCGAAGTGCAAGATGAAGCAAATGAGGAATCAATGGAAGCCTACAATGGAGAAGAGGAAGGGGAAGACGAGGAGGAGGACGAAGAAGATGAGGAGGAGAAGGGAGAGGAGATGGAAGAACCAGCACAGCAAGCTGATACGGTAGGGGTTTTCTTCGATCTTTTCTATTTAAACATCCTCGAAAACTCACGAATTCTAATCATTAGCTGTATGACTTAATTTTTGCGCATTTTTACACAAATTTATTTAATATAAAAAAGAAAAAACAAAGAACTTAATCTGGGGCATATTGGTTCTCGTTTTCTATGACTTTCCTCCATCCGACCTACCTGTTTCCTTGTTCAGTAAATGGCTTTTTCTGATTAAGTTCTTTACTCTGTTTGTTCAACTGTCAACTGTAGCGTTGTGCAGTCACCGTCAGACCAGTTTCCAAGAATTCGTAATAAAGTACACCCTTGCTGTCCCACCAGATACACAGGAGAACCTTGTTCAAGTTGATGTCCCGTTTTGGCGTCCATGTACTGCTGGATTGTCCGGGATCTACCCACGACCTTTTACGTTCGGGATTCTCGTGCAAAATATACCTTTCATCATCCGTCACAATTGTCCACAAAAAGACCTTTTTTTGCCGCTGGGCAGGCAGTGAAAGGCATGTGTTCATACGTTGACCTAGGTTGTGTTTGGCCAACACATGTGGCGATACCCAACTTCCAAGTTTTTGAATTTTTCCCATTTGCTTGTGCAAACGCTAGGAAATAGGTGTTTGTGTGACTCCTAATTGAACAACAAGATCTTGAAGTCTTCATCCAGTAGAGCTTGCAATTCCGCATCTTCAAACCTTCAAGGCTGGTGTCCGGAGCGCGGTTGGTCACTAGAATCGAAATCACCACCTCTAAAACGTTTGCAACAACAACCACACTTTCATAAGACACAACTTCGGCACCAGGAACACTGCAAATTGATTACTTTGCTTTATAAGCGTAAGATTTCTTTGTTGGAATTGGTATAAAATGCAGTGCCATCGAATGTGCTGTTTATCAGTTGCAATCGTAAGCTCTGCTATTAGAATAAGTTGTGTAGATCACATTGACTTGTCGTTCTGTGTTCTGAAACCTAGCGTCCAATGCTTTCAAAGCCAAAATGGACCACCAAAATGTCTATATTTTAAATAAGATTGTAAGCTCGATGAAGAAAACATGTGACAATTAAGTCACGCCTAATAAATACGGCCTTAACTCACGTGATTGTATCTTTTTAAACTACTTGCTTTTTAGTTTTGCAAAGTTAGTTACTTTATTTAGAGCCTAGGATATTCACTTTTGAAAATACCTACAGAACAGACGCATTAAAACTGGAAGTTAAAAATGGTTATTCCTATAAACTTCATGGTTGTAAAAGGGGTCAAAACTTTAACTAGGTTATATGTTATGAATTACGCATAGAATGTGGTCGGACTTTTGACTAATGACATTAATGCAACCCCTTAATTTCTTTCAATGAACTTGTTCAAAGTCATTGACACTTTATGGAATATCCTGTGCTATGATGATTGCAAGAAACGTCTAAGTTATCGTTGGGTACTTACTGGCTATAAATTAATAAAGCATAACTATTTGCCATTATATTGGCTTCTAAAATACTGAAATGGTATCCGTTTGAGTAGCTTATGGGTTATTGAAACAAGCGTTTACCCTCTGGTAATCATTTTAAAAATAGAGTTTGATATCTTGGTTGCAAACACTGGCAGGTAACTGGTGTAATTTCACACGCTGAATCAAGTGATTGTATGGAGTTGAAGGCTATCACGTGTATTCCATTCATTAGGTTTAATGGCATTTTGGCAGCATAAATATTTTAATCGTAGACATAAAAATTTGATAGTCTCGAATTTCCAAGTCCTGCGTAATTCATTTTCTGCTAAACAATTATTTGTCTTTTAATTTGATGCAATGCGTTTCTTAGCATTGGCGCTAGGTTAGCTAAGATCTTACCTAAACTACTACAACTCGATTTTGTATCTCTCTGCATGGGGTTCATGCATAGACAGGCCCCTGGTTCGATATCACTAGTTTCCCAAGATTCTCTGCTAAATTCTCCTGAAAACTTCGGTGGATTTCTTGGGCACCCTCGTACCGAATACTCTGAGCCTTGGTTATTTAGAGCAGAAAGACTATAGGCCCTTTTACTCTAATCCCATTAATTGGAAAGAAATCACATCTTCTTTTTTTAGTTAGTCGGAATGCAGTTATGAATAGAGTTCATTTCATGTTGGTTCAGTTCATTTGAAATGTACTAATCGTCCGAAGTATTTGAACGCCTAGAGTAGGCTGTTTTCGTTTTGTTAAAAACTAGAAACCACGAAATTAAATATATCCAGTAGCATTTTATGTCATAAGTGCATCACACAATCTAGGTGCAAATTCAGTCGGCAAATGGGATGAATACCTTTACAAATAATCGGTTCAATAGTACCAAAACAAAAATGCTGACACTAAACACAATACGCGCCATCTTCTGTGGGATCGTGCGACGGATATGAGGTCGATAGGAAGCTGACCATGCTGAAGTAGAAAAAAAATCGATTCGCAATAACTGACTTTTATTTGAAGTGGACACTTTTCGGGATCTTAGGTAAAGTTTACTTCAGCTAACGTGAACGCAACCGTGCAAGCTACCAAAGTAATTCGGTGGAGGAAATTGAGTTTACGCTGTAATCATAGTATGGTTCGCTTGGTGTTCATGTTCGGGATTCATCCTTCCCAAAACTACAATTTTTTTCAATCGCGTTTATGCACACCAACTTTTGTATTCACATCAGCCGCCACCTCTCTATTGGTCAATTCGTCTTTGAGTGGAATATTCGCTTTCCTTACACTAAGGTCCGTCCGCACCATAAGTGGACGCGTCTGAAAGCCCTCTCGGCCATTGGCTGAGACAGTATAGCACTCTGCACGAGGCTTGTCGTGTCCTGTCCTACTGGAGGTGGTGCTGACTCACACGTGCTTTGTCTCGTGCTCGTGCATGGGTAGCCATTGGCGTGGTACACATGGGTCTTCGGCCATTTACTCTCGGGGCCTTGCATCTGCGTACCTGTAAACAATTACGGTTCTGACTTCAAGTTATTTCAATTCACCATGCCATTAAGTCGTGCATAAGCTGCCATCAATTAACGGGCATGAATACCGACAGAAGCATTCAGAATGGTAGTTAGATTACACGGAACCTTGGTCAATCATCGAAAAGGGAACAGGATCTGTTTCAAAGTTGACAACACAATGGTTCGCGGGAAAAACAAACTAACCTCCATTCTACACCGTATTAGGGCCGGCAATAAAATTACTTTGATAGAATGCAGATTTTGTCGTATCGAAACAGATTTATGATGTAGTCTCAGATAGCGACCTCCGTTCATCCACTTTGCATCACTTTTACCCACTTCCACGTGCATGGTTCGTCTCAAAATATTTTCCTTTGGTGTCACTCATTTACTCGCAGATATACTCCATTCTAGTGACACCAATCCTATTGCAAAGTTATTGTCAGGAGGTTGGATTGGCTTTTTTCACCTTGTTAAATAATCAAAGACGCCAGTCATCGAGTTCAAGCATAATTTGGAATGGTAATTAGACTCAACATAATTTACTCTAAAGACAGGGGCACCACTAGTTACAGAGATTGAATGCGGACGATTTGTAGACTGTGGCTGTGGAAATTCTCTTTAGTAATTTGTGAGGCAGGCAGTAACCTACATTTGTGTACAGGCTCCTTAAACCAATCTTTGAACTTAGAACCTTCTTCGTCATTAATTTAATATTAAAAAGTGGTGTTTTAACAAACATTAGATAGTTTCTGTGTAACAGCAACACTTATCCTTTGGAGTAATTTTTCATTGTTCTTCTTATGGAGGAAAGAAAAATTTAACTGGGGCTGCACATGATCGCGAAATAATTAAGCAAAATATCGATTACATTCCTAACCCTTGAGGATACTGGTTGTGGGCACTCACAGCTCTGATGGCATTTAATTTCGGAGGTTTCTTGCACTGACGAAATTCACATTTTTGACTTGTCTGGACCCGTTGACCGAAGTATTTACTAGGTGGCAATCTCCGTCGAAGTCAGGTGCGTGGGAATTTGAATGTAATGTGTGGATCTGCTGAGACTCACTGATAAGCGAGCGATGTACATTTTGGTCTGGAACTTGAATTCCAGCCCTTCACGCAGCCTAATTTGTCCACATAGGTCTATAATGATGTAATAATTTGTGGGAAAAGCACCAACATCTCAGACTCTAAACATGGAAGAAGAATCCCGACGTTGAAGTAAGATAAGGGCTGTTTTTTGCTGCATTTGCAGGATCCTCTTACACCCGCCCTGACAAAACCGTGCGTTCTTCGGATTCCTTTCGCCGACACGACGGAAAAACGTCTGGCCTACAATCTCGCGTTTTCTGCAATGAAGTGTACGTTCCATACAGCTCACATTAATTCAGAAATCAATGACAGCCACAATGAAGTCCTTGCTAAAACTTGATTAAATTTTTTAAAGACAGAACACATGTGAGTAACTCACTTGGCAACGCAGGCAATACTGATAATGAGGTTACCGGAGCAAAAACAGTAGTAATTGTTCCTGCTAAAACTCTGTTTATTTCGTTTCTCTTGGTAAGGCGTCACACAAAACCCCTAGAACAGGTTGCATATCAAAGCACGCTTTCGAAGGAAACATTTCGGTTGTGTGTGCTCTCAGAATTCAGTTCATGTAGTCAGATCTAATTGACACCTGAGAACGAACCCAGGCCGGTTTTTTAACCCATGACCTTCTCAAAAAAACTGTTTTTCGGCTTACTCAGAAGCACAACAGTCAGTCAAACGCAGGTGGACTTTGCGTTCTTCCTAATTGTTGGACAACGCTCATAATGTCTAGTGCGTGGCCTGAACACACAAGTACGATTTTAGAAACCTTGTTTGACCTCTTAGGACAAGACCCGTGAAATCGGTTTACCAAGCATTGTAACTTGACAATCATGAAGGACAGTTTACTCAAGTTTTTGTCAAGTGGTCCTAAGGACAACTGGAAGTTCGTTACAAAATCCCTTAAGGCAGTACAGTCAGTTGTTTTCCAAACGAGCTGAATGATGTCATTTTGGACGATACTCGAGTTTGTCAGTCTAATAATTTGTCCAAGTCATAGATCCGCACCTAGTTTACATTAAAAGCAGAAAGTTTATTGAGTATGGTCCAAGGATTTTATGAGAACAAGGGAAGCGTGAAATTATCAAGTAAACTGTGAATACTAGGTAGAATTCCCCTTTTCCCCACCTCAGACGTCAGTATTCTGGAGAGGATCTTGGATGAAGTTGGCTTCTACGGTGAATATCCCGACCTCCGTGAGGAGGAATATCTGGTGCTTGTAACCCTCTACGACTACACCGCCCGTAGTTATCAACTCCGAACCAAAACTGAGGCTGATACCGAAGTTCTGGCTCCAGATGAGAATGAACCAAGACCCGCAAAACTGGCCGGGCGCATGTTTCTTCATCCTCCTACGTCAGAGTTTTTCCAGGTGCACTTGTTGACTTCATGAGTACCCGTTTTCTTTCAATTAGGCTACTTATTTTATTTTGCGTCTTAATTTATCGTTGTGCAATAACTCACGAAGAAATACAGACGCAACTACTCATTTCATTTGCCGCCATATCTTAGTTTCAACCTAGCGCATTTTGATTTAAGACGCAGTTATGTAAACGTCAAAGTTTCGTACTTTCTACCTTGCATAATATGACCCTTTGAAATTGTGTGGAATAGCCGTTCAAATGACCGATAACCAAACTACATTTGAATGAGCTTTATAAAGTAAAAATACTTTTAAGAATGCATCCACACGTAGCTTCATTAAAGTGGCAAATTACGAATAACAGAAGTGATCGATTTCGTAGAGTTGCAACAGGCATCAATGAAGCCCCGGCTAAAGCAGCGAATTTCATAACAGTCATTTCACATGAACATGATCATTGGTTGAGTTCGTAGAAGAACGCAGACATACTTTTGGTCTCCTTAGTAGACACAAGTGGTCCAAAACGCTTGCACAAACTGTACTTGTTTCTCCATTCTAGGCAGTAGAAAAAGCGGTCATCGAAATGTCGGTGCATTTTGCAGCATCGGTGGCAAGGATTCGAGTAAAGGAACAAGTCGGCTCCTTGCGTCTTCTTCTACCTGAAGATTGGCGTAAAGCGGAGAACTTGGCCGAGAACATGCCATTTTACGCGTGGTACAACCAACTGCTGGGAAAGTAAGTTCGTGAGGCTCTGACGTCTTACGCCAGACCCCACAGTTTGTTAAAGGCCCGGCACGTGATCTTCGCTGCGGTGAATCGGCCAACTACCCGGGAAGATCAAAAACCGGAGATCATGGAGACCCAACCTAGATGTACCGTGTGTGTGCCCGTTAAATTCATTGACCAAAACAGTTTGGGTGAACTTGTAGACGGACTAATGCATCCACAGCTTTGAATGAACAAACGGTTCCGCATGACTGACGGGGACGCTGCGAAAAGGGGATTTATGTGGGGGCGGGTGCGGTGACGGAGTTGACGGACGTGAACCAACGCAGTTCACCACAATTTCTAAATAGGCATCTGATGGGTGTTTGGGACGAGCCCAAGCCACCCGAACTTCTAACACTGTGCTCGGCCAAACTGACACTTCTTTTCACATTTGGAAGTTTGTAGTACAAACATAGAGGTGTGGCATCCACCTTACCTTTATCTTTTAGTCTGTCCTCTTGGCCAGCTGAAAGACGAGCATCCTGTGAGTTGTGTAAATTGCGGCGTGTTTTCAGTTGACAACTGAGCGGGTAAAGTGTGTGGAGGACCAGAAAAAATCTTTGATATAATGTTGGGGTGGACTGTAAGGGCAGAAAATCGAATTTTTCATGCTGTGATTGGATATCAATAGTCGTATTAGTAAATCGTATAATCGGACAGTATTAACACAAACTTATAACGAGAACTTTAATGTCAGGAACGTTGAACACACCCTTGTGCTGATGAGATCGCAAATGTCCCAATCGTCATTTAGCACTTTTGAATGTCCGAAAAAACCAAACTACACTTTAATTGGACTCCATCTTCGTGGCCAAAGTCTCTATTGTCAATATGAATGACTCAAATTTTTATATACATACATGCACATTTTCCAACCCGGTAATCACGATGGATCAAGTTCAGGGTTAACGGTTCTTCTTACAACCGGTATAATCCTGTTCACATTTAGCGGGTTTAATAGTAAGTTTGACCAGTTTTGCGATGATTAACCTGGACCTTTTTAAAAGCTAATCACTCACGGTTTCTCGTTAAAGGTCAGAGGTCGTGTTAACTTGGTTGAAGGAGAACAACTTTACCAAAGTAAAGGGTCGCCTTCCCAATCAGACTGAGTACGCAGAAGACGAACACTGCCCCGACGCCTTTGTTTTTAACACTGCCGATCGTGCGGTCATTCTCGAATCCCAAATTGTCCGTGACAGGTTTATGGTGGTTCAAGTGAGCATTCACGATTCTGATTTTAATTTCATCACAAATAACATGCCCTTTATTCAGTATCATTACACACACAGAAGTACACACGATTTAACCATGTATTTTAGCCTGATTGTGCCATTCCGTAATATTGGTTGACATACATGTGATTTTTAGACGTAATAGTTAAATTTTAAAAAATACACGTCTGATTTCTGGTGAGATTAGATCGAACAATGTATCCGTAGTAGATTAGCAGTGCATCAGATTGCAGTTTGCAAAACAACCCAGTTGACTGTTGCTGTATTTCACACAATGCGTGAGGAAACTCGCTTCCAAGTTCTACTTCATGGTTTGGCAAGATTCGATCATTTGAATTTAGGTCCAGAGGGTAATCGGCGAGGTTGAAAAAAAGGTAGTTTGAACCTTCTCCAATTCTAGCCTGCGTCTAATCTGGACATCACCTAGACAGAATGCTCAGAAGAGAACGGTCCGTCGCTTACCACCGACAGATTATATCAAAGGTCCTTTCGTGTTGTAGGACAAAAGCAACCTCTTCGCCCTGCAATGCCTTCTCTCGGTTATCGGTGGAGGAGAAGAGGTGATGATTGTCAATAATCCCAATAGCTGGAATGGAATCCACCTCGAAGGTTTACTCATGAATAAGTTCCCCACCATCACGCCTATTCCCACAATTCGACTTGTTAGACAGCCCAAGGAGAATGAGGACCCCAAGATGATCGTTAGAAGCGGTTGCAAATGTACGTGCTTGTTGTGCGTTACTATGTGGTGCTACAGTTTGATTGGTTAACGATTTTCTGGTGAGTCATCACAACAGGGATGAGGTTGGGATGCAAATCATCGTCTAATTGACTCGGCAATGCACCTACATTTTAGCTCTCCATCAAGAGACACAATCGCCTGAAGCATTGGCTCAAGAAACTAACATTTAATGCTTCATTACTTTTGCCAATTCTAACATTCAATTGCCATTTTTTCAACGTAAAGGCTACTCTGATGGCATCGTTAGTTGCCACTATAGCACGATTCCTGTCTTCAATTCTTCTTCCTGCTTTAACAGGCCCTTAAAACTGTTGTCATGACAACTAGCACACAAAATTGGGGCCAGTAAATTTGCGACCCCACGCTATATCTTCTCACATCATCTCTTAGTAGAGGAAAATCTGACTGCTAAAATGTTAAATTGTAATTCTGCTTTTGATGTGTAATCGGTACCTTTTGGGAAAGGAACCACGCAATGTTAACACACTTATTTTTTCGTGATAGTCATTTTAGAAAACAAACGAACAAGATGGCTGATGATGGTTTTTTTTACCATACACTTTACCTCGCTTACCTGGACCTCATGATCATGCTAGACGCCCAGAGCGCCTAAAAGTGTGTCAATTTTCACACTCATAAATGTTTTGCTGATAAAACTAGATTTTAAGAGAGGCCTTTTACAGCAACCTCAAATAATTTTCAACCCCGATTCGACACCCAGGCTCGCGTAATCAGAGTTCAAGCGAAGCCTCTACAACCCTTTTGTCAAATTATATTAATTTCTACTGGCGAATCTTCTCATGTACTTTCAAGCCCATTCTCGTTAAACGAAGCTCCCTCACTTTATTCTCTTTAAATCCTTTTTAAATGAAGATATTATATTCATACCATAACTGTCCAGCACGTGAAAAAGTAGAACAAGATTCCACGCTGATATTATAAAGGCATTAGGCAAATAAAGCGAACGGTTGGTCATAGTGAATCCATACCAAACTACAATATGAAAGCAGAATTAGCTGTTTGTGGTGATACAGTGTTTTCGCCACAACCTTTCATTGAAAATTAATTTAAGGTGCACATTCTGTGAAGCTATTTTTATGAAGGTGACTTCCCATGATTTCTGTTTGTTTTCTAGCCACCAGACTTATCACGGACGAATTTGTGACTATAAATCCCTCCGCCGACATCTACAAAAACCTACGTCATATTGTCATTGAGGCGGTGGACATGAAGACTGCTGTGGTCAACCCAATTGACTACCTTGACAGCGAAAACGAAGGTTAGTATGCAGCTGATCGATCAGGGTACTGTAATCCTCGTTTAATCTATTTCCAGACAGTTATTCAGCCGATAATAATTCGAAGATTTGAGGCATCAGTCCACCGAAGCCGTATGCTTGGACAAAGTTTTAAAATGTCATAAGACAGTTTGATTCAAAAGACCAAACAATTAAGGCCTCGTTGTGCCAACTTAGGCAAGTTGCTTGAATGCGCAAAAATTATCGCTGGTTCATTTCCAAACTGATAAAATCACCTAAACGCGATTTACAGGTTGATTATTCTCCTTCTCACACTAAAGGGGAACGTTACCAGCAAGGACTCTTGATACGGGCCAAATTAGTTACATTTAGTTGGAAAATCAAGGGACACGGCATTTGGGTTTAGGTACTGATCGAGTCGATACTACTAATTTTCCTAATAATTCATCAAATTGTTACGAGTCACATCGTTATACAGAATCCGATTTTCATATTTGATAAATAAACGATTAAAAAATAAAATTGATTCTAAACGCAATAATTACAGGTGCTGTTCAGTGAATCAGTAAGGTACTCAAAATTGAGTTGGGAAATAAACTACGATAATAGGTGAGCATCAGAATGAGACTTCGTCTAGTAAGATCTTATTTATCGCCGTTATTCCTGCTTATTCAAATGCCAATTAATGCATAAAACAATTGAAAAGTCGCGCTGTCTCCTGCATCTAGACAGTAGCCCTAAATCCACGTCGCTGCTGGAATATAATTGGAACAATGAGTCACCATGATCCAACCAACAAAATTGTGCAAATCTACCTTTCGTCACAGCATTTTTGAGGCAATGTCACAAGCGTTTTGGATATAAAATATACCCAAGTACACCTCATTTTAACACTGCATGTTGGAGTTTAGATCACCGTTTTTGGGATACCTTCAGCTTTTTCTGGATCCCAGATAAGTCAGAGGTATAGTTACATTCCACGTCCTGTCGTAAGAGTGAAATAGCTTAATTTATCGTTCAATTTATCAGAATTGGCGATGCTCAAGGATAACTGGACGCTCAAGGACAATCCACAATACGTCACAAAGAGACTGGAATCGCTGTCAAAGAACATGGCCAACTTAAAACACGCACTAAAATGTAAGTCCGGAATGTTGTACGCATTGTGTCGCGCGTGAAGTCAGCCCTCCGCTTACTGCACCGGTTGTGTAGGCACCGTGAAGTGATCGTGCAGTCTCAATCCTGGACGTTAGTTGTCATTCCCTGTGTGTGTGTGTGTGACAAGTTTGAAATAACGTCGAATCCCAGGAGACAATCATTCTGACCACGTCACCTGCATTCAAAATCATGCGACACGCTATGCAGTTCAGCGTCGAAACGAATGTAAACTGACGCAATTTAAGTAGGTGGCTGGAAATAAACCACAAGTTTGGTTTAAAAATAATCCAGAAAAATTAACAAACAGTCGTTACGGCGGCTAATTACAGTGTGGCCCCTAGAGCTTTAACTTCTCCGTGGTTATACAATATCTCTTGTCATTTTACTGCTTACTTACTTCGAACTGATTCAACTTTAAAACGAGAACTGAGTCATAGTCGTAATCCAATGGGTGTTGAGTTAACCCAAGTGGTGCCCCTCACAAGAGCAAATAGCACATTCGTGTATATGAATCGGCATTGTTATCGCTCATATTAGTAGGCTGGATCGTTTACGTTCCATTATTCATAATTACCTAAAGGATATTTAGCGTTGAAAAATCTCCCGATCTTAGTATTTTTCCATTGGCTAGCTCAATTTAATATAAAAGCCTTTCGAAGGAGCGTGTTAGCCAATCAAAACTCATTGTTGGTTATGCAAATCCTTGGGCGTTTTAGTTAATGGACTCTTTTGAACGTTTTCTACCATCCACTTTGAGGGGACCAGGTCTACCACATACTCTTAACTGAATTATTCTGTGCTATTAAACGCAATCGTTTGAAACATGCATTGTCTGATTTCTGATCCCTCTATTTGTGTGTTTCCAATAAAATGAATAATTGCTTTTTGATGAAAACTGACTCTATATAATGCGAGTAGTTGACTAAATCTTAGTAAATCATTGTGAGACCAACCGTACTAATATCGCAGCCTTGTATACTTATCCAAATTCATGTAACGTCGCAAAAGTTACTGCACACAAAAGAATACCGACAATGTGCGATTTCCACTAATTATTCCAATTACCATATTATTGGTCGTTTAGTCAATCAGGTGCGTACGGTGATCTTCGTCAGTCACTCGGCGGACACCGAAGAGAGCAACGTCATGGTGCAGAAATGCGTGGAGTTTGTTAACCGCGCGCTCCAACGCGAGGCGGAAAGCAACGCGACGCCCTCGCGACCGGTCACTTCGGTCCCGGGGTTTGTCTGTCGCCTGCCCAACCTCCCCTGTCTCCTTGAAGCCGAGGAAAGACTTAAGGAGGGGAACCCTACCATTGTCAATGAAGCACGTTGCATCCGATTCCCACCTTCTAATAAACACAATGGGTTTTTTATTGCCTGTCTGAAGAAGGAGGTTGGTATTGTTAAAATTTGCATTTTATGGGGAGAACTCCTTCACTGTAGTCACCGTCGTAAACCACTGTTGTAATGGCCATGTTTGTTCCAGTGGAACGACATAATAAGTAGGAATTTTAAAAAGCTTAACGAAAATTAAGTAATTGGAAGTAATTCGTAATGAGTATCACAGTAACACAGCTTTTGTTTGAATTTTCATGACCCAATTCTCTTTCACGGTGTTGCATTTTACTCAAAGTTATTTTAATGCGTGTTAGTGCCTTAGAGGTAACCCTGCTGACCTCTGCGCATGAACTCTGACGGTCTTATGTCTACGACTGTTACAAATTCATCTATTATTGCTGCCAATCAGATTAATTTTATCGTAATATCAATCATGAGGATGAGATCCTTCAGATATTCATTGGTTCATTTTGCATTAGGCCTATTTGGTACTGACAAGGTGACACGGCAATCGCGAAGAGATTCCCAATATATGTGGTTTCTTGAGTACCTCAGATTAAACATGATGAGATAAATTTTGACAGTTAATATTATATCTTTTTATTGTGTTCGTAAAAATCTAGAAGTAGTTTGACACTTCCGATTTAGTGCTCCATCAATTAGCAATTACACGACACTGAGATCGTACCAGCAATTTACGTTACCTAAAGGGATGTGAAAAAGTAATTATTAACATCTTTTAAATGAGAAATAGCAGTTTTGTAGTTTCAATTTCGATTAAATAAACGACAGAATCTCGTAAATGGGCCAATCAGATCTCGTAGTTATCCGCCCTATCCGATGTCTTATTTCTTCGTAAAGGAAGCAGCAGGCTCATGTCTGTGTACTTTTTTTCCTTTTCAGACAACTCGACACATTATTAAGTTTGTAAGGTTGTAGTATGTACTTTTGAATGATGCTCTGGCACAAAATCATACACTGGTATTACATAGAGATTGTGTAACACGACCTAATTGAAAGATTTGTTAATTACGAAGCCCCCTTTTCACTCCTTCCAGTTGCTGTTGGTCACACAACCGGAGTTGCCACCTGATGATGAAGAAAAGGGTGCAGCTGTGCCCAAAAAGGCAAAGAAAGCCAAAAAAGGTAAGAACATTTTATTAGGACGAGATAACTGCCCACACCTACTTGATGTGTTGCTGACACGAATTCCTTTATGTGTGTACAATACCCAAGCTAAGTCAAAAGTCCACTGACATCAACTAATTGTGCCATTGTCTGAATTTCAGGAAAGTAAGAAACATCGTCACTATGAGTGTGCGCGTTGTTCAAGAAGAATCTCAAAAGATTTATACAGTTGCTTGTTATAGAATGAAAATACACTTTTCGAAAGAATCTCGCGCCTTTTCAAAGTATAGAGTGGAGCCTGCATTTGCTCACCTGCTTCTTTTCAATTTTTAATAAAAAAATTTTACTAAAATGATTCTACTTTAATGTATTGTAGTCGTCTGTGATTGAGTGTCCCATGGCAGGTGTTTAATGTCGTGTACGCATGTTTTCGCCGTGAATGACCTTGACCCGGCAGATCAAGGAGGATTACAACAAATGGAAGCTGGCGATTGTAGACCTAGAAATGGAGTGACCAGGTGACGCGGAGTGGCTATTGGGGTTACGTAAACAATAACGAAATGCCGATTAGGCTTCCCAACGCAGGCTATCCTTCATTCAAGCGAAATACCGTAGGTTAATGCGTGGATGAACCGCTGCCTTCCAGATGGTATTAACTTCGAGCTTGCAACGATGCCTCATACACATGGTTGACAGCTCGGGCTTACACCACGAAGCAGACCGAATTTTAGACACCAGAGCTTCGAATCGCTTTTGACTATCCCTATAAACTATTTACTGTTACAGAACAGTCGCATTTCATTTAAATCGGATCGCAGTGTTCTTCATGAGGTCATCTACTAAGCAACGTGATACAACCGACAGTTGGCACAGGTTCAATGTATGACAGAAAGAGAATCGAAGGGTTTTTCACTGCGGTTCATGGTTCGTTTAGCCAAATTGTTCTCAATCTCGAGTTTACCTTGCTCGGAGTGAACCCACATCTCTTTTATGTTGAGGGAGCAAATATACCCTATTGTAGCAGAACGGGTGGATCCGATTGGTGCTAAAAGTCCCGTCTTTGCAACTCGGATTCATGATTCCTGCATGCAAATAACAAATTACAGAAACAACGACTTCACGGTATGGTCACATGGGAAAACACAAAAAAGGAAAAGGGTAAGGGTTTATTGTCGCTCTCCTGGGGTTACTTCAAGACCGGGGTGGCGAGGAAAGGGGATGTCCTCGGATCTTGGTGGAGGCATTTTTGAATGTTTGATCCCTTCGTTGGCGGCCGCCTGCTTTGATTCATTCATATATCTTTCCTGTGTTGAGTTTAGAAATGAATGCACAGTAAATCGGCATGAAGTGAGTGGAAGCCAGACAAAATGGTGTGAGATAATATGAATACAGCATGGATGTTGCATTCGAACGGTGGAAGAGGCTAAAGTAGTTCTACTAGACAAACGCCTAATCGCTCAAGAAAACCTCCGTGTACAATAAATTCAAATTCGAACTAAGTAACGCCTATTCGATCACAAGCAAATGGAAAAATAGCCAAGAAAAACTAGTCTGTTGTGGTCGCGGGAGGATCATCATCCGTGGATCACTAAGCACTGGAACAACCCTGCCTCATGCTTGGATCGGTGGAGAATTGTCAGTGATATCTGACTTACACTAGTTGCAATTCGAAAACACTTTGGGTTTTCGAGGCAGACCACCGTCAATTACACGTGGACGGCTCCGAATCAGGATTTCGAGCGTCCAACACGCACAGTGATGCACCAGTGGGTGATGTGAGGGTTTTATAGATGAAACAGACAGATGTGCGTCCATAGAGATCTGGAATGGTATGGAGCTGGCAGCTATGCAACCTCATGATCGATTTCTAACAAATGAGCATTTTTGATCTGAGCCATACAATAATAGAGGAATGGACTGATGAGAGCAAGGGACCCACCTCGATTTCTCTACCCTTTTGAGCTCGCAGCTTAGCGGCTGCCCTGTTGCCCGCGATCTCCTCCGGTGTTGGTGGATCTCGGCGACTGTGGCGCAGCCAGGCGTCCCACTCAGTCGGCAACCGTTGAAGCTCTACAACGGGAAGGAAATTAAACTCTCGGGAACAGAACCGTAGATATCACGAAAATCGTCCTTACAGGCTAGATACATTTATTCCTTCACTCTTTTTACCAACAAGCACACACTTTCCTGAAATAATCGAAGTAGGAAGCCAAAAATTGATTTGGAGCAGCCATCCCATCAACCAAGATGTTTTTACTATGTTGCGACAACCCCGTTCGTGTGAACTACAGTCGAGATGGTCCACAAAGGCTCTTACGAAGAATGAGCGAGCGTGAGTAGAACGTTAATTAACCGGACTACACTTCACGAATGTCAAAAGTTCCTACATAAACTGCTATTAGAAAATTTTAAAAAAGAGCTAGTAAATTGCACCCTGGAAACGTAGGTATTCACTTTCGAAATAGTGGCGTTACCTTGCAGCAGAGGTGGTCACAAAATGTTTCACGCCAGCTCTCCAGAAAGTGGTTTTCATGACCTCAGTGCTGACATTTTTGCCAACGGATAAGTACATCGATTCTCACATGAGTGAAATAACAGACCTCGGATTGTAAAGTCCATTCTGCCCCCATACGCTAAGGACGTGGCGTATCGAAGAGATTCACAACGATCGTGATTGTAACCAAAACCAGGTGGAGAGCAGAACTCAGGCCTACCCGTATCGATTTGCATCCACGAGTCTTGAACCGTCTTCTGTCCGGGCATCAGAAAGTAGCGCATGGGTTTCGAGGCGCGGTGGGGCACTTTGCTATTGACGTCGGGCTCCGCCTCGAAGTAACGATTTCCCAGCTCATCCATTCCCACCAGGGTGCCGTGTGGTTGGTTTGCAGTCCCGGCCAAAGAGGACTTGAGCTTGGACCATGCATCAGAAAAAATGTTGGCCAGGAGTGGAGCAGATGTCTGCATGCGTCTCGTCGGGTTCAGGGTCAGAGTGGACGATCGCATCGGCCCCCACATCCAAACTCGACAAGGGAACACAGAGGGGCGAAAGAGGCGGTTACAGGCCTAAAAAGAGGATACAATTGAAACTATTCTTGATGGAGCAGTCTTCTTCAACTAATATTGAAAAATCGAATAGTGAGTAACTTAACTGGCGCGTTTATGTAAAAGAGAGTGACTCTAAGTCCCGAGGGACCCCGAATTGGACATCTGGCCAGGATAGCTGATGAGTTATGTAGACAAAATGACAAAACAGCAAAACTTTGGGAGACGATTCAGCAGCTGTCTTGAAAATAAGCACACCCCATTAAACTGCGACAAAGCTGAGCCAAGCACACAGGATGGTATCATCGACATGGTGAGATGGCCTTGAATTAGAACCAAAAGTTCTCTTGAATTAAGACCTGCATTTACAGGATCAGTTGTACAGAGAACTAACCCGTTAAATACTTCTACTAAGGCAGATTTTTAATATGGAAACCATTTGCAAGGGGCCGTTCGTTAAATCAGCCGTTTATAATGACAATGCAAAGTCTGACATATAATGTATTTGGTCTGGTAAGTACTATGAGTGCCAAGAAACCATTTTAAAACGAGCCTCCCCCCGAAAAAACGTAAGCTACATTCCACTCCAGGTCACATTTGAGTGGTCTTCTACCGACTTGAGTACACACCGGACAAGATTTGGTGACCATGAATTGGGTTACAAGTTTTACAATTGATGGAAAGACTAGGCTCCACTGTGGATGATACTTAAACACCGGAGATCCACTCCAAAACCCACAACTATGCACTCGATGATTCCGCCCACAAAAACAAAACCAGAACCCGGGATCGTGGAAATCAACCACGTCGCCGCAATGGCAGCCAATAAGAAACTAATTGATTGGCTGATCGATCACTCAGCGCAAGGTTTGAAACCACAACCACTTGATGAGCAACACCTTAAACCTGTGCTGTGACTAACGCGACGTATAACACTCTTCCAAACTACAAGCTCTCGAGTCCTGGGTATTTGGCGCTGACTTAGTACCAAGCCCATAGACCTAGCTAGACTGGATCAAGTCACACCAACACCTGCGACGAAAAAGACGGCGAACACGAAACAACCACAACTGTGCCTGAAAGTGTCCAGAATGTATCAGACGATCGTGCAACAATACGCCACAAAATGAGAAATCAGAAATAAGCTATAAAGAATGACAAACTAGAACTTCATTTTCCTTTTGAATGAAAAATATGGTACATATATGTGGTGTGTGGGCTGTGGCTTTTCAGGTGGATAAAAACTGTCAAAAACACAAATGCTGAGCGTTGTCTCAACGCAATAAGTGTAATGTACATATTAAGGGCGAGTGATATTAAGCCTCAGAGAGAAGTTGGCGGAGATTCGATGCGGCGACCGAGGACGTGGTCGGTGCCTCATTGAGGTAAGCCTGAGCTGCCTGCTTAAGTTTTTTAAGATTCGCGGATGTGGTGGCAAGTTCTTCACGAAGATTTGAGAGTTCCTCCCGCAGTTTACACGTCTCTTCGCCCGCACCGCTTAATCGAGAACGCAGATCGTTTAACTGCAAAAAATGTAGAAAAAGTCAACTTCACCAAGCAATCCATTTCTGGATAAGTAATCATGTGGGAAAACGTATATGGCCACAAAAAATTCCGCATTCTCTTGGCCTTATCATTAACCAATCTAACACTTAATAGGTCGATGTTGAATTTACGAGCTTGAAACCCACACTATGTGTAGATTGGCAGAAATTCGGCGTGAGACGGTGCAAATAGGAACCTGCAGTCAGGAATCTTATGAAATCTGTGGATCAATCGGTTTTTAGGTCTAACGCTACACAGGATCGACAAACACACTAGTTGACGAACCGACAAATCAAGTCCTGTAGAGGACAGCCACCTCGCGTGAGTGCTAGCCCGACTGTACCAGTGACAACCTTTTTGTTATTGACTCCTGTTAGCAGTAAGCTGTTACGCACACAAAGCCATTTTGTTGGTATGAAACTAATAAACGGTCGTGTTCTTTGTCGCCTCCTTTCCCCTCTTCTCGGGTTGTAACTGGCTGTTAACTAGAGGGTTGTAAGGTAGTGCTAAACCCAGGTACTTGCTCTAGATGGCTTTGTAGAACATCACAAGTCTGTGTGGTGGGTGCGCGTGGTGGCTGCAATCCTGAAGAACGACCAATGACAACAGAGGGCAACAAACTTACTTCAGCAACAGAACTGCTTATCTTTGCACTTGATTCCGCAAGATCGGTTTCGAGGGCCTGAACCTGTCGCTTAAGCTCGGCACAAGCAGCACATTCCTAAAGAAAAAGTTGACGATAAAGAAAGACGCAAACGCTGGGCCAGAAATCAATGAGAAGCACCGTGTAGAGCGCATTTCACGACTTGGACAAAAATTCCAGCCTCAAGAAGGACCATATGCCAAGAAGGCTTTAAAATGGCACCTGAAAAAGGTTATTAAAACCGTAAAAGCAGGGCAACGTGCCGGTGGAGCAGCTGCAGCAGCGGCTGGGGTGTTATTTGCTCGCGTGCGCCTGGGGCGCTTGGCAGGTGGGGAAGTAGGAACACTTGTGGCCAGAGCCGTCGCGTGCTCCAAGTCTGTACGTCGGTTCTCGCTAGTTGCTTCATTTAACCGCTCTCGCGTTTCCAACAGTGTCGATTCTAGCTCGCTTAGCTGTTTCGTCAGCGCAGTGCATCGTTCGGCACAGGCAGCAGACGATTGATGTTCTTTCTTTAAGTCGGAAAGCAATTGGCTAACGCGATTGGTCTCGTCAGAATGCTCGTCCTGAAATAGGCGGAAAAAGGTAGTCAAAGGCATCACCACGAAAAGTGGCACCCCCAAGAGCATGCGTCGTATAACTGAGGATTTGTAACTGATTCCAAAATCCCCTAATTACAATTCGTCTGGACACACCACCTCTAAGCGTCCCAGTGACAGCTGCATTAGCGTTTATCCGTCTTGAACAATCTTAATTAAGGTCACGCGGACGCATTCAGATGGGTTAAAGTAGAAGTTTGCTGCACGAGGTCTTGCCTTTGTCTCAGCACTAAGACGGCGGGATTCGCGATAGGTAAGGCATTTTCGCACTTATGCTCCCGATGGCTGATAGGTCTTTTATGCACATAGTCTAGTGGTTGTGCACGCGAGTGACTAAGACCGTCAGAGCCTGGAAAATTCCGGAAATTGGTCTTCCGGCACAGTGTCCTAACTAGCCAAGGGCTCTGTGGAAATTAAAATTTTTTAAACAGATAGTAACTTGAGTTTGATTTGGTGGAAATGACACGACACAACATTGGATATCAGAGAAGCATTGATCAGAATGAGATTACTAACCTTGTTGTCATTTGAGACTCCATTGCACAAAGGAACACTGCCTAAAACGAATACCAAAATGGGAATCAGTAACACGTTATGCAACTCCGTGAAGAGCGATAATGAAACAGCCTTTTCAGAAGAAAATCACGCGTGTAATCACGTGACGGATTAGAAGCCGAACAAAATTTGGGCTCACCTTCCTTTTCTTTAGCAGCGACAAGGAGCTTTTGTGCAGCCGCCAATTGGGCCTCGGTGCTGCTTAAACGCTCACGCAACTCATTAGTCTGTTGGGCCAAGAAACGGTTGGTAGTGCGGACGCTATTTAGGTCGGTCTGCCAACGTTCGGTCTCAACGCCACCTCGTACTACACGAAGACGCACAGCTTCGAGCTCCTTGTTGGCCTGCTCCAATTGGCTTGTCTTTGTAGCAAGTTCCGCGGATAAATCGTTCACTTGGCGTTCCTTGGTCTTCATCTAAATACAAGCAATCACTTTGCCATTGCTACGAGTAGTTTTAGAGCAAATTATGAAGGCTGAGGTTTACTAGTCATCAGTAAATTAGACGTCCACATTTGCTAATAGGTTGTAAGTAGGTAAACGATGAGATTGATGACGACTTGGGGAAGTGGCATTTCACATTGCACAACGGTAGTGAAACAATCCATTCAAGCCAAATGTAACTACAGAGATGTGAGCGAATACTGCTGCGAACAGCAATGCGGTTAGTACAAGGACGACCAGATCACTGTTTCGCAAGTTGGTCGGTTCAATAAGTGAAAAACGGTAACATTTCGCTGGATTCCAATCACTAGAATAAAATGTAACTATACCGCTAGGACAAACTGTTTCACAACACTTTCTCAAAAACAGCTGCAACTTCCAGCCCAAAAGTCGAACACGAAAAATCTGTCCCATACAGGAACGTTGAGATTCAAAGCAACATGTCAACCAGAAATTCGCACAACCAACAAATAGGTGCGGCATGATGTGGTTGCTTTTAATCGACAACATTACTAAGGGAAAAACCTTCTACGGGTAATCAAGGCCAAAAAATACCTCAGAAGAGAAAGAATCCAGCTGACTGGATTTCTCGTCAAAACGAGATCTGAGATCAAAGAGTTCCGAACGCTTTGCTTCATTGTCCATTCTGAGTTGAGTAACCGTGGCCTGTAGTTCAGCAATTCTGGCTTTGTCAGCAGGATCTCCAGCATGAATAACCTGCATATGAATAGAATGGTTAGTCTGCCGTAGACGCCGTTTAGTGGCATCAACCACGATAACAATTAAACGGAGGCAGTTATTTTGCACTACAGCATGAATTGATGGAGGAAGTATTCAGTAACCACAAATAACTAATGCAACATGTTAGATGAGAACTGTAGTCATTAAGTAGCCAAATATGGCGTTCTGACAAGAACTCGAAAGCAAATCAAACTATTTTAAAGCAGTACTGTTAACAATTTACAAAACACCGTGCAAAATGGATTCAGGACTCCTTACTTGGAGTTAAGTATAATAAATAAAACTCGAATAATCATACTGGTTTTGGAGCAGACGCCATTTCAGCCATTTCCTCCTCCAGCTTCTTCATCTTCTCCTTCACCTCGTTCAACTCTGCCTCCATTTCATCCATTTCTGCTTCAGCCCGTTTCCTCCGTTGGTATTCGCGGTCGCGTTTGCCACGAAGTCGCTCAATCTCAATCTCGATTTCCGGTGGGTAGCCATCATTATAACGCCTGCCCCCGCGAGAACCACCGTCATCCCGGCATGCCGAGAGTTCTCGTTTGAGAATACTAACTTGTGCCGACAGGCTAGAACGCTCCACTTCAGCGGCTTCCAAACGGGAGGCTTTCTTCTGGATCTCCTGTTAATAAGAAACTTGATAGACCTTGAACATTCCAACCAGCCAAACATGAATGTGTGTAACCAGAAGCATTCAAATCAATGCTTTTGGTAACTTGGACTAAAAAGACAGTTGTCGAAACAAGTAATGTTGCATGAACACAGTAATAATACAAAGTAGACAATAACAATCAATGGTTAGTTTTTGTGGCATTTTTCCATTTAAGTAGTCTTACGCAAGGTTACGGCACATTCACGCCGACAGTTAAGCGACACTCACACTCGCTTTTTGATAAATGCAAAGGTTAAATGTAGGTTGGGTAAGCTTCATGGACCAACCAATTATTATCCCTTTGCTGCAAAAACCCGAATCTCCGTTGCGGGCAGATCGACAAAGGGAGAATTAGGGTAGGCCACATTTAAGTTAATGAAATCTACGACTGTCTTGATGTCCCAAGTTAACAGACAATCGTAGTAACCGCCAGTGCTTGCAACACTGCATTGGCCTTAAATTATTAAAAAAACCGACTTTCCTTGACAAAACCTACATTGGCATAGTGAAAATTCAAGAGGGTTGACATGGTTAAAATGCATAAACGCATGATTTTAAAAACGGAACTAATTAAGCATTTGACAAGCATGCAGCATACCTGATAAATGCGAAGGATGACATCCTCCCGGTAAGTTAACAACTGATTAAGTTCATGCACTTTACCCTCCAAATCCAGAACACGGTTTCTTAGAGTTGCTGGATCAGCGTTGTTTAGTTTTTCCAGCTCAGTCGGATCAGGTTTCTTTTCTTCCAAGATCCACGGAGGCAATGATGGACCAATTAAGCGAGAATTCGACTACAAATTCTAATAAGTAAACTGCAACCAAATTTACCATATCATTCTTTGAGCGTTTATCCGAATTCTTGGACTCTTTGGCGTATGTCTCCAGATTAGAACACTTCTCTTTTAAGCTTTCAATCTCCGCATCTTGTTTTTCCACCTAAAAGCGGGACCATGTAATAAAAATGGACGATACGAATATTGGTGAATCAACGGCATACAAACACCAACCTTTTCCTGTAGCAAATCCCTTTCAGATGTCAATGCTTTTAGATTTTTTTCAAGCTCATTTTTAGCCGATTTCACTTCCGTTAAATGCTCCGTAAGCTTAGCCTCCTGTTCCTTAAAAAATTGATTTGCAGCGGCCAATCCACTAGCACTAACGCCATCAGACCTTCAAGAACCAGGGTTAATAGAGGCAAAGACCTACGATTCAGCTAATGTATCCAAGAGGGCTGTTTTCGCGGCCACGACCTCACGTAACCGATCACATTCATCCGCCCTATCCAAGGCCTCGCATAAATTCACCTCTAATTTACCACATTTCGAATTTAAAGCATCAATTTCTTCGGTGAGGCTATTGACTTTCTCTTCCAATTCTTTGGAAAATTTCCGGTGTTTGTCAATAATACTATCTTTTACCTACGGAGGTAATACCACAAGAAATCAGCTACGTACCTTAATAAGACTTTCAGCTTCATTTGCCCGACGCTCAGTAGCTGCTAGCTTTGTTTCATTAGCGTCTAAGCTTTGGCGTAAACGTTCAGCCTGCAATTGGCTTTCAGACAACTCGCTTTTAATATTATCCAGGGTCTTCAGACGACTTTCTAAATCGCTTATTTGAAGTCTGCAATCCATAACTTTTTTCTTTTCATCACGGTTTTGGTTGACAAGGCTTCTGTTGCTCAGCTGTAAACTTGCAATATCTATTGATAGTTTTTTATTTTCCTCCGATAGAACCCTGAAAAATCAAATTTCGAAATTCAAAAACAAAAAGAAGAAAACGGCATAACTTTTCCACAAACATACCTGTATTGTTCTTCATAATTCACTTCCAACATTTCCTGGTTGTCTGCCATGATACCTTTGTAAAAATACCGAGTTGAGTGAAAGGAATAGTAAGAAGGAACATACCGAAATTTCCAGAACATATTCTCGACACAAACGGCCTGATCAAAACCAAACACACATACCCAAGGCAAAGCAGAAGCTTAGCGGGTTTCTGAAACACAACTGCGCGCAATTTTAACCTTAAACAACGCAGCCTCTATGAAGAGTAGAGTTGAGAAGTGGGAAGTCTGGACCGAAGCTGCATAACTATGACGACAATAATAAGGACTAAAGTGCACAACTTTAGCGACTTCCTGGACTAGGAACCCAAACAACCCTATCTGTCACCGGAGGTAAAAGAGGTATGTTTAGCCAGCATGCAACTCTCACTGGGGTAGTGGGCTTACCAAGCTACAGATCGCGTCATATCGCAAACGGTCGCAAAATAATTCTTGGCACATAACACTGCAGAACATTAAAGAGCCCAAACCATTTGCTATTATAGGGAAAACATTAACGAAAACGACAACAACTCACGATGCGCAAATTCACGAAACTTTCGAAACAGCCACAGTAAAGTATTTTAGCACATTCAAAAGAAGCCAATAATTTTCGAGACAACAACATTAGCTTTTATTAAACGTTCACCTAAAAAATTATTGCAAGATTAAAAACATTTGTATTTCTTTTTTAATTTTTTTTTGTCTAGATATTATTTTCATACCTAAAACAGGAAAGAAGAATTGACGCTTATCGCTAATTTACTCCAGTGGCATTAGACCACCAATAATATTCATCTGTTATGAAACAGCAGTCATTGATTTTAGATGGAAATAAAATAAAATAAAATTTAATCGCCATAATCGATGCCTCATATTCGTTAAAGATTCATATGCTTTTGAATATATTTTTAGAATCACTAAATCGAAATTTTATCGCAAATACCCTTTAAATGCAAGGTGCTCATCTATCTCTACGTGGAATATATCATTTCGTTAAGGATAGCAAGCAACACAAAATAACTGAAATCATGATTTATGTTTGCTGGTTTTGCGTGGCTTTCAAACATCTTGGGCGAAAACCCAATTTTTGAAAGATCATGTAAGGAAACACCAGCCAACTCGTTACATATGAACTCTATTTATTTGAGTTAATATAATGTACAATGCGACTTGTAGGAAAGAAGGATTAAAAGTCTAATTTCATATCACACATTTCGGTCCCCTTAGAGGTGCTATGCACCATCGTAAATCATAACGCCCTCTCTCAATGGGGCCTATATTTTCATGTAAATAGTACAGTCTATAGTAAAAGTATAAATTAACGCATTTTAAGCGATTTACACCTGCTGCTACTATTGCAAGTCATTAAACCAATTCAAACTCGTAAAGGTTAAGGCTTGTCATAATTTTAATTCAGTTTCAAAGTTGGATAAGCTAAAAACAATTTTTATTGTAATCGGACGATTTTTTGTGAGCCTTACCATGTGGTTTTTGAGCCATGTTAGGGCTTGCAAGTTTGATCTGGCTAAATTATGCTTGTCTTTTGCCAGGGTTTAAAAATTAGCGAAGAAGACGATGTGGACACCAACTTTTACGTCGGAACTCTGCCAAGTTCGTGTCGTTGTGTCGTGTTGCGTTTGCGTGTGTGCATATGTACCTCATATTCGCGAGCCATAGATGTGTGAACATCGAGACCTAGATGTGAGGATAATCAAGGATAAATGAAAATTGGTCGCATTTTCTAGATTTATTGAGTTTCCTAGCTGCGCAGTTAGCAATATGCTGTAAAATGGAGGAACCCGTGTTAGGGGCTTGAGCGTGAATCAACGCGATCCACCAGAGGGTGAATCACAATGTGCGAAAAGCATTACTGTCATGGATTTTTCAAATATTTAAAACTGTGAACTCAAGACCGTCTTTTTTAAATGTAGTTTACAACCGCGTTTTTCCAAAAATGTATAAATTATTAAACATTGTCACAACACATATGCAAATCAAGCATTTCGAAATAAACATTTCTCTGTTTCTACAGCAACTTTAAAAATAAATGTTTCTGCAGAATAGCCTTAACCGAGATCTATATTCAGATGGAAAATCTTGGCCGTAGTGCACTTTGACTTAATTTTATCTCACTGCATTTCTTTTTGCAGCTACAGTATTTTAAATACAATAAGTGCAATCAGTCATTGCAAATTATTGGGTCAAATATTAAACGGCTTCATGTATTTTTATAGTTTATTTGTGTTGAGAAAATATCTTGTTGACGTACTTAAGCATGGCGTATTTTTCAGCAAAAACACATTGCTGAGCCATAGTTAATTTTAAAGTAGTAAACAGTGAGATAAAGCTAAGGATGCTTTGTTCTTGTAGTAGGTTCTAGATTTTTTGTGGAAAATTTCTAGGTAAAAAACACACGTAAACACATAAAGTAACAAAATGCACTGCTAATTAGGGAAAAATCAATTTAATGTCTAAATGAGATTCTGCCACGAGAAATATAAGTGGCGAATTTAGCTTCTTTGAGCCGGCACAAAATGTGCCTGAAGAGCTGCCTAGGTTTGTGAAAAATGTTTTATTGACAGAAACAGAGTAAACATGTACATCGTCACTAAACTGCGTAAACAAACTTTTAATAAATGTTGTCATTGTGCGTCGTTTCCGAAAAACATCTGACATAAGACGAAAAGAAGTCGTTCAAAAATTTCTGATTGTGTGCAAACGCAAAATTTGTACTAGCCTAGGCTAAAAGCGCAGCTGATGACTTTTTGAAGAACATTTACGCTATCCATCCAATTACCGATTTAGTCAATTAAAATAACCTTAGGCAAAAATATAATTTCCCTAAGTAAACAAAAAATGCTTATGGTAAGCAAAGATATATTGTGCATTTTAAAATATGCAAAAATAAGTAATAGGTTTAAAAAGTCATTTACATTTAATTTTTGTTTACAATTGTTTAAATTGACCAATGTCAATGTTTCTTGCAGTGCTCTATTAAAATACCCTTTCTTTCGTTTCATTGGTCAGTTTCATGGCCTACATTTCGAATAAGAGGAATGTACTTTACGAAAGAAGAAATTACATTTCTGCATTGACAGCAAATGAGAAGATTCACAAAGTAATGCCCTATGTCCCCTGCCAGGTCAGATTGTGTTTGTCATTATTGTTGTCCATTATGCATGTTCCTCCTTGGTTTGTTTTCAAAACTCTTTTAAACTTAGTAGATGTTCCTAGCATTATACTAACGTTAATTTTTTTTTGAAGATAAGGTTTTGGTGACTTTTGTGCATCTTCAGCAAGTAATGCCTTCTTTTTTGAGATAATGTGTATGTAAAGCATTCTATTTATCGTCACTCTGTTATCCTTCATTTTTAGCCTCTCAATTATTTTTCATTATTTTTTTGTCATTCACAAAATGGCGTTTAATAGGTTTTTTCCTTTGTCGTTACCCATGCTTAATCCTTGCATTCAACTATTCAGTTCCTTAGCAACGATCAAGTTTGCAAAGTTTGTCTTGTGATTTTGGTTCTTTTTAGTGAAATGTCTGTTTATTGTTTGACTTACATATAATTTGAAGTTTGGTCTTTCTGTCAATCCACTTAAACACTTAGGCCCTGTTACACGAGTCCGGGTTTCGTTTCATTTTCAATTAAAAACGACCATGTTACCTGGCAACCTGTTTTAACAAATTTTAATGTATGAATCTATGCGATTTTGTAAATTGTACTTGATGTAGCAATAATTTCCTACCGTATTCTCCTGTTTGCACAATGCTCGATCTTTGTGTTGCGACAATTTATTTGCCCTTTACTAAAGAGTTCTTGTTAACTTTTAATTTAAGGTCTTGCATGTGAAATATTGACTCAGATCTACCTTACTGTCCTGTTTACTTCGAAATCTGCTATTCCTATTTAAGCGTCGTATGTTGGATATTTTTTCTGTACCCCGTGTCGATCTCTCCGAATTCGATTATTACTAACTTCATGAACCACTTGTTAACTTGTGCTCTCAATTGTAGCAGCAGGATTGCAAATGTTCGAGTTGGAAAGCTAGTGAAGACGTGGAGGAAAATTATCTTTGTACGCACTGTGGTCATTCTCATTGCAACGATATCAATTCACCAGAGCTTTCCACCTGGATTGGGAACGTTGCGGTGCAAATGGTGGAAGACTTAGAAACCCTCTTTCTCCTCTGTTCCAACGAGGAGGATCTCGAAACTCGTCAATTGTACTTTTGCATGCTCAAACGGCTACGCAAAGCTCTTGCAAATAAGGGGTACCCGCAAATCGATGACTTGCCTCCTTTCGAGAGGCCCAGCGCTAACTCTGCTGTGCGCAACCTCATTATCCAAAGGGTATCAAGTTATCCCGATGATGCGCTGCTTTACGTTGACTTGGGTCGACTAGTCCTCACTTACCTTAATGGTTGCCGACTACAGGCACCAAAAAATAGGAAGCAAAAGAACGAGAATTTGACTGGCTATCGACTGATTTACATGCGATGGATGTGTCACTGCTACATTCCCCTTTTCTGCACTACTTTCCCATACTTTGAACCAACCGCTGCTTTTGGGAAAAATTTTTTTCTTGCTCTCCTTCCTCAACTGAAATCTGGTCTCCTAAACAAAGTACAGGATGAAAAAGCGAAGCTCCAGTCTGAGCTGTCGACATTTATAACAGAATTAGAACGTGAGGCTCGCCTTCCTAATTCACCCATTTGGGATCCATTCTTCCGACCTTTTTCAGCCTCCGGAAAACTAGAACAAAGTGGTATTCTTTCCGACCCTTCTGCAGTGTTTGTTGATTGTAAACTTGCAAATGAGGAGACAACTGAGAATCACGAAGAGACGGTGAAGGAAGAGGAATCTGTAACACCACAACGCCGGTTGAGTAGGTCATTTAAATCTAATGCAACTTTCTCTAAGGTGTTCGTATAAAAAACCAAACCATAGCCGAAAGCTCCCCGTCTTTGTATCTCACTCGAAGCAACTCAAAAACGACCAGTGCACCTCTGTCAGGAGTTCGAAGACCCCTTGATTTCGATCCAAATAACAGTACTAGCTCTCTAACTGAACCGCTCACTCCACAGGCCAAAAGAATGCGCCTCAGCTCCCAGTCCACTCCTGGAGATATAAGTCCGCGCGAACTAGAGGATGTAATAAGAGAAATTGAAGCAGAGCAGAGGCTTGGTCGACATATTCTTCCTTCACCAACCGTGAGTTCTTTTATTTCATATTTGCCTTGAGCCTCCCGCCAGAGCTATTTCAAATTGGGATTCATTTTGATGCCTTTTAGTTACGCTCATTCCATGCAGCTCGAGACGCTGCAGCTAGGAGGGAAGAATCAGCGGGAGCAATCGAATTTCACGTTGTTAGTAATAGTTTAAATCAGCAACAGGATCCCTCTACTTATATCTGGCTTCTAGAATTACTCAATGTCTTCGCAATTCAGTTGCCTCGCATGCCGAAGGAGTACATCACCCGTCTTGTGTTTGATCCGTACGTTTGCTTTTGAGTAATTATCGTTACAACTGCTGACCTTAGTTGAAATAATTTCTTTTTACATCAAACTCTCAGTTAATCGGGTGTTGGCAAGTGTTTGAGCACTGAGTTTCTACCAACCATGTTGGATCTGTTACTGGACACACCAGACCGAACGGCCTGGTCTGTCTGCGAATTTAGTTGTTTTGGTAATCCAGCTGCCATGACCTTCGTTGTTGCACAACATCCATTCAACGCGACTCTTTGGAATTTAATAAAGTTCTCACTGCACAGGTATTCACATTGTTTGACTAAAATCAACCAAACGTGGTATCCCGTAAGTTAAGTGAACAAAATCGCATCAGCCCACGCGTGGTATTCCCAACGATTCCATTGCTATGACTCGTCCACATGCCTGACAGTTACATATCTTAACACCCATCTCTTACACATTTTCTCTTTTTAGAAAACACAAGAATCTGATTCTTTTAAAAGTGTCAGAAAACGGTGAGAGGCATGCAATCGGTGGAATAACCTTCAGAATGTTCCCTTCACAGGGCTTTACTGAAATCGTCTTCTGTGCTGTAATCTTTAACGAACAAGTTAAAGTATGTCCAAGTCAGCCTTTAAGCGGACCTCTTTTGAAGCCTGAGACTAGAGTTTGTTTTATGCTCTGCCTAGGGCTATGGAACGCAAATGATGAACCATTTGAAGGACTACCACACTCAGCACGGTGTCTACCACTTCCTCACCTACGCCGACGCCTTTGCAACCGGCTACTTCCGAAAGCAGGGCTTCTCGCGTGAAATCCGTCTTCCCCGGCAGGCCTACCAGGGCTACATCAAGGAGTACGAGGGTGCGACTCTAATGGGCTGCGAACTTTACCCCAACATTGTGTACAAGGAGTTTTCTGAGGTCATAAGTAAACAGCGCGAGGTGAGCTCCCGTTGTCTTTTTTTTGCTTCTATAATCGCCGGTCTGTTCACTTCGCTTCTGCACCACTAGTCTTTCCTTTAAAATATTGGCGCCAAGGATGCTAGTCGTGTATTGCAAAAATCACCATGCCTCGTAGTCTTTCTAGTCGCAAGGAATTTCTTGGGCGAATGTAATCGTGGCAAGAAACACACATAATATTTGAAATGGGAATAATGTGAGGTATTCTAAGAGTCTAACACGTAAGCTGTTTAAACCGGTGACGATTGACACTTGGTGACGGTGAAATGGTTCTTGTGGTGTTGCTTCAATCAAAATATTAGCTTATCTGTTCATTCGGTTGATGGACTATGAATGTGCTGGGCAAGGATTATGTGCAAAGGTGTATGTATAACTCTCTGTGATTTAGCCAACCAATGAGATGTCGTACCTGAGTCAGCCAAATTTAGAAATAATTGAGGCAATGACAATAGTCACAAGGAAAGTCTTCTACAGTTTATTCAAGACGCAAAAACAGGGAAATCCCGTTATTGAAAAGACATCAAAAGGGCAGCGTGATTCACCTCCTTATAGTCAATAGATTCGTGACTAATCTTAACGCACCATCTAAATTTTGTTTTTAAACAAATGATGTCTGGTTGCCACGTCGTATAGTGTTACATTCCTGCAAGTTATGGTTGATCCAGCCGATGTTTACAATCTACTAACAGCCGTTGTGCGTAACTGACATACGTGGATTCAGTTGAGCTTTTTGACTGGTAAGACGACATGAACGCATTAAGCCTAATTGAGCGGATGAAGTGACTTGCTTATTTCCTTAAGCTGTTTAATCTGAGCTTTACCCCCAAATGACCTTTTTGAGTTGCTAGCGCAGCCATTAAGAGTCGAAAAACAGCTCAGATGTTTGCTTTTGTGACCCTGTAATCTCGTGGCGCCCCTAGCTTTACGGATTTTTTATGCCCGGAACAGCTCCGGTCATTCCGTGTGACCGTCAGTATTCTGTTGTTATTGAAGCTGGCTTACACAAGCTGAATACCCGTTCAGCGCTTCCAAGTAGCGTCTCCCTCCCTGAATTGGTGGTGAATTCTGCTTCCGTGATGACTGGGGCCAAGTGCCTGATCTCTTGTCCTGCTAAATCGCTGTAGAAAATTAATCTTTCCCTAGTTAGGGATCGAATGTTTCATTCACTGTCATATTTCGAGAAAGCCGAGCTAATATGTCGTCTGGCAGTTCCCCTTATTTAGAACTGTGCCTATGACTTCTTTGGACTTGCATGCTTTTAAACTCTGCTCTACTCACCCAGATAATCACCCGGATAATCGCCCGTAGAAAGCGGGCCCTCGAGACTGTCTACCCGGGTATACCCAATTCCCAGTTCAGAAACGGCCCCCTGCCCTTCTCCGCAATACCTGGCCTCGTGGAGGCCGGCTGGAAGCCCTCGTCCTCAGACGAGGACCCAGAAGCCTACAACACTTTCATTCCAGCCAATGCGACGGAGCGCCTCGCTACTACCCCCGGCGAGACGCCACTTACCGAAGCTGCTGGCGAGTCAACCGCAGCCACGAACGAACCGCTGAGTGTTCAAGTTCAGGCAGCGGAGGTGGCGGCGGAGGAGGAGGAGCAGGCTGTTCCGCCTCCTAAAATCTCGAGTATTCGTCGGAATAGGCTAATCGCGTTTTATCGTGACGGCGACACAATCGCAAGGCGCACAAGAGCCAACTCGGTGTAGGTCTAGTTTGCTTCCCCGTTTCTCGTGATTTATGGATCTAGCCGCAGTTACCATCGGCACTATCTCTTATTTGAATAACGTGGATATTAACACACATGGTCAGGTTTAAGTATTTAATGGTTGTTATTCAGAAAGTCTGTTTTACTTGTTTGTGTCAAAAATCTCCTCTGGTGCAAGCTCGTTGACTGCCAGAAGGCCGGAAATGTGTTGCGCCTTCAGTGTAGGTGTTCATAGTGATTTCTGAGTTGCCTTTATTGCATGTGTCTGTGAAGGCATAGTTGAAAGGTACGTGGATGAGCACATTTGGTGTGCTCACAACTGTTGCCACTCCTGCTACTTGTTGCTGTTTCATGCCAGTGGTCTTACTTCAAGGCCACCACTGCAAGTGCAAACTTGTAGCGTCAGTTCATTTCCATCCGCGATACTCGATGCTCGTTAAAAAGCAGTCGTGTACGGTGATTTGCTTTGTTGTGGTTGGAGGAGGCGCTTTGCTGTAAGCACGTTCGTTCACATGTCTGAGTACCAGGACTCCTGTTCCGTATTTACAACTGACGAAAAGTGCATATTCACCACGAGTATCTGTCCAATAGGCTAGTGACAGTGGACTTTTTCACATTTTATTTGCAAGGGGGACATGCTCTTCCCTTGGTATAATCCACTAATAGGGATACCCTGAAGGTTATTTTGGGATGAAAAAGTGATGTTACTACTTCGTGAGCACGTCTTACTCCAAGACAAGTGTCGCTGTACCGAACTTTTTTTCTACAGTAGATCTACTGCGGAGGTTCAGCCACCAGTGGCCCAGTCGCCTCCACCGCCTGCAGCGCCGGCCTTGACACCCGCAGAGAAGGCTCGGCTGAAGGAGGAGACGCGTGTCTTCAACGAGGCTGTCGATGCTCTTGCGGAGCGTCTTCGTCCCGTCCTGGAGGCAGTGAAGGCGCACAAGTTCGCCGGTCCTTTCCTCTCCCCTGTCACTGCCAATGAGGCGCCTGGGTATTTCAACATCATAGTCTTCCCAATAGGTGCGTGTTCGGTATAGTTTTCCATTTACTTCGGTTGTTCCAATTGTTGGTCCAAGGTCTGGCATTCGCACCCCAGTCCACTGTGGATTCTCTCTGCACTGTGCTTACGTGTGGGCCCGTCTCACTAGACGACTACCCTTCAAGAGCTCTGCGTTAAATTTTGACGTGTTTTGGCTTTTGGGAAAGCAGGGCAGGCTACTTACGCTGATACATGCTGGTCTATTTGACCGTTGTTTTGCCAAAACACATGTGTTTATTGGGATTATGATCAAATCCAAAATCTGCCATCTTGCTGAACTTTTAAAATCAATTCTTTGCGACAAAGAAGGATTTCTTGCGGATAGTTGTGACGGATGATAAGAAGTATATTATTTATTTGAATTCCAAACGTGGAAAGTCGTGCGTAGATCCCGGAATAGGACATCCACTTGAAGAAGGTTTTCCTGTGTATCTGGTGGGACATGAGGAGTCGTGTACCTTATTACAAAAAAAAGATTTCTTGTGGATAATTATGACGAGTAATAAAAAGCACATTTTTTATGAGAATGCCAAACGTAAAAAGTCGTGGGTAGATCCCGGGAAACCCAGTACATCGATGCCAAAACGGGACATCCACTTGAAGAAGGTTTTCCTGTGTATCTGGTGGGACACGAGGAGAGGTGTACCTTATTACGAACTCCTGGAAACTGGTCAGACGACTACTAAAGAACGCTACAGCCGAGAATTGAAGCACACTGATCGAAGAGACCAGAAGGGGCCATTTACTGGGCAAGGAAGCAAGCAAGTCATACTGCTGCTGCTGCTGCATGACAACGCTCGACCACCTCAAGTAGCTCCCGCGAATTAGGAGAACTTGGGATGGAAAGTTCCACCACACGCGAAATTTTCACCAGACTTGGCCGCCCATCCGACTACCGTTTGTTTCGGTCAATGCGGCAGCACGCCTTAGTGTATGCGCAGTTCAAAACGCTGGAGAAATGTGCGTAATTTCGTCGTCGGTGACTTTATTGCCTCGAAGTCTGCAAGTTCCTTTCACGATTGCATTCACAAGTTACCTGAGAGAGGGCACATGGTCATGGCAAACAATTGACAATATTTTCGGTATTAAATTCGTTGCTCCGTATTAAATAAATCTGCCGAAAACGATGTGAAACTGTTTGATGGAACTGAGACTAGACCCGATATCTACCTATAAAATTCATTCTTTGTAGACTTGCGAACAATGACGGAGCGTCTGAAGAACCGGTACTACACGCATCCCGATCTCTTCATAGCGGACATGCGCCGGATGTTCCACAACTGTCGCACCTACAATCACCCCGAGTCGGAGCTCTACCGACACGTCTCCACCTTGGACAGTGTATTCACACGCAAAATGAAAGAAGTCGGTCTGTGGACCGTGCCGCCTCCACCGATGCCTCCGCCGAACACCGACCTCTAAGCTGTTCTATCCCCACTGCCTCCTTTTTTTTCTCCCGAGGTTTTGTACACAACACCGTCTTATTCGTATTGAATATATAGACATATTTGCGTCTGATCACCTGTCTGCTTTTTCTGTGCCTTGCTTAGCCCTGGTTGTGCTTGTTCAATTGGAAAATGAAGTTGATTTCTGCAAAATGAAACATTTGAGGTTTCACACCAAAACAGGGTTTTATGTTGTGCCTAAGTTGGGTGTGTTTTCGTGTGGCTTTATAGTTAGTAGCGCCGGGCAGACGTCCCAAGTCGATGTTACGCAGAGCAGAGTGGGCTTAGCATTGTCGTAAAACGTCACTTTCACAATGCCATTTCTGTTCGATGAATCATAGAGGTCGGCCATTCGTCGTTTGCTCATTAATCGCCGTATAATCTCACCTATTTGCTACACTAAGGTACTCGCAAATCACGAGCTTTCAGAGACTAACGTGATTTCGAGTCTGTCCTGCTCCTCATGGGCCGTAATTCATGCGTTACTGCGAAATTAAACCCACGCGGTCAGATACAGTCTATCGCCAAAGTGTGTGTACTTTGTACCACCGATAGAGAACCGTGCACAAATCTACGACCTATGGTTTGTGTCCTGAAGTGCTCACGCTGTGGTGCAAACCGATTGCTTGGTGTCCAGCTATTTTGACCTAATCATGTGGTCAGACGCATGAAATGTTGGAGTGTGCATTGATTTCGATGGCTTCCATTGGATGTATTCAGTCAAAGTCGATTGATCCGTTGAAGTTCTTTCCCTGTGCCTTTCATAGAACACGTGCTTCTCCTGATTTAGTACTGGTGATACCGATTAGTACAGTGACTAAACTTGGCTCATGCGCCTTCCGATTGGTAACATTGTACACCCTAGTAAATCCCTACGGTTAAATTTAGCCATATAAGTAGAAATTCATGCATCGTCTTGTGTGGTTGTCTTCACCTGTCTTCCAGTCTCCCTCGTGAATTCTTAACTTTGAATACAATCCTAGATGCATCCGCTTCAGTGTGTGTAAAATTCGCTTAATGAGGCAATTCTGAAAAGTGACAACCGAAGACCAATCACGGGACACATAAGCACTTAAGTATTTCATTCAAGTGGCAATCACACTTAAATATCTCGCTATTTCTACTTTGAGTGCTTTCGATGCCGTTGATGCGTTCCTGCTCGCATCGTCAACTTTCCCGTGTTCTTGAAAAAGGGACTTTTCTCGTGTGCTTTGGTAGTTAACAAAACAATCATGACATCAGATCACTGACCCATTTGTGTTTCTCCACACCGCACTTTTTTTCAATTCCATCTTTTCGTGAAGTCGTCTATTAAATTTCAACTGTGCATTTGTCCAATCAGATGAAAGCCTTTTTGGTCCAATTGTTTGGTCGGCACCCTACTTTTGCTACCGCCACTTTGAAACCTATCTTCCACTTTAGCCATTCTCTTCATGGCATCGAATGAAGTTGCCGATGTCTCTGAAATCGAGGCGGAAGTAGTTGAAATTGATGCCCAAGAAGACGAGCTTGATGAATCATCAGTGCCCTATCGAGCTTTCCTCACTGAGTGTCTGGCTGCAGGTGGAAACAGTCGGGTGGAATCTTCCATCGAACGCCTTTCAGAGGCAACTCGCCAATCTCCCTGCATGCTGGGAATCGACGAAGCCGGGAGGGGACCTGTCCTCGGTATTTTTTGCAATATTGCTCTTACTCATTAATCAATCAGTAGATATTTTGTTTTATCTGTTCTGGTCGTCTTTCCAGGTCCAATGCTCTACGCAGGCGCGATCGCTCCTTTGGACAAACATTCGGCCCTGAAGGCAATGGGCCTGATGGGTGAGTTAAAAACCACGTAAACCGGTCTGCTTTGACTGACAGTTTAATAGTACATTTCTCTTAAAGACTCCAAACAGTTGACGGAGGAAAGGCGGGAAGACCTACTTAAACAAATGCTCAAGGAATCGGATTGGTTGGCATACACTCTTCACGTCATTTCTCCTATGGAGATCACAGAGGAGATGCTTAGCAGGCAAGATGCCGTTATACGTCAATGATTTTCTGTAGTTTTCTCTCAAAGTAAATAGGTGTTCCTTTTTCGATGTTTCAGTCAAAAGACAAGTCTCAATGTCATCTCACAAAATGCCGCAATCGGACTTATTCGATCGGCTTTGGATCAGTGCGTGAACTTGAAGGAGGTTCGTTAGTGAAGAATTTAACGCTAATCTTTGGGCTGGTTATCAGTAGCACAATACATGTTTGATTAGATGTGGTCTTTCTGCAATAATTCACTTAACACCTACAACAGGTCGCACACACTAAATTAGAGCACTCATTTCAGGTATTCATGCCATCTTAAGTTGCTTTCGAACGTCGACGGTGCGGAATTTCATTTGCTGATAGTTGGGACCCGATGTGAGGCGGATTTCTGATTTGCACCTATTTGTGTCGAGTTAGCCTTCATACCTCAACAAGTTGCCATGTTATTGAACTGGCTCCTGCTGTCGTAGATTTGTTTACCTTTGCAACGTCGATATTCTACTAGTTTATTCAAGGTGTAGGGTGCATTTACTGTTTGTGTGCCATCGGTTAAAAAATGTGATGTAAACTCAGACACCATTGTCTCGACCTTATGTGGCTTTACTAGTTTCAATTGCATCGAGAGTTGAACATGTGAAGCTGCCTCTCATCTGGTGAGTGTTGAATGAAAACAAAACTCGTAGTGTTACTCTCCTGCAATTCCGGAGGTTGGAACTCACGCCTCACCGACCCTTGACGCAATCTCTTATGCCAGTGTGCTCTAGAAATGGCGCTCTTTTTTTCTAAGATAGTTCGGTGTAATGCCTCTCATGCAGTCGCATGGTGCCTGAATCACATCGCTTCGAGTTAATGCTGGTATCGCCTCAACTCCCTTCTTTTCCCCTTCGTAGGTGTTTGTGGACACAGTCGGCAAGGCGGAGACGTACCAGGCCTACCTGACCTCCTTGTTCCCCAATCTAAAGATAACTGTGGAGAGCAAAGCAGACGCGACTTACCCCATAGTCAGCGCGGCCAGTATCTACGCAAAGGTTTGTTTTTATCCCCTACTCAACCGCCTTCATTGAATTTACTTGGATTGTGGAGCTTGGCGAGGTCTGCACCACTGTGTTACAAAATGTCAGCAGCCGTGAAGACACCACTGTGTCTCAATGTCATCTAATCAAGTCTTTTTTTGCATAAATTTCTTTGGTGGTTCTTGGAGTGCATGTGTCCATCCTCTTGCTGAATCCAAGTTGTCTTGTCCTTAGTTGAGTTTTCAAAATGGTGTGCTGTGTGTGTGCGACAGGAGGAGCTGCTCGCGACGCCATCCGACGCTCGAATTTCTGCTTTAGTACACTTCTATGACTATCTTGTCGTTCGTAGAGCGTTGACCGAATCCAGGACTAGCGAGGTCCTGGAGGTAGAGTCAATGCTTGTGTGGATGTACCTGAAAATCCTCGTTTTTTGCACTGCGGACGGTAGGCGAACGCCTGTGTGAACGCATGGACTCGATTAGTCGTTGGCATCATAATTAGGCTTTATGTACCAATCAACTCTAAGCCATATCGTTATCATCTTGGTTTTGTCTTTTGGTGCCCAACCAAACGACGGCGTTCTTAAAGTAGCCGTATTTTGTGCATCACACTGTGCTTATCCCTTAATCAACAGCGTTACCTCTGTGGGCTTATCTAGACTATGCCTCAAATGTCTCCCCTCCCTTCATCAAATCGAACTCTATCTGCGGTCTGGGTGTCGGTACTGTCTTGCACAAGGAGGGAATCTGAGGTTTTCGCATCTAAGTGCCTTCACAAATGTACCAGTGCAACCTTTGTGAAAATCTGCCGCGTCATTTCCTAAGCCACACCGCATGGCTGCCGTAGGTACCACCTCCGTAGTTGACATTTAAGAAATGCGGAATTAATCCCAGGTCAGATTGGCACACCAGTCTGTCATGCGTGCGCTTGCATTTTTCCAGTCGCACCAAAAGACACTTGTGGTAATTTTTTTTCTTCATACTGTTTTATTACTCATTTGAGTGAGCCAGGTATACTCGGCTTGGGAATCCTTAATGCAACCAGGTGTAGTATTGTCGTGATTCCGGCAACTGTAGTAATTATTACGGTACTGTGCCTAGAGCTTGCTTCGTGATCTGTTTTTCCCCGATCGGATTTCTCGCTAGATAGCCTGGCTTCCCTCAAATCTGGCATTAGTCAGCGCTTATTCATGCTGCAATCCAACATTCGGGAACAATTTTCATGTGCCTGACAGGGGTCGTTGTCAAATCACCACCCTGATAACCAGGATCACGGTGGACCCGCTTGGCAACCAGTGTAACCCATGTGGTTCGGTATTGTTCGGTTCCTTTTCGCTTACGGCCGTACATCACCGATCAGTCTACTCACTAGGATATTTAGTAGTACTAACAACGACTAAAATGTGCTAATTGTTTTCTTTTCTGAATCCATCGCCTTAAGTGCAAAAATTTCACCAGAAAAAGACTGTTTTATGGTCGTTAAAATAGTTACCAGCCTGCCTTAGAACAATGGTTCCAGTCAAGCTTGACTGTTATGTAAAAAAGGTAGCAGCTTTGTTAACTGGAATCGTTATTTGACTTGCAATTCTAATAATACGAAATCGAGTGTGGGTTCGACGTGGTCGTAAATGCTGAACCAGACAATTTCACATTTGTTTCGCTAACCTCCTTTGGTCGGGAGTGTTCATTTTGTCTTCAAATCCAAAATTCTTCGTGTTTTAGGCCTCACTTTAGTGTACATGTTGAGATTACTTCCTGGTCCCCTCCATTCATCATAAAATAGGGTTGTGTCGATTCTTATTCAACCGAAAGTGACAAATTTAAGCAAGTTGTTCGTCATTGTTTGGCCCTGCATGTCATCCACTAGCCGTTGTGACTCGTTAGCCCTATCAGAACAAATTGACGAGTGAGTATCGTAGCTAGGTGACACCTCCTTGTGTCTATATGCTTAGTTCTTTTATCGCAGCATCCCTAGACTGCATTTTCCTGTGTTGTGGGCCCCAGCACGTGGTCTTACACCACGCCGGGTCCACGGAATTAACTCTGGCCCGATTACACTTCCCTGATACCCGCAATGAGGAAAAGACGGGAGATGATGTGGACACAAGCGTTTACTTCAGAGCTCAACCCAAACTGGTGTCGCGCATGGCGTTTGCGCGTGCGTATTTGTACCGCAGGTGCGTGAGTCATACATGCGCTAACATCAAGACCTAGGTGTGAGGATAATCCAAGATAAGTGTTCGTGTGAATGAGGTGGGAGTTGAGGATCCGCGCGGCTGGTGATATGCTGCGAAAAGGCGAACCCTGTGTCGGATTGAGGGGTTTGAATGAACAGGATTCACAACATCCGCACTACATGCACAAAAAATACTTCAATTCTTTTTCTGAAGTTTTCACTACTTGTATACTGTACGTGCTGTTTTGTCGGCCATCGCCTCTCTCCTTCGTGCTACGCAGAATTCGCGCTTTCTCAGGTCTAAGAAAAAGTAGTCCTTTGGGAAATGGCTGTTATCAAAATGTCTTAACTAACCTATTCTCCCAAGTGAACGTTTAATGTTAGTCGAACGTTTGCAAACATTGCTCCATTGATGACGCAATTAGCCAGCCGTTTAACGAGCGCTGCGTCATCGGCCATGGTAGTAATGAGGGCGCTTAAGCTTTGTTTGTTTACATTGGTCCCAATGCCACGGCGCCAACGGCAAACTTCTGCTGTGGCTCCGAGAGGCCGTTTGAGCGATGCGTCCAAAATCTAGGCCAGACACGTGATTGTCGCCCTGGTTGCTGCGAGTCAAAATAACGCTACATTGTCTAAACGACTTTGCAATTAATTATTTTTGACTGATAAAGTCCTGCATTTCCGAGGTCCCAATCGTCAATTTTTCAACTAAACGCAAAATCGAGTGAGCTTTCTTGCTCTGTTAATGCGGACAATCAGCTATCGTCATGAACATACCCTAACGTCCTTTTCTTCAAGCTGCAGTAGTTATTCCACAACGCTTTTGTAATGGCCGTCCCTTAAATTATCCAGAAGTGTATGCTTAGTGAGTGGAATATTTCATACACGTGTTGAAAGGTTTGCACTTAGAAATATTTTTGCTGCTGCGTGTGTACACAATCTGATTTGGTGTTGCATGCTCAACCTCTGGTCTAGGCCCTGACATTGGCATCGTGGGCTTGTTGAAGACATAGGGATTAGCCTAGTCCTTGACGAAGACTACCTTTACCGTTAGTTAACGCCGTTGAAGCTACCTTAAGTTGGGCCGTGGAGATTTTGGTGCTTTTTGTGTTCATTCAGTGACGAGAGTATTCTTAGAGGGCGTCATGCACCTCAGGTCTGCTGGCCTATCAAGAATTGGTGCTTGTCCAACCGTCTTGGGGTTCGTACTTTTGGGCACCTTTTTCTCTGCCTTGGGTCGCATCGAATTGCCTGATGGATGTACTTCTGTTTCCAGCGTCCGCATCTTTTCAGATTTCCTTAATACCCATGCTCTGTGCCTAATAGACGATTTCTTATTGCAAATGGGCTTCGAATTTATGCAAAAACATGAAAATAGGGCATGTAAGTAGTTGTTATTTTTCACGGAAAACCGCCTGTACCTCAAGACCTTTGTACCTTTGAGTGCACAGGTTCCGTTCTCATGTCCTAGTTTTTAGCCAAATAAAGTTTTTAACAGCTACACAGCTACGCATTCTATTTATTAAGCTGTAGTAACTAACATGTCTTTTGAATGGTTTAATCTACAAGTTCTCCTGTTTGTTTTGTTTTCGCTTCCCTTTGGAGATGTCCGAGATTTCGTCCATGCACGTCCGACTGCCTTGTCGTTTGACTGACAGCCGTTTGCCACCAAACGTTTTTCTAGGGTCTAATGGCAAAAGTGGCATGTTTGTTGTTGGCCATCAGGAGATATAGACAACCGGTTTTGCCCTGTGTTATTTGAATATTTCCAATCTTACATTCGTTTGCAATTCAGATTTCTGCCTTTCCCTGCTTTCTGGTGCATTGTAGAGAACTATTCCATTTTAACATTTAGGACACTTCACGAAGTCTAAAAAGCGTAATTTTATCACTTTCTCCTCCCTTCTTCAAACTGACACTTTAGCGCATTCATGATCTTGGCCCTGTTGGCGTTCGTAGTCCTAGTTTTCCTTCTTAAACAATGGTTGTACTACAAATCAGCACCTTCATCGATTTCAGGTAACTCGAGATCGTCTGTTGGCTCGATGGCCGAAAGAAGCACGCGGATCCGTTCCTCCGGGCACTCCGATCGGCTCCGGTTATCCTGGAGGTACGTCCATTGAAGGCGTGCAATCTTGGTGGTGGTTAATTTTCAACCTCCTATGTTTTGGAATTTTTAAAGTTTTGCTTTAAAACTAGTGCGAGCGGCTCTAGGACGCTCTCAAATTCACCGATTTTGCACCAAGCAAAAAGCTTTGCCAAAAACAGCCTGATGAGGCAAAGTCCAGATCACATTGTGAGACTCTAAGTACCCTCTAGCCTTGCAAAATTATTTTTGGCAACCGCTCTTGGTGCACAATGCTCCTAGATGGTTTTTTTGCATGGGTATTGACAGGTTAAGGTGGCTTTGAGCCCGTCTGTCTTCTCATGTGAATTTCAGTCGCAGAAGGCAATTCCTAACTCTCGAATAGAATGGTTTTTTTTATAAGGCTTATATCAAATCCTTTCCATCGTATAGTTTAGTCGTCTTGAGTAGATTCTCGTTCACTGTTGCATCTTTTGTGTCTCCTACATCTCCAATCTTCTTAATCGGACCACCCTGGTGTGGTTCGGGACTCATACTCGGGCCTTTGCATGTGGTGGCCTCGAATCGATCACCCTAGCCCAGCTTAGGGGCCTCAAATCGGTCTTCAGTGGCCTTGAACTGGGTGTTTTGTTTCATTTCGGTAGACCCCTTGACGAAGCAGTACCTACGCATGTGTATGGACCCCATCTTTGGATTTCCGCCGTTAGTTCGGTCCTCTTGGGCGACAGCGCAGTCCCTCTTGGAGGAACGCGGCGTCAAAGCCGTGTGGTAAGTGCGGAGTTCGCTAAGCGGATGAAATGGTCTTTGTTTATGAGAACGCGAAGCGTGTCACTCTGAATCCTATTAGGTTTTATTATTATCTCCAGTGCATTGAACAAGACCCGAACTTAATTGATAATCAGTGACCGGAAAAGCGGAACACCATATGAAACCCAGTCCGGTGGATGTGGCGGTATGAGGATGGGCATTATCGTGTTGTAAAAGGTCGCCCTAACGTCTAAGAGGTCACTTCTCTTGTTTGGCTATGTTTAACACTCAGATCTGCACTGGTTGTTCTGCTATTCCACTTTAATACACTGAAAATTAAACGGAATTGAGACAATTAGTGAACCGCACCAAATTATGCCTTAATTCATTACCTTACATGTTTCTACCCTCGTCCACTGATTGTTATGACACATTTTATTTTAAAATTTGCGTCCGGTGGAATCCTTGCCGGCCAGAGTCCTGGCTGGGGCACCTATTGATGTCACAAAATAGTTTTAACCACGATAATGCCCTTCACCGCGATGCCTGCTGTCGATGTAAACACAGGCGACCGTCAAAACACTTTCGTGGAATTTTTTCACTGCTGTCATTACAATGCCAGTTTGACATTCCTTGACATTCTATTTGTTTAAATGCGTCAGACAAATCCATACACAAATGTGTGGCTTCTTGGGTGTTGTACTCTCACATTTGTATTAGGTATGTGGGTATGTATTGGGCATGTGACTTAATTTTTTGCAGATTTTTCAGCACAGATTGATTTAATGCTAAAAAATCGAGAAAACCGTACTAATTTTTGGAAAATATCGTCTATCGTATTCTATGACATAACGCCATCTCTCAGGTAATGTATGAATACCGTCGCGAAAGGACCTTGCAGGCTTCGAGACAATGAAGCCATCGACGACGAAATTGCTCACATCGTCCAGCGTTTTGAACTGTTCATCCACTAAGGCGTGCTGGTGTATTGACCGAAACATGGCAGTGGGATGGGGCCTTGCATCAGCAAACAAAACTTGCCTGCTCCCTTGCCCAGTAAATGGCCCCCTCTGATCTCTTGTCCCTTCGCTCAGTTTGTTCAATTCTCGACTGTGGTCTTGCGCAGTCAACGTTCGATCAGTTTCCAGGAGTACGTAATAAGGTACATCCAGATACACAGGAGAACCTTCTTCAAATGAATCAACCCTTTTGGTATCGATGTACTGGGTTTCTGAGGATCTACCCACGACGTTTTACATTTGGAATTCTCGTACAAAAAGTACATTTTATCACCCGTCACAATTTTTTAAAAGGCCCTTTTTGTAGCAGACGTTGACCTAGGTTGTTTGGCCAACACATGTGGTGAGACCCACCTTCCAAGTTTTTGAATTTTTCCCATTTGCACAAGCAAATGGGTGTTTGTGTGACTACTAATTGAGCAACAAGATCTTGTTGCGTTTGCGTGAAGTCTTCATCCAGTAGAGCTTGCAATTCCGCATCTCCAAACTTTCGAGGCTGCTGTCCGGCGCGCGGCTGGTCACTGGGATCGAAAGTACCACTTCTAAAACATTTACAACAAAAGCTACACGTCGTATACGACACAACGTCGACACCACGAGCACTACAAGTGGATCCTTGTGCTTTAGAAGCATGCGATTTCCTTGGTGGAATTGGTATGACATGCAATGCTATCTAATGTGCTGTTTATCAGTTACCATCGTAAACTCCGTAATTCGGCGAGGTAATGCAGCTCACGCAGACTTGTCGTTCGGTGTTCTGAAGCCTTGCGTCTGATACTTTTAAAACCCAAAATGACCGCAAAGATATTTATATTTTAAATACATTTCTAAGCTGGGAGAAAAAGTCCGCGAAAACTAGATCAAAAACCCAATAATAATGTTAACGCCGTTTGTTCTTAGAAGAAATGACTGGTTTGACGGTTTAACGTTTCCATTAATCTCAAATTGCCTCCCAAACTACATAAAGCAGCTGCTGATTGAACTAGCTTGACCTTTTTATTCATTGTGGTTAAAAACATTGAGTCGAAGTTTCTCGTGGCCTAAAAGTTTCGGCGATGCCACCCCACACTGTTAGTCTATTAACTAAGCCTCACTATCGTTTGATGGGGACATTTCTCATGGGTCCAATAGAAATTCGGCCACCCAAACTCCATTGGGATTGGCCAAACAAGCGGTTGGGAAATTGCCCTAACAGGGTCGATTTTATTGCAGCGCAGTGATAACATCACAATGCGTGCCAAGAGTTGCCTTGCGTTTTTATCGCATGTTAAATTATGCCTAAAATGTTCTTTTCTTTTCACGAGCCACATACGGAGAGCTGTGTGTTTTCCCACGCTAAATGGGCGACTTACACCTGCGTCGAGTGAGCCCAGGTATCGTGCTGTCTGTTGCAATACTGCTGGTTATTTTGGCGTCATTGTAATCAAACAGGTTCAGGCCAGCACAACTCTACGTGCGTCCGATGCAACAAACTGATTGACACTGAACGTAAATTCCACGTGATAATTCAGATGCACTGTGTTGCGGTGACATGGAATCCGATTTCAGTAGGTTGTCGTCTGTGAGGACGTTTCTCCGTTGGTCGTCAAGACCCTCTCAATTCATGCATGAAATTGTTTTTGCGCTAGTTTCCCAGAAAACGCCAATTGTTACCCTTTGTTCGCATCTCAAACCTGTTACGGCTGCAATTAAACCCGATGCCAGACAACAATGGGCTATTCACGGCATGTTTTTCGTCGTTACCTAGTTAAGTAAATAGCAATTTATTGGCGAAGTAAGGGCGAACGGAGACAGTGCGAAGTCACGGTGACCTCTACACCATCTCGTCGAAGCTGCGAGCATGCACGACAACTGGGAGACTTGTCGAGAAGTCAGGATTCCGGCTCCCAGGCGTCTGGTGCAGCCGGAATAGTTCATTGAGTTAGTCATCCCTCTAAGCTCGCGGTGATGGCTTTTTTGCATCTGTGGTTACCAATCCTTCTCAGTGTTGGTCGAGTCGATTTGTTGGAAAGAGATCCACACAATCACCCATTACTCTGAGCGCCTAATTCCTTGTGTTTCGGACTGTCCAGCGCACGAAGTGCGCACAGACCCGTCTGATCACGTCGCTTAATTACCACATGACAAGGTCCTTTGTCTAAATGTTTGCATCTAGTTCATAAAGTTAATTTGACAGCTTGACCTTTCACACGCCCCACACGAAATTCCCCACATGTGTAGGCTATTTTCATTCCCTCCTGCACATTACCCATCCCTGTTTCCACTTTTGGCCATTTAAAGTTAACTTTTGTGTGTTTTGCGACGTGTCCTTTTTAGGGAGGACGAACCCGAAGCCGACGAGGTCAAAGGTCGTCGAAGGAAGCGTCAATCCGACGGGTCGACCAGCATCTCCAGCTTCTTCAAGGTTACTCCCGCTCGAATCGATCACTCGAAGCACCGGCAACCGTTTTTCGTCAACACCGGCCTCTTTTCTGTCGAGAACCTTTAACTCCAACTCTTACAAAATTCCCACTTGATGCATTTGTCAAATTCAGTGTGAATTGTTTTTTTATGCATGTCCTGTTTGTATAACACTGTACTTGCCACTCCATGCTTCCATGCTTTTATTGGCTTGGATATAATCGATTGACAAAATCACCAATAACTTGCTTATTTCCGTTGGGTCTTGCTTCTATAATTTGTCGGGTAAAGACTAAAAAACAAATCTTACTTACTAAAAATTTCAAGTATTGCTTGCTCTCGATTTTTCCGCCAATCAAAGCTAGCGCCTGTGGTTATGCACACCCTTACAATCGTCATTAATCACCGTTTGACTAAGACCGCCAGTGTGGAAGATGAAATTGTGGTTAGGTGGTGCTTGAGTCTTCTTGTCAACCGTTTCCCAATCAGTGAATTGTCGCATGTTAATCAGGTGCATTTGATTCGGCCACGGTCCCTCGACTATGTTGTTCCAGCCGCCCAAACGCAGCTTCACAGTTTAGTTGAGCACCGCTGATGCTACCAAACACGGACTTGGATATAAGATAGCAGAGGTAGACAAATTAGTTACAAATCGGGTCGTTGAGTAGCTTGGAATATTGGATGCTTCGCGAGTGGAGAAGGGCATTTGGAGAGGGCTGGCCAAATGCCCATGATAGTCTTCCGGTCTATGTTCGCACTTTTGCGAGCCCTAATTGTCGATTCGTTAATTGGCTGCAGCGAAATACACTTAACGATTCTAAACCAAACAGACGACCTCTTGATCATAGGTTGTGTAGACCCTCGTGTTGATGGCAGACGTGCTAAGAACCTTTCAAACACAAAACTTGTCTTTAAAACGGGAATGGTTGTGCTTAAGGTAGGGGTTTCGTTAAATTGGCCATCCAGTCTAAGTGGTGTAGACTAGCGGCTTTGGGAGAAGTGCTGCGAAGCCTGATGGACCACAAACCTAAACAGCGAGGTAGTTTGCCAGGAGGCTCTCCATTTGCCCAATTCATTGAAAAAAGCAGTACTGCTTGTGACCGGTTGTTATTAGGAATGATACGAGGCTTCCCGTGTCGGCTTCCCAGGATTCAAATATCTTGGAAATCCTCCTGCGATCTTACTCCACATCTGTTAGGCTGCACAAGGTCAAGAATTTATTGAGGCACTAAAACACGCATTGATTGGTGACTTCTGGAAACATTGGAATACCAGCAGTGTCAAATATGTTCTCCGCTTTACGCACTGGGACTAATAAATTTACAACAAGATGGCTGCTTGACTTCAATCTCTAGGTGTATCTAGAGAGCGCGGCGCCTGAAGCAGCAGATACGTGGTTTCTTAGGGCTGCAAAACAACGGGCCCACAAAAGTAATCATTTTTTGACGGGGTTCCGGAGGCACGAAACCTAGTGCCCTCCACATTTCGAACCAAATTAGCAATAAACCAGTTACTTTAGTAAATATGCAATCTTCTGATTTTGCCTTTCTCTTCTGCGTTAATTTTCACGCACCAGGTAAGCCAGAGGCTTTGGGTTCCAGAAATGAGGAGAGTTCTCGTCTTTTTCGTAATGTACTTTAATCAGAGAATTTCGTCCAGTTTTGTCTGCCTTTTGGTGAATTGAGAAAATATGAAGAACTTCATTCACGATTTACAACCTCACCGAACATAAAATAATGCATAATTTAGCTAGTTGGTTTTCCTTCCACCAAATAAGCTGAATTTTTTTTCAGATTTGCGTTGCGACGACTGCAAATACTCGGTTTTTGCCCAAATAACTGGGAGTAGCCACACCCAATTGCACGGCAAAATGCTCGCGATTAGCCATTAGACTAGAAATGAACGACCGGCCCTCCCCATCTGCTAAATAGTAAACAAAATGAACAGCGCATCCAAAGCCATGCCGCCTTATGTTACGTACTGAGGAGAATACATCAAACTCTTCTGCGTCAAGATCGAGTCAACAAGGGGAAAAGTCGGAGTCGTCACTTTTTTTGATAAATTTGAATAAAATTGGGAATTCAGTTTTTTGAAAAATCTGGTCCACTGGTCTTGAATGTGTGTGTGTGTAAAATTGTGATAGGCAGAAACTCGGTGTTTCGATTTTGCCACGTACAATCAGAGGAGCATTCTGTCTCACTTCAGGACTAATCTCAAATCGCAAGCCTCACAAGCACAGTCAACATTTGTGAAATTGCTTTTTAAGTTGAGAGTGCGCCAGTCATGACAGTTTATGTGCAGCATGAGGTGACGCCAATTTAAAGGTGAATAATTCCACTTAAATCACAATTTCATTACCAAATGCAGCACACCAGACAAATGCAAGGTAAAGCACTCAAACTATGCAAAGGCTGTTATCGCCACCAGCTGGTGATTACTTTGCTTTGTTAAATAAACGATATGATTGAAGGCACAGGCTATCCTCACCTTCTTTTGAGGAAACTTGCTGTGGAAGCACTAGATGACTCACTAATGAATTTAATCTGACATTCACTTCCCTTAAGCCAATCACAGACCACGAATTTGACGCGGATTTTTATTCTTCTGATGACTCTCAAAGCTCTAGCATCAGCAGCGCTGCGTATTCCCTTTTAATTTGTGACGCCGAAGGGATTTCATGAAAAAACAAAGCTGATTTGTTTACCGACATGCACGACTGACAATGTGAGACCTGGATAACAGACGCCTTTGGTGGTGGGCAAGACGTTGCGTGTTCAGGCTGAGTCACTGCCGGTTTCCGCATGCCATGGACGCATTCATTGAAGCGGCTACTATTGATAATTGAGTTTGGCTGCTTGAATGATATTTATATTCCAATGCTAAGCTAGTAGATTCTGTCGCCATTATAGAGTCGTTTAGCTTTTATACGGATTCAGGAAACTTCCTTCAGGATAACTTACTGATCTCCACAGGATCTCACCACACCTTAATGCTTATTAAGATGTCGGCAATATTCTGGACTGTATAGTAAGTGAAACAATAATCAATACTCACACCAATATGAAGGTGTTTTATAGTACCAATGGACAGAACAGTTTTGTCCTAAAATTCCCCCAACTACTTTTCTCTGCGTTACCAGAGACCCTTCGACTCAAATTATTTTTGATTTGCTACACATTTTCATTACTTAGATGACGGTGCCAACCTGATTATACAATCAGTTCCAAATTAAGGAGATCTAAATGAGGGCGTTTGCTGAAGTTTACAAAAAGCACCTTCCTTCACGAGTTACCATTTTTAAATATTTCGCAGAAGGAAACTATTAAAAATGATTTTTGGGATAGTCTCCGAGTCAGGCCTTCGGTTTGGTGATTTCAGGAGCGATTCGATCTATTTCCAGGAACTTTGAGGCGAACTTTTTTTCACAAGAGGTCGTGACTCGCTTTTCACCGGAGTCCTATAGATACATTTATTGGCGCACATTTGATATACCCTCATGCAGAATTCTCGTTCATTTCACTTTGCGTTATATCGAGACATTGCATTCTACTCTGCTCCAAAAAAAATAGAAGCTAGATTCCCTTGATAATTCGCTTTGGTTTTTGGAAAATAGATGAAGATTGTGGGACCGCAGTTCGGGCAAATCTTCCACGAATGTCTACACTTTGCTGCAAACCTTGGAAGCCCACACACATCACACCGTGATGATCCAAGTCCATGGCATACTCAGACAAATCGCCCCATCACGTTAACGGACACGTCTAATCATACACCACCGTGCCTATACTTCCCTTGCCACTCACCCGACATCAGTTGTCCAAGGCCTCATTTAGGCTCACACGACTTGCTTGGCCCAGCGAGTCACGACATTGTTAATTTACCAAATAAACAATTGAGTCCCTCTGTCTCATTCTGTCTCTGGGAACTTCGCGCCGTATCATGTCGAAAGATCCCCTATCACTGAGTTATTAGATGCATGATCTAATTCTTACAGATTTTTAAGCAAATTCATTTAATATATTAAAAAATAACGGACAACGAAAGTAATCTTGGAAACACTGTCCCTCGTTTTCTATGAACTTACCCCATCTCTCATCTAACGACGAATTTGCGTAAATTGTCCAGAGATTTGAACGGTTTATACACTAAGGCGTGCTGCTGCATTGACCAGAACAAATGGTAGTGGTATGGGGCTAAGTCCGTGTGTGGGAGAGCCTACCATTCCAAGTTCAAGAGGATCTTCTGAGTCGCGCGAGTAACTTGAGGTCGAGTGCTATCATGCAGTAGCTGCATGACTTGCCTGTTCCTTGCCCAGCAAATGGCTTTTTTGATCAAGTTCTTCGTTCAGTTTGTTCAACATATGCCCCTTAATCAGTCATGTGCTTGAATGATTCCCTATTATAATTCCTGTGATTTGGCCCTTGATATAAGTTAGGCAAGTTCTCACCATCACTGATCCTCTCCATCTCCTCCGGGTACCGCGTGTATTAATGTTCCACATTAATCCAAAATCGCCATAGTCAGGGTTAACTCCAATGTCTTGCAAAAAGGTGGCTCTACCTTAATTGTAGTTGAATTTATGGTTTTATTCAGTCAGTGGGGTATTTATAGTGACCATTACTTGACTGAATTTTGCTTTCTCGAACATGTTAAGAGGCTTGTTCTATTCCCAGTCATAACTCAGCTTACTTAAAAATAATGGGTATATCGCCTTCGTGTTGGAATCGACTCTTGTGAAATGATTTGAAATTGCACTTAAATTCGAGGATGCCGACATCGATATCCCCCCGTAGATATGATTTTTTGAATCATGTTGCACAATGACCTCTCAGTTAAATGCACAAGTCTTAGCCCTGTTGCCTTATTTCGAGAAATTCCACAGTTGGGTGACAGTGACGCAACTTTTTACAAACGATTAGTCTCGCCTTTTGTCGGCTGTGTACACACCCGTCTGAAGTCTAAGCAGAATCACCACAGATGTTCGCCATGCTTTGCTGATTTAATTGTTAACCATTAAAACCTGGAGGGGACTATGGCTCCAACATATAGAACGCCCTTCTCTAGAGGGAAGAAATTTCGCGATTTCCGGGTCATCTTGAGGTACTTCTTCACAAAGCTATTTAAGATTGCTTTGTTGGTTTGTAGAAACTTTCGGCTGATCAATGACACATTTGGTTGGAAAAACGTCGATACTACAACCAGCTAATCGCGGACTGGCGGTTTTTGGAAAACGAACATGAATGAAGTTGGCACAGCAGGAGATGAGTGCCTGGATGTTTATGCGGGCTAACATGTTGCGCACGCACGAGGGATTCGGTAGAGTGTGTCCTGTTAAATGTCACAGCCTGTGATAAAACGATGGAGGCACCAACCACCAATTTGAAGATCTAGTTCTCCGACAGCAAACACGAATATGCTCGGTTTGCCTGACATAACAGAGGCTTCTTGGGTACAAACATACAAAAATACAGAGTTCAACCTCATTTCTGGATAGCAGGACGGCACCCGCTTTGGGCCGATATGTCAACGGACACCGGAAGTAAACAGCTAGAGTACAACAGAACGAAAAGCAGTCATGGTCGCATGCAATGGGCATTCCAACCCATTTCCTGACATATCACGAGCCTTCTTTGGGAAAGTCACTACAAGGTGCACATTGCGCTAGATTATGTAATTGAGTATCTACGGTATACTGCTATCACATTTCAGTGGGTGGGTAAAAAAGTGGTAGTAAAAAAGGGGTGCCGGGGGCAAGACAGGAGACACGAGAATACAAGAAATTAGTGTGCATGTGCGAGGGCGCTTTACAGTTAAATTTGAGACCGAATGTCGTGAAGCGAGGATCAAGTCGAAGATGGAGGGGTGGGGAGGAGGCGGGTTTAGTGAAGCTGAGAGACGTGGTGACTTGTGCTGTTGGTCGGGGTGATGCCACAGGGTGTGCCAGCTGCGGCGGCGGCTGCGGCTGCGGCTTGGTTTCGCTCCCTTTCTCGACGCTTGAGAATTGGATTCGAGGTGTCGGCAAGTTTTTTCAGCTTTGGCGCGTTGCTCTCGATGCGCATTAGTTGAAGACCCTCCCGGAAACCCTCCTGAAGAGATGCAGAGTAAAATCAGTTCTGCCAATTACAATCGAAGTCTAGAAAAACGCCCAAAGGTTGGTCCCTCAACTTCTGAATAGCTTTCACAACTAGATTATCCCCGGACACGGCACAAAAGTTTGGGATTTGCTCAAGAATAGCCATTGACGTGGGCACTAGCAAATATTGAATGCAGACTGTTTACATGACGTTCCAATAAGGCATCAATATCTGACCCCACATCCGAAATGTTTCATCTTGCAGTTACTTGGTTATTAGTAGGCATTCAACACGAATAGAGCTTCGTTGGTGCCTACTGTGTGTGGAATCAGAAGCAGAACATCTAGGAGACGTGTAGTAAGATGAATGCAATCCTACATAACAAGACTCAACAAACCATTGAAAGCCCACTGTTCAAAAAAAAACAAGAAAACACTAAACTTGTTTTGTCATAGATAAATTATATCTCGCACACTTTGGACGATCCACTCTCTAAGAAATAAAAGCACTGATTTGGGAGGTACAATTTTAAGAATGAGAAGTTTCTCAATCAACCGGCTGGACCAGTCCTAGTCTACAAACATTTACCTTATTAGATACATGACCTAGTTTTTACAGACTTTTTCTCCGAGCTTAGAATTGTATTTAAAATCAAAATGTTTTTGCGACAGGCCCACGTGAACTACAACACCCCTCAGAATAACAGAGTTTACGATGGCAACTGATAAACAGCACATTCGATAGCACTGCACTTCATACCGATTCCACCAAGGAAATCGCATGCTTCTGAAGCACAAGGATCCACTTGCAGTGTTCGTGGTGCCGACGTTGTGTCGTATACAACGTGTAGCTTTTGTTGTAAATGTTTTAGAAGTGGTACTTTCGATCCCAGTGACCAGCCGCGCCCCGGACTGCAGCCTCGAAATTTTGGAGATGCGGAATTGCAAGCTCTACTGGGTGAAGACTTAATGGAAGCGCAACAAGAGCTTGTAGCTCAGTCAGGAGTCACCCAAACAAAAAAAATTAATATTGGTAAACACCACTCCATAGTTTTAACCCGGTCAGCGTGATAAAAGTGACAGGCACAGGAAGCAATGAAAAAACGAAACTAAACTAAACTAAACAGCTTAGTGCTTGAATTACTGCTACAGTGCCCACGGAATTTACATTGATATGGGGGACGGGGGTAACGACAGTTAATCGCCTCCCATATGTGCCCCTAATGTCAATATTAAAGAGCTTATTATGACGGCACTGTCCGACGTATTGACAACTGTTCTTATGTGTTTTGAAGTCACGTCAATGCGCCCAGGCCTGTTTTGGTATGGTACACATTCACGTGATAAATATGAAGAGATCTTCCAGTAGTACGAATTCACTAAAATCGCATACAATGGGTACAGCAGTTATGCCGACTTATAGAATTGTAGCAGCTCAATTAGAGTGAACCCCGGTTCAATAAATATGTTTCCTGTTGCGACAGAGATGAATTGCATTTCCCAGTTTAACGCTTCCTTGAGAAAACACACATTTCCGAAAACATATTTTCATAACCGGTTAAATTCGCTCTGCATGGAATGAAACCTGTTTTTGGTCTAGCCCTAACCTACAACCATAGATCATGTTTCAACAAAAAGTCACCCTAGGTTCATCAATCCGGTTACGTAGACATCGATCGGAAACGCGTATTTGCACGAGTTCTAATTGGGATCGAGAGGAACTTTTATCACGTATATTTTGCCTAGTTAGTACCAATTTGTTACACCAGAGTGTACAAATGACGCCCAGAGACCGGCAACGCTCGACTACACGCATGTAGAATTATTCTATCTGTGTTGGGCAATTGTCTTGCTCTAACAACAATAGATGCTTTGACACGGTGTGAAAATCTTGTCTGAAAGTACGCGTTAATTCGGATAGAGAACACGTTAAAACGCACAACCCAGTGTTTGGACATTTTGATACACTAGCTCGTCTTGTGACCGGGAGGTGAAACGCGTAAAACATCGGAGAATACATGCCGATTCGCATCCCTAGGGTTGCTACCCAACCCGTGGATTCAACATTTTGACAGCGTGGGCTGAAGTGCCTGTGACACTTAGAGTGTAGTGGTGCAAACCTCAACACGAAACATATCATGGGGGGGTTTAGGTGATGACTTAAGCGGATGGCACCTGCTTGCGCACGAGTAGTGTCTGAGTTTGGCATAAAGCCAACACAAGCAATGGAAGAAACCTTTGATCTTGCACATATGCATATCAACAAGAGAGTTAATTAGTTTTCTTAAATACACATTATGATTGTGTTTGGCTAGAGCAAAATATGCTCAGTAAAAACATGTGTAGTTAATGCTTACTTATGGAATTTGACATGATAATTCTTCATGTTTCATACCTTTTCACTAGGAAAAGGTCAGCGTCACTACCAGGTTATGAGTTTGTTACACCACACTCGCCTTACTTATCGGCAGCATAGGCTGGATCAGAACAATCCACGGATTCTCAAGTAAAGAAGAGAAACCAATAGGTACACGTTAAAGGAAACGCTCTAATGGAATGATGCTTGCAGGTAGATAGATATTAACCTACATCCGAAGCAGAGTAAAATGTCTCCATACTTACGACTGTCTACCAACTTAAGTGACTCCAGTAACTATTGGTGACAAGGGTAGTTAACTGGCCAAAATCCTACCAAATGGGAAGGTATGTTGTAGCGGCTTGCATTAAACTTTAGACCAGTCCCATGACGAAATAGTGCCATATCACAATTCATAAAATGAAGAATTTTGCTTACTTTAACTTCATTCCAATTTCGCCTCTCCTCATTGAGAATGTTGACCGTAAGAAGAGGTGTTTGAGGTGCCGATCGATACCGCATTACCCACGGATGCCGCATGACCTGTTCAATCGTTAAACGCTGTTGGGGCTGCACGATCAAAAGGCTGGTTATGAGATTTTTAGCTGGCAAGAAAAAAGACATACCTTACTATTTTAAATACAAAGGAAATCACGTAAACACGGGCAACTGCCATGGGCGATTTCTAGCCCATGTTTTACGAAAAAGGTACATACTCTGTCGTTGGATTGACAAGCACAACAAGCTGAACTTAATGTCCAGAAACTGCTTTGAATAATTTGATGAGAAAAAGTTGTACCATGAAAGTTAACAAACAAACATTTTTCATACTCGAAGAATAAAAAAATACCAATCTAGCAAGACCCTTTATTCCTAGTTGAGGGACCCAAAGCAGGTGGGTAATAATCATCACAGGGATAATGGTTGTAGACTCTGAAATTGCTCAACCCATAGGATTAATGAAGGTAGAATGACGCTTCTGACCAACAAAATGATATGAAAACAATTAATGAGGCATTTAAATTAAGACCAAGAAAGCCAAGCGCCATTCCATAGATACTTTAAAAAATGAACTCAAATGCCCGCATGCCATTGACACCTGCCCAGTTCTGCTCTACCTACAGCATATTATATCTTCAATTAATGATTCCTTATTATGCACCTCGCTACGCATTTGTTTCATTTTGTTCCCTTTTGCATAACATTTAAATTTTAGGAAAGTACGCCAATAAAACTGCGAATACTGCCCATTAGTTAATAACAAAATCGAGCTTTGCTAGACTAACTAAGTAAACGCCATTCCTGCTTACCTTCTTGAGACACAGCATTCCATTCATTTGGAGGGAATGTATAGTGACCGTTTCGTATGCGAGACCTCATGCCGGGAGAGAAGGGATCACCGCCTTGGCTGTAGAAGGGCGGATATCCACATAATCTATCCAATTAAATGTTAAAATTGACACTTACAGAATGTATGTGATAACACCAAGCGACCACATATCACATTGTTGGTCGTAAGCCACGGAACCTAGAACCTCTGGTGCTGATATTTTAAGTAAAGTAACAAATATGCAATACATACCGACATAATAAGGGGTGAAACATGGGGACTTCAGGTATTTCCCCTTGAACGTTTCTTTAGCAAATCCAAAGTCAGTTAACTTAAGAATTGCATCCGAGGCATCTGACGAGAAAAGCAGGTTTTCAGGCTACAGTAATTACTTCATAACATCATTAAATACCTTTAGGTCACGATGGGCAATATCTCTCCTGTGAAGGCACTGGATCGCAGTGGCTATTTGATAAACTATACGCGCTGCGTCTGGAAAGGCAAATAAATAAACCAAATGCAAACCATTTTCGGTAAAACCTTGTTGGTGTCTAGTCTGTATACGGTTGAACAACTCGCCACCTGACATGCATTCCATTACGATAAGCAGGTGATTTCTTCCAGTGTTTGTATTATTGTTTTCAAATATGTCAACAATTCTTACAATATTTGCACAGTCGTGAACTCTGTAGTGCAGCTCTACTTCCCGACAAGCCTTTTCGTCATCGCCAAGAACCTGAAATACAAATAGCAAACAAAAATCAAACAAACCTTCAGTGCATATGTGTTGCCAGTGGCCCTATGTATACACTTGAGAACTCGTCCATTGATCCCACTACCGAGACTAGTCTGGGTTATTTCATACTCATTAGTAATGGGGGTAGTTTTCACGGGAAAGCCGTACCCAACCATCTCAAGATCAGACAGCCGCCAGAAGCCTCAGTGTTCAGGGCCACAGGGCCAGCGATGCCCAATTAGAAGTTAATTCAAGGTAGCATTGTTCAAGTCGAGTCGACGTGTGGAGTACTCATTTATTCTACAGGTGTCATTAATATATTTTCAGGCTTTAAATTATGAAAATATGCATAATTGCATTGTTTGGCATTACTAATTATTTAAAATAGATTAGATATTGACACTAATAATCAGAAAATAATTCACCGCAAATAACCGCGTTTGTGACCTATTTTGAATCAGATATTTTATTTTGCAGTCTCAAAACACTAGCTAACATCGATTTAATTGTGTTTGTGTTATCATTGCTAAATTATCTTAATCACGTCTTCAAAGTCCAAAATCATGAAGAGAGAAAATTCACCCAAATATAGTGCATTTTATACAACTTTATTCAAGTTTTTCCTTAAAAACGCATCATGATTTTATCAGAACTTTGTTCTGATATCGTGTGTTTTATGGTGCTTAAAATCCTTGCTCTCATGAATTGAAATTGTACCTGATATCTGAGCATGATATTTCATGATTCCTCCGAATTTAGAAAGGCCAGTATTTATCATGCTTTGTTATATTTGGTTGTTGCTAATCAGGAAAGCTTTTTGTAAGCTTAAAAGCTTAATATCATTAGCTAAAATTAATCGCTTAATCATATTGACAGCCCCCTTAATGTAGCTCACATTGCTAATACTAAACGTCGGTTGAGGCAATCAATTAAATGCGAGAGAATCTTTTAATTAATAAAATTTTGATTAGGTACAATATAATAACATAACGAAATTTGCGGTACCATAAAAGCTTGCTTTTTAGTTCCCGAAAAGATTCAATGTTAAAAACTAAGAGCCTGACCGTTTCATAACATGCCTTATTCAGCTTTATTGCATTCAAGATACAAAATTGCCAAAATCACTCTCTCCAAAAAATCACATAATACAGAAGCTAACAAAAAATCTTATCATAATACAGAGCTTGTAATTTGTATCTTCAATATGCAGCAATTGATATGCAATTATTTGCCATTTAACCGAGGTAACCAAAGCCTATGTATAGTTATTGATCATGTATGACGATAAATTAAAATGTAATGTGCTGACATATCAATTTACTGATTTGCATTTCTTCAATTCACACATAGCAGTAAATACTAAATACAAGGAGCAAAAAATAAACACATCTATAGTTTTTCTACTGTCAAGCTTGAAAGATCTTTTGGGTTATGAACAAAAATTGAGAGCCAACGTTGGCGCTGAGGTTCAATTCAATACCAATTTCTGTTAAAACCCCTTAAAACCAATATTTTTATCATTTTTTTGACTTATCGAACATTTATGGTCACTGATTTTATTTTTTAAACTGAATTTTTGTGAATGGAAATACAAAGTGCATTCCGCGGCATAATGAAGCACATAATTACCATTACAGCATACTCGAACCGGTCACACAATCATACATGATTTTGGCTGTCGTAAGACCTTAATTATTTAATGCACTAGTTCAAACATAAACTTAATATTCCTATACAGGGTGAAGGAGGTTCTTTGATGGACTCGCAATCATTGTAACAGGCTAATTCTTCTAAAGAAATGTTCGCGACAATGCAGGTGCTTTGATTAAGCTTGACTGTTGCATTCTGTCTTTGTTGTTAGACAGTCAAGCTCAAAAGATTCTTCCGGCTTCTGAATAAATCTGAGCTCTGACGTCGGTGCCCAGATCCAATTCAACACGAATTTCTTTTAAACTCCCTTTAAGTGATAACGTGCGTAAACTTGACCTAGTTAGTGGCTGGCAGATTACATTCTCTAATAGCAGTATCATAGACGGTTAAACAAAGGTTCCTAACAAGTTCACAAAGCAAGCTGGACATGTAACACTACTTGGTTTGAGTTGGTTGGGACTTAATACGCATTACACGATATCCTTAATATTACGGTTCCAATGACTTGAGATATCGGTTTAATTGAACATAAACTAGTGACCTCGTATGCGTCGTCGTTGGTACGAAACGTGTCCTATTTATCTCGTCATCATATTGCAGGTCCTCAAAGACACTAATAAGTCAATGAAATTTTGATCAAGTTACAAGACTAATTGGAGCAGTCACAAGCATTTTTGACTTGCGATGGTATTAATGCGGAGTGCCTAACCAGCCTCTATGCATTACCAACCAATGATCACTTCGGTTTCATTTAGGATTTGCGGGTTCGTCATCTCAGTCTCCTTCCCTATAAGGCTTTCTCTTCTTCCTGCGTACCTAATCAAAAATAACAGTATTTTCTATGCCCACACCGGATGTTTCTGCGGGTCCTTGAAAAAATCCTCCGTACGCCATTATGAAAGTGATACGATGTTACATTAGAGGTCAGAAGTTGAATGTGATTATTAAATCCAGCTAATAAGTCTCTAAAGCAACAACTTAGGTTGGATTATATTGACAGATCAGTTAGAATTTTATTTAAAGGTTGATGTTTTGAAAGTTACATATGATAAAGTTCACGAGGTATGCTATTTTAATGATAGACAAAGCATAGTAATTCTGTTTAGAGACATTGTGTTCGTTTTTGTTTTTCACCTTATTTTATATATTTTTCCAAGCTTGCGCGCTTGTCTTAATTTTGTGTCTCGAAACACTTTTGATGAAATGAACATTTGTCGACAGTTTTGTCGAACAGTATCTTTATTACTGACCTCGAGGCCTTTCTCAAGTTGCCGAAGTTTTAATTTAAATCCACAATTTGAACCGCATGTATGTTTTTGACCTTAAATTTTGTATTTCAGAGCTCAAAATTATCGAAGTGCTTTACTTGTTTTTAACAAGATCCTTTTTCTACACATAGTTTAGTGTATATGTTAAGTTAAATATTCTTAAATATTCTTATGTTTTCTCCATGTGCATTGCAGATTCTTCCTGGGAATTTAGCCAACAATGCCAGAAACAATACACTTCCTCGTGACTATGAGAGGATGATGCAGAAGGTTATGTTTAGAGTCGGCCCTACCACTATCGCTACGAAGCGACTTAAGCGCATGGTCATGAGCAAGCGTGAGACTAAGTTTAGCGAAGAGGCTCGTCTATCCACACCCCAGGGTCGCGAGATTATATATCGCCGACTTCTTAATGGCAAAAGAAACCTCGTACCTTTTGGTAAATAATTTGTATCTTACGTCGGAGTTGAAATGTAAATAAATAGTTCGTGCTTTTTTTCGAGAGCCTATCGATTTTCGCAGTAACACAGTTTTTTAACTTGTCATCGGTACTTTTAGATGATGTCACTCGAGCTTTTGCCTCTGTAGCATCCTCCAATATGGGCAGTTTTTTTAAGAGTCTTGGCCAATTTACATACGCCAGTTATTTTGAATTTTTTGTGTTTGATCGGGTGGTTTCAGTGAACAATAATTAGGCAAAACCGAAAGGAGCCCTTGAGTGCAGCTATCGACCTCTTTTCTTTGTTCACTTTGAAAACCTCTTTTAGGGGGGCACGTCTGTTCATCCAAAAATAATTTAACTCAAAATTCTGTCGAAAGTGTGGTTAAATTTAGGCCATATAGGATGTAATTGGCAGCATAGAGGTAGCACATCTTTAAGTCTGGACGCTTTAATTCATTAGTGAATGTGACTCTGCGGTTCTAGGTGTAACAAATTTATCCGTTCGATTAAATGGCAATCGGAAGCCGGTGGTGAGGTCCACGTAATTGTTCCAGGCAGCTCGGTTATAGTTTAACTTTGTACACCCAAATGTTGGCCAATGTGCTCCACATGGTTAGGTTACAATCCCTATGCTTAATGTCTAAGTTAGGAGGTTCAGTGTGGTTTTATTGCTTGTGAGAACAGCAAGTCGGTATTAACACGCAAAATGTAAAGTGCTGTCGGGAGTGGCTGAGGCCAGCACAACTACTGATTTTTGACGCCAATAAGCGTAATTTTTAGTGACATTAGCAGCTACCTAAGGGGAATGTCCTCTAGTTTCTACTTTTGTCAATAAGTTTTGTACTGGCGAATGACCCACTCAAGGGGTTATTACGGTTGTCGTGGCTTGAATGTTATTTTAAGTAGCATGGTAGAAATGCATCCATAGTATTAAAACAAAATTTATCAAATAGCAGTGAGTTAACTAAATGTCCTATAGAGATTTCACGAAACGACAGTTCGTAAATGTTTTCCACAATTTAGCTGAAGAGTCCTTACTGCAGCAAACATGAGGGGTTTCTGAGACTATGTTTTCGACAACTGATAAATAAAGCATGCCAAATTATTATTTAGGGAGTTTGCATTGAATATGTAAAATGTTTCAGGTCAATTTGGTTCTACCTAACTGACCCATCAATTTAAGTCAACTTTAGCAAACTTGTGAAATGACAAACCTGCAAGTCGTAAATGAAACCTAAGTGATCATTAGTTGATAATGTAAAGAGGCTGGTTGGACATTCCGCATTAATACCATTTCAATTTAAGAATGCTTGTGATTGCTCCAATTAGTCTAGCAACTTGATCGAAATTTCATTGACTGCATTAGTGTCTGTGATTAGTTGGTTGTGTTAAACGAACAATACTTTTCTTAAACAGCTGATGACTGGCGATGAAATGCCTTACTCTTCATTAAGGTAGGGGTCAGTAGAGATTAGCTCCACCAAGGGAACCACAAGTGCCAACCAACATCCGAAAAATCATTCCGCCTTTCAAAAAGTACTAAGAAGGTACTGTGTTCCATAGGTCTGTACCAAACACCAATGTTTTTGAGTTCATTGAGCATTTTCCGATACCTGCATAAGGGAAGCGTGTAGACAGGACTCCGGCATTAGTTTACCACTTAAAAGAGCGTATTTGCATCACGTGCTTTCAGCACAACTAACGATGACGTGTTCGAGGTAGCCTGGACTCGTACCTCCAGACTGCAATATGTTTGGGATTTCGCACAACGGTCTTCATCATACGCAGTTACTTGTCTCAAAATCATGCACAAACACTTTGGGCCAGAGGCTCGCTAACAGGTCTCGTGGTTCTACAATGAGGAAATTGATCATGCACGAAGATGTTGGTGGGCCATATGCTGGCGAATGGCTCACGTGTGATTGCTATCACATTTTTGTATCATTTGAAATGATATATGGGGTTTTGTAGAGGTGACTGGGTAGGCTCAATGCATGGATTAGCACACCGACAAGCTCAATTATCGGTTAGTCCATGGAGTCGTAATGGCACTGGAAATTCTGAGTTCCATAACGAATTTTTCAAGAGCTTCTAGTGGGTCTGAAATCAGACGTCTGCGAGCCGCTGGATATAGTGGATGCATCGTCGTTCCTGGCTTTTAACGACCCATATTCACTCAGTCATTACCGACCAATGTATGCAGAACAAGGTAAACAGCGATTCACTTCAGGCTGCTGATTACAATTAAAAGGTTTTTGTTGGAGGTTAACCTGAGTCCCCGAAAAAAACTTTTATGAGCACATTCCTCCAAATAACCACTTTTAGTGAGGAAAGCTTCCTATTTCCTGCCGCATCTGCTAAACACTTCTAGTCATTAGAGGTTAGAATATTGAGGATAGACCAACTGCGTCTCTAGAGGCAAAACACCCTCCAAGTCTACTGGTCTACTCGATTACGGTTACTTTCATCGAGTCAACAACCTTGATTAGTTACAATGGGAGGATGATGCGTACGAGCTACGATCTGCTCGACTGGGAGGACAAACATTGGACTCACGGAATATTGTATTCATCTCAACTAGCCAACATGGCAGAGGTAGGTGGGACTGTCGAACCTTTTGCCGAATATTTTGCGGACCATCTGAGGCGCATCGATTGCAATGCATCTGAAGTTGCATATGACGGCTATTTTAGATATCAAACATGTGGTGCCGATGACTACCTGTGATGAACTCCACTAGGGGCCAAGATTAGTGCAAAAAAGCCTACGCACAGCAATCTGAAACCTGTACAAACGTTTACCGAGGGTGTGGTTGACCAAATTGTTTGTTACGGATTTATGAGTAAAAGTGTATGCGTAGGTGGCCACCAGAACTGAAGACTGTAAGTTGCTTTAGCGTCTACATTTACTAAAGACAGCTCCTCAACCACCCATCCATCCGAAATAGCAAAACCAAGACCTTATTTAGACAGCGTTTAAAATGTACTTATTACAAACACACATACAATGATGCTTGAATTGCCTCCAAGTGTGGCGACGAATCTGCACGACGACGGCTGAAGTTGCAAGGAAATGAAGATACAGAGTTGGGAGAAGATGAAGCGTTAGATTAAGAGAGGAGCAAGAAGGAGAGGGTGAGTGAGGCCTAAATTGAAGAAGCTAGAAGAGCTAGGAGAGGTAGATAGAAGAAAACCTGTATCAAAAACCTATAAAAACGAGAGCTTCATGGCCGTGAACGTGACGAGGATGAGGATGAACTCGATGAAGACGATCTCGACGACCCCGAACTACTTCCAGAAGACGATGAGCCCGTGGAAGAGCTGGATGTGGACGGAGAGGGCTTTCGCGTTGGTCCACCTGCGTTCTTCGGCCTGGCCTGTTGTTGTTTTGATGCAAGGTCCTTCGAGGAGGAATCACCAGCTCCGCTACCTGGTTTAGTATCGCCGCCGCTTCGCGCAGCATTACTGCCAGAGGGGCGCGTACTTGAAGTCAAGGGGCTTCTAGATCTTCGATCTCGCCGAGCAGGAGGACCTGCAATACGATGACGAGATAAATAGGACGCGTCTCGCACTAACGACGACCCATACGTGTTCAATAAAATCGATATCTCAAGTCATGGCGACCGTAATAATTAGAGTCTCAGGTAATGCGTATTAAGTCTCAACCAAATCAAAGCAAACAGTGCTACATGTCCTGCGTGCTTTTTGAACTTATTAGGATGCTTTTATTTCGATCACCAATGGTGCTAACATTGGATTAATGCATTCTGCCAGCCACTAACTAGGTCAAGTTTACTCAAACGGTCACTTAAGGGGGTTTTAACTTCAGCGCTCAGGTTTATTCACAACCCGAAAGATCTTTTGAGCTTGGCTGCCTAACAATAAAGACAGAATGCAACTGTCAAGCTTAATCAAGGCACCTGCATTCTTGCGAACGTCTTCGTAGATGAAGTAGCCTATTACCATGGTTGCGAATCCATCAAAGGACCTCGTTTACCCTGGAGGGGAATGTCTACTTTATGTGCGAACCAAATAGTTCCTTTGCTACGATGTAGTAAGACAAGCACAACTGTATTGCACGGGCACATTTGTCCTGCTGTCATCCGGTAATTAGTATATGCTAATTTTATCATCGAATACGCATTTCCTGTGGACAAAACACAAGTGGAAAATCAGGCGAAAATGGGTAAACATTGGAGGCCAAAAAGCAAACCTACGGGAACCCCTGAGCTGACCAAAGCTCTGATATTAAACAAAACTTTTGCTAGTCAAGCCTCCGGTGGTATCGGTGGACCGACTGCACCAGGCTTACACTCTACTGTACTTATCCCACACAAATGTCGTAAGAACAATGCAGACCTGCGCGACAAGGCCTTACAATAACTAGTGTCCGCTGCTCTATGACGTATTTTCAAAACCAGAAATCGTCAACCCAGCAAGTTAGTGCTGTCCAGAGGCAGAGTGCAGATGTATGCATCAAGACACCATGAAACAAATTCTAACAAGGTGGACAGCATAAAAGGAGATCGACGTTATGGGAAAAATTTTGAGTATTGCGGAGTCTGAGGTGCTGCCGCCCATACCAAAAGGTTAGACAGGGTGGTCTTAAAGTACGAACAATTTATCTAGTTACACACGTCTACGGTCGTAATCAAAAAGACCCAGAACCAGGCATATCTGTCCTATCGACCCTACCCCTAAACATTCCGCCAGCACGATAATTACAATTCATTTTACATTTTCCAAGTTCCTTCCTAACATCCACATCGAAAAGTGGCTTTATTAACTACGAAATGAGCGTGTTTGAAGAACAGCACCAACATGGGTTCCCACGGCAGAACACTATGGGGTACTCACTTGGCCGGCGGTAGCGTGAACTGTTGCCAACGGGAGATCGAGCACCACCTCGGGCACCTGCGCGCGAAGCGAAGGGACTGCCACTGCTGCGCCGTCGGCCGGGTCGCGATGACCGATCTGCCATGGTTCGGGACGAAAGGGGGGAGGGAGAACGACGCCGACGAAGTCGGTCTCGGCTCGAGTCCCTGACGCCAGTGCCTCCGGTGCCAGCGGTGGCGACAGATCCAGACGGAGCGGCATCTGCTCCGCGATGACGATCAGCATCTCGTGCCCGAGAGACGGGCTCATCGTGACCCGGTCCACGACCCCTGCAACCAAGTAAATAACACATCTTAATAACGCACGTTCCTCTGTTTCGAGGTTGGGATGCAGTCAATGAGTACTGCTAGTGTCTACCTAATTACGACAAGAATAATCAACATGGGGGTGCTACAGAGTTCCTGTGGTATCAGGTAAAATTCAATAAAAAAACTTCCTGCATTGTTACATTTGTGTAAATTACAAAATATTTACGACTTTCGTTTACTTTTCGGTTAAATACACGGACCGATATTATTTATGGTTGAACTAAAAGTGAAATGTGGATACCCCATTTTTTAATCATTCACGTTTACCCGAGAGCCGTAAGAAGCCTTCCCCCTTAACAAAAAATACATATCAACTTACGTTTTTCCAGAAATGCAGAATCTTAAGTAATTGATGTGATACAGGCACTCAGTGGTTTGTCTCAAGGATTTGCAATCAATAAAAAAGGGAGTCCATGTTGACCATTTCGAGGGCAGGTCAAACTACCAGAGAGGCCACCAACGCAGGAGCCAGTACCAGGGTGTTAATTTTTCCCAGCACGACCATTTGTGCAGAGGAATCGGAAGACAAAGCTTTGCGAAGATTGCTGCTCCGAAAGTGCCTAGTGCGAGTGCATGTGACAGTACCGAGAGAATGCACGCACTAAGCTTTCGAACAACCATCGTAGTTGCTTCTCAGCTATGCACAACAAAACGTCTCATGCTGATTCACGTCCACTGACCCGGTCATCGCCTTCTCCGGCACACTGACCTTTTCACGACGTCGCTATCGATCATGCGAACCGTCTGCTCACACATTCCTGTGCGTGCGTGTGTGTGAGTGTACCTCACCCCGCTACCCATTTAATTCATCTGGCCATTCTGCCATTTTTACTTTTACGGATTCACCCAGACTGCAGTGGTCAGCAACCCCCATTATTCAGACAGACAATTAGGTTGAGCTATCTAGCCAACGGTTGGTTCTGAAACACTTATCCGGGGCTCCAACTGTAATTTTTCTGATTAAATAGAATCGGTAACATCGAACTAGTCTTGCGTGAGTTGAAGACCTGGAGTGTCAGACACGTACGAAATCTCCCAAGCCGAGAAATGACCTTGAAATCGGGTAATTTATGGAGTCCCGATACAGAATCCGAAACTTAAAATCCAAAAGCACCACAAAATATTCAAATAATTGAAAAACCGGGATTACTAGGGGCGAAGTATAAAAATGGATCATGGGTGACCCTTTGCTTTAATTTTGACACAATCTTTGATGACAAACTTGTTAACAGCTAACATTTCCCACAACATAAATTTGTCGCTCTGATGATGTTGTCTTGCATTCACAATGCGCGAAGATGCATTTTACCTCAAAAAAAGGCCAAGCTCACACCCCACCTTTTCACAACAGGACGAAATTCAATGTCAGCAGTTGATAGAACTACGTGTGTAGCGATGTTCGGGAAGCCGAAAAAGAGCAATGTCAATACACTGTGTCAACGCTTGCCGTCACCTCTGAGCGACAAATGCACACACCGCCTTTTGTAAACAGCATGAACTGCTGTTGGTAAGAAATTTAGTATGTACCAAAGACTAACGCTGCGGCCACGACGATGTATGTAGACAATGTACGAGTAATACGAGAAACCATTTTTTAATGTGCTGTACTGACGTACATACGAATGGGACATATTACTACAAGTGTTTCGACAATGGGCTGGAAAAACGCTATCATTGTCAAAGCGTAGTATTTTCGCGCGCCTTCCTTTAATTTGTCAGTAGGATGCTAGCTCAATAGAACAACAAACGTCCCTCGGTAACGACAAAAAATTCGTTGAAAGCTAGCACACAAAAATGCAACAATGCGGATTTACACAGCTCTTCTAAGGGAAGCCGCACCGACTAAATCTCCAACGCCAAGATATACGCATTACAGACTGCCCCTAAGGACCTGATTGGACGACTTCGTGCGTGGGAGTGAAAATAGTGGACGAAAAATCCTACCTCGGAGGTGAGGCCTGATGATGTCGGCTTCGGGAGACGGGGGAGAATTGGCGCGAGGAGCGTGGGGGCGGCGGTGGCAGCACCTCGGTCACATTAACCTCCTGCCCGTCGATCTGGCCGCCATTCATGTAATTCACCGCATCGGAGGCAGCCTGTGCGGTGGTGAAGTCGATGTAGGCATAGCCCCGGTGGAACTCGGGATGCATGTGGTCTGACGGCATCTCCACAGACTTCACCTGACCCCAAGTCGAAAATATCTCCGAAACGTGTGCCTAAACGAAACCGTTTTGAGTAGTTAGAGACATGGCTCTTATCTTAGCATTGCCAATTCAATTAACGCAATCAAGAAATTGGAACATGAATAGTGTGAAAGCATAGCAAGGACTTAAATTATGCAGAAAAAAATGCGACCAATTTTTCGATATCTTGTTTTCAATACGTCTGCATTTACAAAACGTTACTGCTCGTTGTACCCTAAAAATGACCCGATTAAAAAGCATGCTTTTATCAGATTGTAATTAAGGCAAATACAACCACTTTTCTGAGACCGATGACTTATCTGGAAGGTGAATTAAACTTGTTAAGGTTACACGAGATCACACATGAAGCGAGGTACGTAACCGCGATTGATCGAAGCAGAACCCAATGAGCAAAAGCGACGTCACTTGACTCAGCGGTTTAACACATAGGAAAATTGAGGGCAAACAAATCCATTGAAAGGCTGACGTGGGGTCAGAGAGCGGCTGCGCACGACTTAAAACTTACCTCAGTAACGTTTCTGGAAAGTTTTGTGACCATGACACGAGTAAACTCAGGCAAAGCGAAGGCAGCCGACTTCAGGTGATCCTCTTTCGACTCCGTCTTGGAGGCAGCAGTCTCGGTCTCCTGCTTTTTGGCTTCCTTAGTGACCGGCATCTCGTCTTGTTTCTTCGCAAGCGCCACCGCATTATCGTGGTTTTCTTGCTTTGTTTGGAGTGGCTTGCTGCTTGAGGAGATCGCTACGTCTTCTGACGATACCTTCTTTGCTGCTGATGGTTCTGTCGTAGGTTTTTTAGCTGGAGCTTCGGCGGAACGCTTCGTGTATGGTTTAGAACCGTTTTTATCCTCATAATTCCGTTTCGCATCTGTCGAACGATCTAAAGCATGGAATGACAATAGCATTAGTTAGACCACACAGAGGCACAACAGTTGCTTTTTCGACCAGGTTTCCATAGTATTCGAGGTCTTTTTGGTGTGCGATGTTAGTTAATGACTTTGGGTTGTACTAACCAAGCAAAAAGTTAACACAATACGATCATCTAGTGCCGAGAAACAAAAAACAGACAATGAATGTGGTTCTTGCAGAAGTCAATAAGCCCGAACCGCAGAATGATCTTAAGCTTCGGGGTGGGCTTTAAAGGCAGTGAAGTCAGGCTAAGTGGGATATTGCAAAGTTGCGTCAGCACCAGAAATTGCGGCGGGTTCAAGTTACAGTGACCACTGTTGTTAATAGAAAAACAGTTAGCATAGTAGCATGACAAGAAAAGGCCACACACTGCGAAGATTTTTCAACCTGATTAGTCTGTTTTAATTGATTCATACAAGCCACCAGAACTACCACCGACTACTTTCTCCAAATGCCAAAAAATGCTTCAAAATAATAATAATAATAACATCGAAAATCATGTCAAAGTTGTCGGACTTAGGTCCGTAAACTTAAAAGAAGAATTGTTTCAAAATAGCATGTAATACATTGTAAATGTTGGCTTATGACACTTTGATAAAAGGGGGACTTATTGATAAACCAAATCTCTAGCATCAAAGGGCACTTACGGGGTGAGGATGGTTTGTTAGCTGAAGAGGGCTTATCGTCCTTCGGCCGAGAGACGCCTTCATTTAAAGTTGGTTTTTTCTCCGAAAATCGGCCTAGGTGTGTGAGAGGCGGAGGAAGTTAAGGAAAATGCCACAATTGCGATAAATGTGTCCCCATCTTCGTTACTTACGTGGTGATGGCGACCTTCTACGAGAAACTGACTTATCATCTGAATTTACGGCAGTACTCGTGTCACCTCCACCGGGCTTCTTCTCTGAAGCGCGACCTTCAAAGCACAAAGAGATTAGCAGGTAAAATATTGATGGCTGAGGAGGGAATTGTGGTTAACGTGGTCACCTAGTTTATACCTTTTTGACGAGTTCGTGTAAATTTATCCCATTAGAGAGCTAGCAAAAGTCCAAATGGAAAACCACTACCTTGGGCTGAATAAAAGACCTTTTGGTGAAATAGCAGATAATTGACGCGCGCGACTTTCATTTCAAAACACCAAATAAGCAAACCTTTACTAAGACCTGTACAAAAACATGAGGCCGAAAAATCAGGGTGGGTTTGCGTGTGAAAAGACTTCACAGATGCTACGTAAATTTCCATCAGAACCATTTTTAGGTATCGATTAAGTCACACGTCAAGCACTGATGATGGTGTGGCTCATGTAGTAGAGAGTCAATGTAGAGATGGAATGATTGACCAGGAAAGCGGGAACACTTGATTGAGTGAAGGCGGCAAAGATGATTAAGCAAAATCATAAGAAAACCATACGTGGCGATGCCGACGTCTTTCGACCTCCGTACTTGTCGTCCTTGTTCCGAGAAGCTGGCTGAAGTCTGCCCGCTCTAGAACCTAAAAATACACATTTTATGCATTTGACGCCAAGAAGAATATTTGTGGGGTTTACGGGGCCTTGTGTTTACTCACGTGGTGATGGGGACTTTTTACTCGGCCGGGCTTTTTCGCGCGATCTCGATCTTAATTCACCTCTCCCAGGACGAGAAGCAAGTCGATCTGCAAAGAAAACAAGCTACATAAAAACTTAGTGACAAATGCAGCTTTGGTAACCCACTCAATTACCAATTAACCACATTCTACTAAGGCCAAAGTGTGCGGGAATTCGACGTTTTTCGTGCAATTGCTATACAGTCGAGTAACGTGGCAGAGGCTGTCCACAGATTGAAATGTTCACCAATCCATGCCAGCACCATGGATTGTTGAAAGATGGAGATGTCGCGACAATGTCTGGGTCATCACTTTGTTGAATAACGCCTCTCCCTTGAGCCAAAGAAATAGAATGTGGAAAGCAGGGACGTATCCAATTGTTCAGTGATTAATCCAGCATTTTTGGCGCGTCAATTTGAACTTAATGTGTGGACGGTGAGGGAGTGAGGTTCGATACAATTCACATGCTCAACCGACAGCACGTCGGCCCCAATCGATGCTATACGGTTTACAAAATAGTGAGAGAAAATACTGGCGTGCAAAGCCGCTTATTTTGGGAGCTGTTGCGATTGAAAAACGGCTCAATCATCTCCATAATGCAGCTTACGTGGGGAGGGGGACCTCCTTCGTGAAGTGTCCTTGTCGTCCCGGGGTCGCACTGGTCCGGAATCCTTTCGGTTGACCCTCGTATTCGAAGGCCTCCCTAAAACGAACAAAAAATGCAACCCACGTCAAAACAGAAGACTGTCATCAACAGGCTTTCAGCTTACACTTTGTGAGACCGGTGAAAAGTGATTTCATGAGCATAACCGAATTAATTAGTGTAAAATCATTGCCTGTCATCACAAAAGAACGATCGACGACCAGTTAACTACAATCTGCCACTAGTTGCTTGACCTGTACTGAAGCTTGATGTGAGTTAGAGCAGACATACTCCGTTTTTGCGGAGAAGGCGAGGAACTGAGGGACGAGGCTGAACTGCTGCTTCCACTGCTGGAACTACTTCCACTCGAGCTGCTCCCACTGGAACTGCTAGTACTTTCCGTAGAACTGCTCCTTGATCCAGACGAACTGGAGGCGGAAGAGGAAGAGACTGTGCGGCGGGCACGTCTTGAGGTGTCACGTGACACCGCCTTCCCGGTTCCGCTTTTCGGCGAAGTGGTGCGTTTCTCTCGATCCGCAGACTTCTTCAGGCGCTCCTCCCGACTGCTTCTGTTCTCGACGACTGGCATCCGGCTAAGCAAACAAAATTCCCACGCATTTTATTTATATTTCCACACAAAACGATTTATTCTGTTTCCGTAAAATTGAAACAATGAACTAGAATAAGCACAATACGCATAAGCCATTATTTTAGCAACAGGTTAACGCTGTCAAAGATACAACGTCTAATAAGCATTTTCTGAACCAAAATGCTTGGTTTTAGGTCTAAAATGAAGTAGAACACCGGCAAATCACCTAGATTGTTATTTTATTGGCATACTAAATTTATAGACTAGCACCGACATTTGTCCACCCCAGTGAATATGTATCTCTTCTGCTTCTGGAATTCGTCTGAGGCCAATCGCGATTCGTTTGGGCGCAAAAAATCACCTTAATTTTGGGAAATCCATTTTAAAGAATTGGCAAGTTACGATCCTACCAATTACAGGCAAATTAATCCTCCGCCGGTTTACGAAATGATCCTGTGAATTCACAGTAACAGGTAAATATTCACACAATTCGAGTTATGTAACTTCCAGCGATCTGCCAGATATTTGCCAACGCTACTTAATCTAGAGTAATCGCACTCAATTAAAATGGAGTTAAACAGCATTTGTAAATAATACCGCCATGACAACCTAAGAAGCGCCAGCCTATAAGTACACTAGCTTTTAGTCAAGTATTTACACATGCGGACACACACACACACATCAGAAGCAAAGATTTTCAGAACACAAGCAGTTATAAGGTGTAATTGCGAGTATGTGTATTTTATACGTTGAGAATCAAGAATGTTAACAAATTATGCACAAAGCAAGAAGGGCACCAGAGAAAAAAGGAGATACATAAGCACAGCCAGCTCAAAATAGGAGGGGTAGACGGGACAGCGCTCCCATAGTCTGTGTTTGTGTGCATATTTATGTACATCGGCTGTGGTACGTGACGTTACAGCTGCGGAGTATACTTCACAAACAACTGTAGCCTATAGCGTAAAAGGGTGTTAGATATATTCATGTATGCATGTATAGCGTCTTCGTCGGTTTATACGTATCTGGAGTCTTACGTATGTCACATGGGATAAAATGGATAGAAAAAAGGTTGTCTACTTTTCGTAATGATGACTGTACACACCCCATAACGGGCACTTATCACAGCGGCGCAGAGGCCAGAAAAACACGAGGGATGGAGCAGAAGAGAGGAAAAAGAAAGATAATACAACAGTACGGGGGAGAAAATAATGAGATCCAGGAAATTGGGAAAACGGAAAGAAATATTTGGATAACGACTAAAACAAAATACAAAAAATAAATCAGTATTGAAAAAAAAACTCGGTAACAGTACAGTACAGAGTAAGGCAATGAATGGGAAGCTAGTTCATCCACTTGCGGCAAAATTGCGATCCACACAAGCACGGTATTCTGCTCGGTTTGTCATCCTCGAAATCAAACTTGTAATCATAAGTCAACTCTTCGCCCTTCTTAATAAACCGCTTCGCAATAATGATGATTCGCTTATAAGCCTCAAAGGCAAATACCTCCGCAATGCAATTCGGTTCGCAGGAATGGTTTATGTACCTCGCCAGGCCGCCGTACATGGTTGCATCCACAATGCACTCATCATCAGCACGAAACATGTAAATTCCGCGGTTCTGAGATTCATAGAGACGCTCACGTCGATTACCCACCTCGTTACGAATCATCTGACCCAGGTACTCGATTATGAACTCGTGTTTGTCAATATCACGAGCGGCGAATAATCCAAGGCCCTGAATTTTTGACCGAGCGAGAAGGACATTATTCTTCCATTCAAACCGCAGACGTCGGTACTGCTGGTACTTGCTCATAATAGGAGAGGACTGCTTGCCTGTTGGAGCTGTCAAAGGAGAGGGTGAGCAAGTACGAGGTATCTGATTTAGAGGACGCAGAAACCCTAAATGAGGCGAACCGACGGGAGTTTGGTGCTGCGCTGAGACTACTTGACAGCCTTCTGGTTCACGATTACGACTTCGGACGTACGTTCTAAGCTTTGGCTCCGAGCGGGCACAACCAGTTGGATTGATCATTATAGGCATCTTGGTGATAAGTTGCATTTTGCCAAACTTGAAAACATATTCGCGGAGGTGCTCCACACCTGGGAGAGATTCTATTGCACGCACAATGTGAGGTTCACAGAGACCAAAGAGATCTTCACCCTGCAATTCAACGGGAAAAAGGCTCAGTGAGGTCATCCTGGCTTGTTTGCGAGAGTCTCGGACGGTGGTGAGAACATGCTGCCATGCCAAATTGCAGTTTCCAGACCTGAAGTGATCGTCAGGAAAACCGCGTTCGCTCGCGGTTACCGTAAACACCGGACTAGGATGGGCGGATGGAAAATCATCAATGAAACTATGGCTACTGCCGTCGTGATTAGCGTGGCAAGAATCAGTGATTGTGCAAGTATAGCGACAACGCCTGCCAGGCCTCCTATAAGACCAATAAATGCGCGTAGTCGAAAACCCAACGGGATATATGAAAGAACTATTGTGGAATCGACCACTCTCCAGGTGTTCAGGTAACAGCTGTCCTATGGAATTTAAGATAAGCGTGCCGACTCGAAAACTATGTGGATGATCAGTGGTCGCCAAGCACTGGGTCCCAATTACATCTTCAACCAGTGAATATTCGTCCCTGGCGAGGTAAACACGACGGGATACGTTGAGTGTCTCCAATCTGCCCACACGTGGTGCTTGATTCAAGTGCATTGGACAGAACATACTTCTGTCTTCATGGAACGAGCAACCAATCCTGTAAGCACAGTGAACATGGTAGACGAAAGGACAGCCGATGGCAAAACAGGGGAGACCGGCGCCCGACGCATGGCAGTGGGTACATGTTTGGAGGCTTGCTTTTTCCAAAGCCTGAGAAACATTCATGAGGCAACCATCAAGAGTCTCGTAGGCTTCGTAGCACCACAGAATGCAATTAACGTGAATCCACCTATCACAGGTGTAATTTAAAAGCCGCCCCTCAATAGACTCATTGGCGTCGCCCACTTGTTTGCACAACTCACAAGTTCGGGTATCACGAAGAGGGAAGCACTGATTGCCCCCAATTTCCGGTTTCAGCCACTTTGGCACTGCTGCGAACGTTGTCATATCAGCCCGAGAAACGGAGGTAAGTGACTTGCTTGAAAACACGGTCCAACGCGGACCTTGCCAGCGCTTTGTTGTGATGGCAGGAAGCAACTCACGTTGAGGCCGTGATTTATACTTTGTAATGGAAGACGCTTTAGACCAATTCTTGCATAGCTTTGAAGGTGGACTGTGTATCAGCACTGGAATCTGAGAAATAACAGGATCAGAAAATAAAGCGTTTGGGATTGTGTTGAGGGATGGCCTCCTCTGCTTTACTGCTGAGGAATATTTAGATTTGCAGGTTTCGCTGCAGAAGACAACTGAAGATGAATTTCCGGATTCGGGAATAGGGCCACTGCAAAACAAAACTTGCATTCCACAATGCTGGCAGACATAACATTCACTTAATGGTTTAAAAGTCTCCAAACACATTCTCTTTTCGGAATAAATCTCTCGAGTGTCAGAACAATCAAAAAGACCAGGTCCACCATTCCGATGACGCTTTTGCAGTTCGGAAAGCTCGACATCGGTAATACGTCGCCGTTTAGGCGAGACGAGTAAGCACTCAGATGTCACTGAAACGGTCCGTTTTGGGGTAAAAAGATATAAGGGATCCGGGGCAGAGTTCGGGGTCGTAGGTGATGGTGGTGCAGTCTGCAAACGAGATTCATTGAGACGAGCTATCGCAGAAGCAAATGCTTTGCTTAGAAAGTTGTTCGATAGATCGATCTGATTTTTTTTATCATTCTTCAAGAAGGACGAAAAGTTTTCGGAATTTACTACATCAGGAACACGAAGTATGAATGGAAGGGACGTATATTTCAGGCCACAACGAGGGGTCAGCCTTGAGTCCAAATTCCATTCAGAGGTCACAAACTCCGAGGCCGATGGTACCTCATGACACGGCAGCTTTCTCTTTTTCAATGCAGGTTCCGGTGGGTACAAGTCAACAGGAATTTCAAGATCTGGTGACGAAACACACTGAGAAACGTTAAGAGAGAGAAGGCGGCCAAGAGTGAGTGGGTCATACGTTTCGACAACTGAGGACTTCGGTGGACATTTTTCTTCGTTTAAACATGGCGCTCGCTTACGCTTGGATCCTCGGAAGGATGATGTATTCCGCTTCTTGAGGTTTTCTAGAACAGGGCGAAACGGCTTCGAATGAGAAAGATAACGTTGCATATCTGAAACCCAGGGGTAAGTAGGAATAAAGCGACTGCTTGTGCGAGGGTCAGTGCTTGGCGAACAACTAGACTTAGGGATCCTAGAAATTGAGTGGTCAGGATAAAAATTCAGCAACTCATTGTAACCCGGCGACATATTGTAGAGTTGATCGTAGGGATCTTGGCGGGAGCACTGTGGATGTCGAACGCGATCCTGTATACGATGGTAGAACTCCTGACCGAAAACTTCAGGGAGTCGTCGGTTCATCGGAACATGCGGGTACACATGCGGTTGAGCCGCAAAACGCCTCCTTGCCTCAATGCTTTCGTGTAGCGAGACAGCGAGACTGGACGGCCGGTTGTTTGACCTCCAGAAAAACGGGTTAGGGGGGCGATTTGATTGACAATTGAAGACTTTCTGGGGCGCTGAGGGACAAAAAGCTTCACCTACGCAAGGATCTGGCTTTTTTTGAAATCGCGGGTCATTCATTGGGAAATGAGTGGGAACCTTCCTAAGGTAGGAATGGTGACAATTGGGACCCGAATAGGATTCGTATTGTAAATGCATGTGATGATAAAGTGTTCGCTCCGCATTAGAAACACTAAGCCGACTTGGTGCAAAATTTTCATAGCAAGTTGAGTGATAACCGTGGCGCGACAGATGACTCCTTGAAGTGGGCGAAAGTGTGGCCTCATTAAAATTGCTAGAAAACTCAGACCACCCCGATGAAAAACGTTCTTTAGAAGACATTTGGGGTGTCGGCCATGGAGGCATAACAGCATCTGACAAAGTGGGTGCTTGGTGCTCAATATTGAAACGACTAACTTCATGCGAAGCATTTGGCAAGGAATATGATATCAGGTTTGATCCTTCATTATTAAAATAGGATGGCGGTGATAACGACCCTTCACTTATTTGATGTTCTGTATCTCCAGTGTCGGTCGAAAAGCAGGTGCTCTCCGAATTTTTCGTCTCAATAGTTCCGCGAGAGCTACTTTTGTCACTCAACATAGAGGTGGGTTCAGTAGAGCTCGGGGAAAAATCTTTAATCGGAGTCGTGCCATCCCAGCTCCCCGTTCGTGAATCAACCTTGCAGTTGATGTCAGTGTGTTGATTACCGACAAAGGCGCGAGCGGCAAGGGGATAATCCTCTTTGTCAAAATTGTCTTTTTGGGGCCATGGTAACGCGTCTCTGTGGTCAACCGACATCTAAAAAACACCAACGATTATATAATAAGGATTTAACGAAGCACATGGTGGTAGAAAATTGGATGCTTGTTACAGGGACAGTCGGATGTTTACAGAATAAAAATGTAAGCACTGGTCTCTTCCTTTCGACCAACTAAGGTCACGAGTAACATTGGCATGATTACTAAAGCAATTTAAGAAAATAGGGACCGTACATATATTTTTAACTGGCGAAGATGATCTCAAACACAGCTTTCAGAGTGACGAGGACTGGCAGTAGGTAAAAAAACAATGAGAATGATGGTAAATCTCCAAGGCAAAAACCCGCAAACAAGGTGTCACGAGGACGTAATTGCAAATAAAAATCATGCTCCGAATGAATGCTTTACGTCTAATTCAAAACAAAAATATTGCAATATTGTTGAGAACAGGCATTGGTCTGAAATGCTTCAAACCTGACACAGGGGCCGAGATGGCGATAGATGCCTACGTTGATGCTTAGATAACATAGATTAAAGATTTATTTAAATATCTGATTGTGAGGCCCATGAATGTTTTGCTTTAACTGACGCGGAATATGAATGTGTAGGTTACGTCTGACTAAGACATTGAAGTCGAATATTGAAGGCTACAGATTGTTCATAATGCTCAATAACCATAAGTAAAGTCCTTAAAACTATGTAATCTGACCAAATTATAGCGTGGCAAAATATTAAATTGGTCCCTGTCGTCGAGTGAGAGGACTTGACTGGTGGTTGCATCAACAAAAAACCAGGAGTAATAAAACACACCGGTGTTGATTAATGTCACTTGCCCATCGTCGAATTCTTATGCACAGAAGCTGCAATTTAAAAATATACCACTCACTACTAATATATTCGCAACGAATAAAATCTCATTTTATGAAACAATACAATTTAGAACAAATAATACATCCAATGAAAATTTTAATTTCCGAAGCTCTAAAAAACAATCATGCGATTTTTGTCCAGGAATATCGGTAACTACGTTATCAAAAGTCACAAAAATAAAGATTACTTACCTGTGCACCAAAATATTCCCACTAAAACGTGAAAAAACATTCAGGAGGACATGATACACTACCTGATCGTGGTAACGACAGAACAGTAAAACAAAGTAATTGCTGACCATGGTTAACTGATGTCTACTCTAGGTAGTGAATTCAGCAAACTATGTTGTGTATTTTTAAATTGAAGTTCGTTAAGTTGATTCGACTGAGTTAGTAACCAACTTTTTTCTCAAGAAAGAATTTTTTTCAAGACTGTATCATTTATTGAAATTATGGTGTCCGTCTTTGAGATAATCTGAAATGTATAATTATTTACTAGTACAATAAAATAACTCAGTAAGGTTTACCTTTGATGACTTCAAATTCACGATTTCATATCACTGCTAACAGCACAACTGACTTATCATCAATGACAATACATTAGTTTCTGGATTTCTTCTAACGAACGCAATAACTTTATGTACATGGATAATTCGCGTTTCGGTGGAAGGGCAGAAAGAGATAATATAAAATTCATTTTAATTTCTGCTAAAAATGCAAGATGTTCACTGCGTACGGAATGCCTAATGCTGTCTTCGCAAGCGGATTTCCCGAGTGCTAAAATGTATACACCACTGCAAATGTCAACTGGCAAACTTTGTTTGCGATATCAATCCCAAAGTCGAGCACATCGTTTTCTACAAATCTCTAATATTAATAATCCAAATAAATTTTCAGCAGCATTTTATCACCGAAATGTCCGTGAATTTTGTTCATCCCTAAACTTTTATTCATTTTCGCCAATTGTAATTTACACATATACATTTTGAGGTGTCAGACACTAGTTAAATGAACGCGATGTCGATAACCAACTCATTTTACATAAATAAAATTACTTAAAAAAGTTTAAATTACAACAAACAGCAAATATTCAAAACTAAATCCGTGGAAGCTTAAACTTACGGGTATTCTAACTGGTTGAAATATGTCTTCGAAACCAATAGTCCAAAACATTTCGCCCAAAGGAAAATTATTTATATTTAAAATTGTGGTTTGTGTAAGACAGATTAATATGACATGTACAACCAGAAGAGCTTTAAGTTTGGGATAATTTTAACTCCGGGTTTCTTCAAAATATTAACCAATATCCCTTATATTCCTGTTAATATCGCCTATATTATAGCCCAGAATCGATTACGTTTAGAATTTTTTTTGTTTAATGAATGGTGTATCATAAAATGTCCTGATTTTTGCTACTTTATTTTGTTCGCGCAATGATAACTGGCAAATGGTAACTTGAGTTAAATGTCCAATGAAACCATCATGTCAAAAGGCAATTCTTATATATTTTATGAGGCCGATTGTTAAATGAGACATTTTTAATAAATGTTGCTACTGAGTGGTGTTTCATGATGAATAAAATGTGTTTTAACCAGCTATGTTTGAGGCGCAATTTGTTAATATCTGCTTCCTACTTTGTGCAGTTATTTCATTGTTTTTTGTTGAAGCAACATGAACATTTTCGGCAAACGCAAGACTCCCCAAGAGCAGCTGCGTGAGAACCAGAGGGCACTTCAGCGTACAATGAGGGACCTTGACCGCGAGAGGCAGCGCCTAGAGAACGAACAAACCAAAATTACAAATGATATTAGGAGAATGGCTAAGCAAAACCAGATGGAGACCGTTAAAATTATGGCAAAGGATCTCGTTCGAACAAGAACGTACATCTCTAAACTTGTAAAGATGCGTGCAAATATTCAGGCGATTTCTTTGAATATGCAAACATTAAAATCGACAGCTCAAATGACTGAGTCAATGAAGCAAGTCACTCGTACCTTAGTTACCATGAATAAGCAAATGAGACTTCCTGCTCTGCAAAAAACTCTTCGCGAGTTTGAGAAGGAATCATCTAAAATGGAAATGAAACAGGAGATGATTTCTGATGCTATGGATGATGTGTTTGATCAGGAGGGCGACGATGAAGCCACTGATACGGTTGTTCAGCAGGTATTTTTGATCACCATTCTGTTTTATGATTTTACTTGTTGTCGCCACAACTTCATTTTATGCTAATCTCGATGCTTCTTGATGTTATATCTCTAAACCTTATAATATTCTACAGATTAACTTTCCTGCTTGAATTACTTCAGATTTACTAGCATGAACCTCTTGTTCTGTTGCACGTTAAATGGGGGTTGGTGGCATTATTCCTCTTCGACTAATGTTAATATTAACTGGATATTTTGTGATTGTAAATGTTTGGTGAATAGTCGATTTAAGGTGAGGCGAAATTCACTTATATTGGTTTTACTTTTGGTCGTCGCCTGCCCTAGAATCTCTCTTCTGGGTCCAAGTGGATTTCATAAAATATAAGATATGCTTTTAGTCACTGCCCGTGATTTTTAATTTCCATAGCTTTAATGTTGTCGTAATTTTTAGTTCTTTCATGTTTCAGATTTTCGTATTTGTTTTTCGGGTTCAGTTTTTCGTTCGAAGATTTCTTGATTTTTGTTATTTCCGCCATTTTCCATTAAAAAAACTATTTTACTCTCTTCATGTCCCTCGACACGGTAATATTTGGTACGCTCTTGTTTAAGTCACTGTATTTAAGGGACATTCTTTTTTACAGACCTGTTGTCTCATCTGCATCTTTTGCCTTTTTTCACCTTTTACTATTCCAGTGATTTTTTTCTTTTAGGTTCTGGATGAACTTGGTATTGAATTGTCCGGCGGTTTACACGAACTGCCTACAGTTGCCGGTTCTATTGGTGGTAAAGAAGGTGTTGCAAAGCCCGGAGGAGCCCTGCCAGTTCCTGCTGGTGCCGACGGCACGGAGTCTGCTGAGACTGACGAACTCGAAGCTCGTCTCAGGAATCTGAAACGCTAAATGACTTGTTAATCTCTTTTCTCATTACTGACTGCCTGTGATACGGCTCGTCTATTGTAAAGTTAAATCGCACTGACACCAGTACTCTTTCCTACTTCCTTATCCCATACCCTTTGCATTGTAACGAGGCATGTCTTTTTCACTAAAGTCTTTTTTTTTACAAATGCTGACTGGGAGGTCCTGTTGCAGGTCAGAATCCGTGTTCGTATTTAATATTCGTTGTTTTACGCTTAGCAATCGATGGCATTGTGGTCAAAATCTGTGCTCACCCTTTTCCAAGTATGTACAGAGCCAATTCAGGCATCTGCATTCCATTTTATGATGCCACCGATGAGGGGGTAGTTTAACGTAGACGGATACGACGAGGTGTGTCCGATCGCACTTCTGGTTTTCGTAATCGACGATTTGCCGTACTCGGATTGACGCTTGACCATGCGCATCAAAGGCATTTTGCATTTAAAGATCACTCGGCTCGCTTTATTTGACGCAAAGCTGATCAATTCATTGCCGTCACTTGCTGTTGGTCGATGTCACCGACGTTGGCGCCACTCTGTTCGAGCTGGAAAACTCGCCAATCACTAGGATCTCCTGGTCAACCTAGCCAAGGTTTGATAAACGAGAACTGAACTCCATTCCTCTTTACGCTGAATTATAGGCGCCAATTGCTGTAGTATGTGGCACATTTCTTAATTCTACTAAACAGACTAGCGCAAAAGCAGCGCGATTACAACACCAATAACGGGCTTTCTCGCAGTTCGCTACAAAATCGTGACTTTGACAGTCTAATGTCACCGTATTTAGTGAAAATCGTTATGCCGTTCTTCCGCGCTAATTATACGCAGTGGGGGAGTACCGTGTGTAAATAACGTGTTATGCGACAGCGGTGGGTGGCAGCGCCTTTATTCCGGTAGTGCTTGTGTTCTCAAAACCCAGTTTCACCCCCGTTGTGACACCATCAATTGTGTGGGTGGTTGCCTTACCTTGTGCTTATCACCAAATCCACTTAATTCTGCCGCATCATCGCCCACTCACGGTCTACAGCCAAGGTTCGTGGCACGTGGGTGCTGCAAAAATACCCGATTTACTCCAAACATCCGACGCACAAACGACCAACCGAAGCCTTCGCCCATGGCCCTTGCTGTGATTCGTGTTTATTCACACCCCTTAATCCGGTCGCTCCACCCCTGACATAGGGTTCCCCTTTTCGCGCGGATCCTCAATTCCCAATTCATTCACACGGATATTTATCTTGGATTATCCTCACACCTAGGTCTCGATGTTAGCGCATGTATGACTCACACATCCGAGGTACAGACACACACGCGCAAACCCCACACACGACACGACAGCAACGTGGTTGACCTCTGAAGTAAACGGTTGTGTCCATGTCCTCCCCTATCTTTTTCTTCATCGCGGATATGAGGGGAACGTAATCGAGCCATTGTTAATTCCGTGGCCCCGGCGTGGTTCAAGGCCGCATGCTGGGGCCTACAACAACCAAATGATGGTCCGAAACAATGCGGCGACATCTGCAGTAGGTGTCATACGCAGGTCCACTTAAAATTCGCTTCAATCAAGAGGGTGTGGAAACCACACATGAAAATGTGCAGACACCCAATAATTAAGCCCGTTATTAAATAGAAGTCAGAGACGCGTGACAGGTGTATTGGTATTAGGAAATAAAAAAAAGGTTACAAGTTAGAGAGGTCTAACTGCAGACCTACAGTTAGGTTACATGATAGAAAGCGTGCTTGTTTGCGTGTCTTGCATTAAATGTATCACAGAGGAATGACGGCCAGGGTTGCTGGACACGGCCTAGCGCGACTGATTGTTCGTCTTGTAGACAAACGCCCTCGCGGGAGGGTGGAGGCTGAGGCCGGCGGAAATGCAGACGGTGCCGCCGCGTTGGATGGCCGCCTGCAGGGTGGGCTCGGCGTGGCACTTGCACAAATGCGGATTGTATTGGGGCTGGGGGTTGGGGTGGAAGTGGCCTGGCGTGGGCATTTGGGCCTTGTGCGGATGCGCAGTGTCCACGGACTTGGGCGGAGAGACCTGCTTGTAGAGCACATCATCCAGGCGCACACGATCCATCTCAGTCGTTTCCAGGATGCACTCCTGAATGAGGTGAATTGAATGCTTCAGTACAAACAATGTCCTAGATCCTACTTTGATTTAAATTGCGCATGTTTAGAAGCCGCACATGAATTACTCACAAGTGGTTAGGCGGGTTCACAGGTGTTGATAACCAGGTACATAAAACTGCGTAAGCCACGTATACGATACCAAAACGCTACTCTAGAATATGCTGAACTGAAACAAACCACTACGAAGAGCGAAGCCACACACCTGAAGATCCTCAAGAAGCCGCGTCCTATCGGAGCTGGTTTTTGTATTTAAACATATGACAGGTGCTCCACGAGGTCCTTCACTGTTGCTGCTAGTCCCCTTCAGCATATCACTCGTTTCCAATTGTTCAACTCGATACAGTGAAATTCCATTGGCGTAGTAGGGCGTTTCGAAGGCGACCACTCGAGTCCCCAGGAGAGTGATGCAAGCACGAACCTGGTAAGCAGGCGATGAGTCCTTTCGGCGCTTATGAAAGGCTTTAGTCACTAGGAGAAGGTCGTTGAAAAGAAAGATCTCCCGTTGATGTGTCCCGGGACGGTCACGCTTCGTTTTATCGAGGACCTAAATGTAAAATATAATAACTACTTACAATATTTCAGCAGTGTTTTTACTGCGAAAAATGACTTGCAATGCGCCATAGAACTTCCCCAAAAAACGCATCCCGCTATTTAATGGATGACCAGCAATACTTGTGTGATTACACGCAGTTAGCCTTCCGGGCTGAAATATTACTGATTTTAAAAGATCTTGTCCTTCGTAAGTGTTTAGGTAGAGGAAAGTTTCAAATGTGTTCTGAACACTGAACTCGTGCAATCATACCTCGTAGAGGCGACAATAGCAGACAAGCCGCCGTTGGGGAAGAACGAGGTTGGTCGGACGAAGGGGTCCAGTCAAAAGACGGTGGATTTTTCGCACCTGGTCGGTGTGGTCTGGCGCTACGCACATCTCCTCAGCTTGGATTCGATCGTAAATCGCCAGCAGGAGATTCCTGTCCAGGTCTTCACCTGCAACATATGTGCAAAAAATCAATTTCAACTTGCCCGCAACTGGGATGGGTTTCACCTGACGTCTGTGATCGGCTGTCAAGGAAATATCCATCGACATAAATTCATGCCACCCTAACACAGGCCCAACGTCTTTGTGCATTTGATCCAAGCGCATCTAATGACTAATGAGCGAATTTTACATGAAGAGATGTGGATTTTGAGCTCTGGACGACGATCTAAGATACGTGAGCGGATGCTACGAAAGTTTAAAAGCTTATAAGTTTATAAACACAACGACCAGACTGGCTGTTTCCTGGTTAGCGTATGTGCTCCGTCAACACAGACACGATATGTCCATTGACCAATCACAGCTTAAGGCGGACGCGTGCCTTGGCATTTCGTGTGTCTAGTGGAGTCGAATGTTACGCAGACAGAGCACGCCTCAGCAATAAATTCCACAAATTTTTCCCCTTACTCGTGCTGAGGATTTAACAACACCTGCTGCCTCCGTGTTAATGACTATTTTAAACTCGATCGGCCTTGGCAACTGCTGTTGCTAGGCTAGTGCTTAGTCATGCCGTGGGGCTTGAAGGCATATTACTGAAGTGCATGTCATCTTGCGTCTGTAAAATGCCAGTCAGGCGACACGCATCCAACAGACAGACCTAAGCGCCACTTACACGTGGTCGCCAATCGAAAACCGATGCCTCCGAGGCACTGGTCTACCCCTGGTTTTAACCCCCAAACTTGCCAACTTCCTGTTTAACAAACCTGTCCGCCGTTTAGTTGACGGTGTGCAGTACACGGGAAGATCGACTGTTTGAAATTTTGACACCCATTAAGATACATTGATGGGTTAGGCGTACGAATGAGTTGCCATTGTCCAATCGTGTTCCTGTCATGAGCAACACACCAGAAAATCTCTGGCTACTCCACATCAGCACTCAACTCGTAGCGACTCATTGAGCGCATCTTAAGTGCGCACGGAAACCTCGGCAAGCCGTCTAATGCGCACGGAAGGTCTAGCGTGAGTGCTGTGTGCGCATGGCTGCTTCCAGGTGTGTGTTTGTATACACCAGACGGGTGTGCGCTGATGACTCACGACTTTGGGGTTAAGGGAAGCGCACAGGCAAGCACAAACCAGGTCAGAAATTTAATGTCTTTCTCTCTACGCGCGTGTGAACTGCCTTGGTAAACTCCAACTCCGTTAGACAAACGCGGAACGCAAAGGTGCACGGTCTCTCCCGGGTGGTTGGGTAACGGACATCAAAACACATCACACCTACACTACTGACAAAGAGCATAATCACTGACCAACTAAGTTAAACAGCATACTACTTATTAGGTTGTGATTCAACAGCAGCAGCAGCAGCAGCAGCAATTTACAGTAAACATGTAGGCAGGAAGGAGAGAGGCGTTTAGGTTGGGCACCGTATTCGGCAGCGCACACAGCAAAGATGAGCCACACACGGACAAACAATGTCCCACAACAGTGCGCCCATTATAGCCTGCATTCCCTCATGACAGGAAGACAAATTTCCCTTGCCTGACACGGATGAAGCCGATTGCCTATTGTCCTTTTTTGTACAAGGTTTGTGAAGCCACGCTATACACTTAGCGTCCCTTATTGTCTCTTGTCTGAACGTATTTGATGGAAATAAGTATAAGAAACGCAAATGAACGACCTCTAGTTATTTTTCGAACCCACAGCCACCTACGGCAGAGTCAATTTCCCCCGATTGTCCGTATAACCCAGAAAAGAAGTCGGCAGGCACCGATGCTCACGTCTCACGATCGCGCCTAGGTGGTGGCGGCAGAGTAAGCCGGACAGCAGAAGAATGTGTGCTCGGAATAAATGGTTGCATTCAACTAACACGAGGAAACTCACCGTCATCCACACCGCGAAGGTTCTTGACAAACTCCTGACGGGTCATTTTGGCGGAAGGCCGGATGTTGGGACTGTACATGTCTGTGTGGAGCATCACGATGGCGTAGGCCAGGATCATCACGGAGTCTGGATTGCGGAACTGTGCGTTCACGCGGGCCGTATTCTGCTCAATGTACGCCGACTGGAATTCGGTCAGAAGGTGCACGATCTTCTGTGACTCGCCCTATGGGAAATCACTTGGGGCATTAAGGTTTCTCTACACGGCTAAGGGCATGCACGGCGTGAAAAGACGTACGGGAGTGCGAAATCGGGACATCAGAATCCTCAAAGCCTCGTCAACATCCTTTTCCCGAAAGTCGAGTTCCCTGATGAATTGCCTAAACAAGGAAGCAATTTCATAGAATCAAATCTCGTAATACGATAACCTGCTTCCATCATAGTCCAACTTGCAAATCGAACGGCAGCTACCCTAAGCAGCTATGGGAAACCCACTTGAAACCCCACGGAGCAGGCCTGAAGAGCTGGATCATGATCTCAGTGGCCAGTTTCTGACTATCAAACTGGAAACAGACTTTTAAAAGACTCATGTGTGCAGCAGACAACCGCAGTCGCCCATGCGTTTTCAGAGGGGGGTGGAATCAATTGTGACAAGTCAGAAGGCCAAGCCCAGAGCGGATCGTAAACACATAATACGAGTTGGAGAAAATTTGGCACGTTGTAAATAAAAAAGGGCGTAGCTTCGCGTGAATCACACCCCGGGTCAGGTGGGTTACCAAAGCAGACTAATAAAAAGTGAGGTCATGCGTTCGCACGGGCCGACGCGCAGCCCAGTTATTCAAACATTCATTAATATAAACACCACCAAAACCCGCGCACATGCCCACACCTTGTCGGGGAGAAAACGACTGGGCACCCAGTGTTTCTCTCCCTCATCCTCCCCACCAGATTAAGACACTACACGGTTTCGACCCAATTCTCGACTGAGTGATCACACACAGTCCGGGAACTTTACACATTTGTTGAGAAGATTTCCGAGAGGTTAAGACAGCGCGAGCACGCCTGTAATTCTCACGGCGTGGAACCCACTAATTCCACCGCGTGAACGCTAATCCAAATCGACTTGACTGATTGCAGTCAACTTCGTAGCACAAACAATAACACCGTACACAAGGCGAAATTCACACGAGGTAGTCGAGTATGATGGACAGGGGCAGTACAAAACAATTTACCGGACTAACAAATGTGGCGTGGGGCAACTGAAAAAAAAACTTCGCTCGTCATTTTTTGCCGTGGATTTGAGGCCTACGTTGAGAAAACAGGGTCGCGAACATCGGTCGGCGCAGTGACTGATTCACTCAGCAGTTTTCATAGTGGCTAAATTTTACGACTGCGCCAGGAATTGAAAGTAGCAGAGTAGCTGGGGGTCAGTTAAATTCAGTCACGGAACCACTGGCCTGCGCTTCAGTTATTATGTACGCCAAATGGGTTTTGAATTAACCTCGAACGGTATCATCCTCATTTGGGATAGCAAGAGTCAAACGTCGATCAATACCACCGAGACATTGGTGGATTTATGCTGGTATCGATTTGACCTGAGTGACCATTCTCCGTTCAAGGCTATACAAACCTCGATCAATACCACCGAGACATTGGTGGATTTATGCTGGTATCGATTTGACCTGAGTGACCATTCTCCGTTCAAGGCTATACAAACCTCGATCAATACCACCGAGACATTGGTGGATTTATGCTGGCATCGATTTGACCTGAGTGACCATTCTCCGTTCAAGGCTATACAAACCTCGATCAATACCACCGAGACATTGGTGGATTTACGCTGGTGTTGATTTGACCTGAGTGGCCATTCTCCGTTCAACATTCCACAAATCTTTGGAGAAAAAAAGTAACCTTGTCTGGTTTTTCTGAGTATAGACAAGCAGATTAGGTAAAAAAAGGGTAGTTAACACGCGGATGCGTGATTATCACCTCATTAGGCGTTTAGACTTCTACTCCCCTGGCTCTTATTCACACACTGGCCATATTTACTTTGTATTCTGACACATTGAGACTGAGTTCGGCTCTTTTTGACAAAAAAAAACGATCTGCTAATTGACACAGACGCAAGACAACACAAAAAGATTCCAACAGTAAAAGAGCAGCTAACGTTTTGACATTTCAACTTAGTCAAATGCCGCAACGCCCCTAACATTTTAAATAAACTGCCAGTTCTTTTAAAAGGTCAACATACAACACGCCCCACTGTTGAAAAGAAACCAGAAAAAATTAGAACAGCGGACACAACCGAAGTGGAAGGTGGTGCAAGGTGGGCCCAAATGAACAGCCCTAGTTATTTGAAGCCACAATTGCCCGTCGAAATCAACTTTATACAAATACGACACGATGTTGTGGCTTAGCGTCTTCGTAATCGGTTTCAGTTCATCATAGGCATGTCAATAACACCAATCGTAAGTCGGTGATGTGACTGTTATCGGAGGGGGGAGCCAGCATAATAGCGCCGACGAGTAAATACTCGACATTTAAGATTAGATATCGCTGAAACTAAACAGGCTACTCACCGAGCCGTTGCAACAGATAAGTCTTGCTTCATTTCGCCCAAATACTCGCCAATAGCGGAACGCGATAAGCCCCTTCGAGTGAGAAGGAACCGAGCTATTTGTCGGGGAGAGGCGTCCAGAAAGCGGAACTTGATCAGCATGTCGATTCCCTTAACAGGTGACCTAGAAAACGGAAAAGGTCGATATGGCGACTGCGTGGCACACCGTTGTGCACATTAGGACATTCCAAGGCAACTTACTTATTGAAGTAATTCAAGCACACGCGATAGAGTCGCTTCCGCCACCTATCGCCGACAACCGGACTACTGGTTGCATTGGGTTTCTGCGCCATTTGGACCAAACTCGTCGGTGGAGGTGATTGATGTATTTTTACAAGCACGGGGGTGTTCGCGACACCGTCTTTCCTGATCGGAGTCACGAAAACGGGTTGCACAGACGAAGGGGGAGGGGACACCATGACTGCTTTCGGTTTTTCTGCGTAAGCCAAGGTGTACATTTTTCCATCGGGAGTGCACCAAACGGGGGCCTGTCTGGGATTTGATCCTGTGCTGGATCGCCGAACCAATACAGCCGCAGTTGTCGGCTGAGTCAGGTAACGTTGTGGTTGCTGTTGCTGTGGGACCACCTTTAGGTACTGCTGATCCGGCTTTGCGGGAACAGCTACATAGAGTTGCTGCTGGGGGACGTGTTGAGAGACATGCTGATCGTCTCTGTCCAGAAGATAGTACACAACAGGTTGTGACTGGGTTTCAGGCGGTTGTCTGTTAACAGGTTCCTGTTTATGGCAGGGCACAGGCAAGGGGGTGCTTTCGGTTGGTAGGGAACCAGAGGAGCACGACCCCGGGGAGGAGACAAATCCGGACGTAGAACCAGTCCCAGTTCCAGGGCTGGAGGATTGGTGGTGGTTCTTTGGTGTCGTCAGATTTGAGCAAGACTGTGATGAAATCTCCACCGACTCGGCGGGTTGGGTCGCAGCGGATGGAGCGGACGATCGACTACTCTTACCCTCTACAGTAAGGTCCGGGATCGAGCCTCCACCTGGGCTGCCTGCTGCCTCGCTTTCCCAATCCAAATAGGCTCGATCGATGACAAGATCCTCCATGCTTGCTAAATGCTGCCCTTCCCGCTGTTCTTCGGGAGGATAGTAAACAGCTGAACCGGTGGTTCGACGGTCAGTCCACCGTCGATCAGACCGGAGTTTTGCGTACTGAGCGCGCATTCGGTATTCACGGTATTTGGTCTGAATCACACGAGCAGCGCGCTGCGCCCTCAGTCTCCCACCATAGTACCGCTCCATAAGGTCCACCTCCTTCGCCCGAAGGTCATCGGAGAGCTCATAAATGGTGGCATTGAGGATTCCCGGCCGGACTGTGGACGCCCGATGCGGATCACCAAAGTGGTTTCTGGGGTGTAGTGTAAGAGCACGAAATTGGTCATTGAGGGTTGCAGTTTTGGAGTTGAGTTGTTGGCTAGAGGCATCAACTCGGGAGGCCACAGCGCTGCCGGAACGCGTGTTGAGGCCTTGATGGCGTTGAGAGACCTGCTGCCAACGCGAGAGGTGGGGAGGATCGTAGGGGAGGTTGCACATTGGCGGGGGAATGGCTATGAGAGATTGCTCCTTATTCAAGTTCTCGGTGCTCAAGGAAAGAGCCCGGACTGATCCCAAGGCAGAACGATTGGCACTCATAACTGTGTGAGATCTAGAATAATTACATATGCCATCATAAATTCGAAAAAGAGGACAAGAAATCATCCTAACTATTAGGCTCTAACTTCAGAAAAGAAATAATCAGCAATATTATTTTTAAATATCCACAAAATCGGAGTCGCAACTGCTACCGAGGTAAAAAATACGCACCTTTAATGCTTATTAATACTTGCAAAACGGAAGCACTTTATGCTCAAGTGACGCATCGCCAACGCTACTTTTCTGCTGCAGGAAAAGCACGCGCCGACCAGGTAGGAAGAAAGGCTGCGGAACGTTGAGACTGCACAAACAGTGAGCGCGCATAGAAGCGTGTAGCCCTGATTTCGCCCAGGTGATTGGTTCACCCAAAACCCAAGCTAGCAACTGATTGGCTGGTCGAAGAGAATTGTATACAGGAAGGGAAGAGGCGTGAGTTAATCAATTAAGTTTGGCCGGCTACGAGGAATCGCGGGAAGTGTTTTGCAACGCCAAAGATTTTGGTGGCATCAAGCAGGTGTCTTAGCATGTGAATAAATAACGTGTTTTGGTTGAAAATTCTAGTTTTGGAGCAAACAGATGCGGCAAATTCCAATGGGCTTGGTTTGGATGTTCTACAATTGCCGAAGTAATTCCACGCAGCGCACCTACTAGCAGCCTTATCAAATATGAAGATGAAGTGCATCCACAGGGACCAGAAGAGTGTTGTAATGAGATTTACATGGAAAATGCGTCAGTAGCGCAGACAACCTGGGCAAATGTTTAAGCTATGCCTTGTTCAGCCGACAGTTGTTAGCACATATGAGAATATAGACACTTCCACTACAATGTCTAGTGGTTATAAGGAAAAAGACTAACATGATAAGCATAGTAATGCTAGAATCGAAAGGTGGACCTTGAGCGTTTCCAAAAATCGACATTTTATTTCACTTTAATCTGTTTTTAATGAATAGTTTAGATTTTCGTCCAAAGAAGACAACTAATGAATCGTAGTTACCAATCGCCTCGCAAATCAAATTCGCCTAATTGAGGTGACACCGCAGGCTTAAGATTTTGAAGAAACAAGAGTCGGTGCGATAAAATCTTTTGACTGAGAGTAAATAAGGCGGATGCAGCCTCGCAAAGGAAGAGGTGTATACGCCACCAAAGATGTTAATGACTTGGTGAGATTGTTTACACCTAATTAAAGTCGATTGACGACATGGGTATGTTCACCATTAGACTTGGATAATGTCCGCATCGAAAGAGGGACCCAACTATGACTATCCGATTTAAGATTTGCTAGTTCATGATTGAAAACACGACAAAATGGGGCTGACGTGTCGAAAGTGACATGAACATAAAACAAGATATAAAAAATTAGCATGCAATTAGCTAGTAAAATTCCCCACTTCAGCAAAATCAGACATCACCATTGTTTAAAAAATAGATCTTCAAATTATTACCCATCATTAAAAACGAGTGTTAGAATGGATAATGAAACGGTAGCAAAAGATACTAGGTTTGTGCAATGGAAAAAGACCTAATGAGAATAATCGAGATAAAAGTAAAACAGAATAAAGAAGAGCTAATAATCTCGAGGACTTGAAGCCAATTTATGATTGGTCGTATAATCAGGGTAAAGGAGCACTTTCACGAAAAAGTACAGGCATTGGGAGTGGTCAATCGATTGGCAGGTGTCCCAAGCAAGACTTGAAAGACTTGGCATTGGCGCAAATACCAAATCAATTTGCTTTAATGTCCAAATAATTTAATGTACCGGTCTAAAAATAACTTACGAATAGTTTTTTGTGGCAAAATTTAATCCACGCTTGTAGTAAAATCCACTGAACGTAGTATTTTGGGCTGGCAAGAGAGCATGGACAAGTAAACCCCGCGTAGGGCATGCGCTTACAGCTAAAAAGTGGAAGTGCGGAGGCGCACCGCAGACGACAGCCACGCGAGTCAAGCAACACCACACCAAGTGATTCTGCAGCCTTCAGACGTGTTTTGCGCCTCGTCCACGCTCTGAACGACGGAGCGCGTTCTGATTGGTTCCTGGGCGCCTAGGTCGATGGTCACCTGCACCAATCGTGCGTGGGCCAGGTGACTCAACCAATGGCTGTGCAGAGGTTGAGAGTCTGTGCAAGGCCGAATCGCTATCAGCTGATAAATGCAAACGGCGTGCAGCGAGTTGTGTGCAAACTCGAGACACGTATGTCCGTTGGAGTCGAATGTATTTTAGTGAAAAAGTCGTTCGAATTTTATTTTTAGTAGGTCGCGTTCATATTGGATCAATTAATACTTGAGCCCTGGGAATGTGCCCACTCTGTTAAATAAATATCCGCTTCATTTCGAAATTAATATTTATCGCCATGGTTTTTCCAGGTTAAAACGGTTCCATTAATCTCCTCTTTAATGGGTTGTGTCTCAACGCAGATGAGCACGTTGTGAACGCCATGCAATGCGTTTGTATTGATTTGACTCTATGCAAATTAAGCCCACTCACCGTAGCCTCAATTCAGGTAGTGCTAAGCCGGTGCTGTATGTTTACCAGTGCGTCAAGGTTGTTACCGTCGCGAAGTGTACCAACTTCATGACCTCATGCTAATTGCAAATGCGTAAGCTATCCCTCTTCTGAATCACTCGGACGGACGATTTTGCGGACGATGTAAGGTTGTCCGATTCGGACACACGTTCAATCCATTTTATGGACCCACAACCACACAGTTTGGGTATTCGCAGTGTTTTAAGTCCGCGCGACCAACGTTTGGTCATAATCTTACACCTTTCTCCAAGAACATGCCACAACTACTGCAATTGTGGAAGACGAGAAGCGTGTGCAAATTGACCTTCATCATCTCTGGTCGTAAAGTAACGGGCGATTAGACTCTACTCTCCATCTGAAATAAGCACCCACCGCCCACTTGGGGACTAAATATTGTCGGGAACTATCTTTTCGGAACTATCTCATATATTAACTCTAACTTCTATGGGTTTAAATCGTCGTTGGGGTTGATTATGTTCGAATACTTTCATTTAAAATCCCCTCAGAAAATATGAGCAGAAGTGTTGCAAACTGAACAACCGATACTCAAAAGTAGCTTATGTTTACGCTTTTGAGAAATCACGATTCGCCCCTTTCGTTTACCAGACTTTGATTTAAAAATGGCTTGAGAAGAATCATCCACTCATTTTTAAAGCTCTTGGGCTCAACAAATACCACGCGTGAATCGCACCGTGATCTACTTTGTTGGTGCTAGTAAAACGATAAGGCGGATCCTCCGTTTTTAAGGTAGGTGACATCGTGACACGTTATCGGATCTAGCTTCGCAAATCGCTTCCTTTATCACCTTCTGAGAAGCTGTTATCTTGACGCTATGACGAGAAGAGGGGTCGCAGGAACTGATTTTCGCCGGAATTAGTGTCTCTTGAGCCACGGCACACGCATACACACATGGACCATTTCGAGATCTGACTTTGTTTTTTTTTTAAGGGAAGACTTCTTTATGGCATAAACTAGTGACGCACTGTGGTCTTTGGTACAGGAACAGTGGACCATCAGGCTCGCAAACTACCGACCTCGGGTGTCAAATTAATGCGTCGACCGTCAGTATTTATCAGAGCCATGTCACAAGTTCAAATGGCGGAAGGTGACAGCGACATTACCTCACAGTTCAAGCGAAATAATTGGAGAGGCCAGGCGTAATTTATAAACGGATTGAATTTAACAAGCAAAGCTAATATTTCAAGCAGCATTTACTGCGTAAATGAAAAAAACACATGACACAACACCTGGTTGTATTTAAATCCTGGCGAGTTATTCTGAGAAAGAAGATGTTTTGACAAATGGACCAGAGCCACGTCCACAGTCGAGCACTCGAATTTGGAGACCAGGAGTCACCTCAGCTGTTCGACAGCATCTTAGGATGCGTGGTGGCCTTCCAATAAACAGATTTGGAAGATTAGGCGCATACATAACAATCCCCCTCTGACTTGGTTGGACAATTCCGCGAACGGAGCAGAATAACCACGGCTTGTCTTATTTTGGCAGCTAGAAGTTGCATCGACTGTTTTCCACTTAGGAAGTTTGATGGCCACGATTAAGCAAGGCTTATTATGTGTTGTTTATTGGCTGAAGTTACGTCCATGTGCATGCGCCAGCATGAAATTGGAACACAGGTACTTTTAAAACCTCGATCCAGGCCATAAAATGGTTTGCGTGTGCGTGTGTGTGTGTGGCCGATGTTTTATTCTACAATGCATGTCTTTATTGTTTTACTTATATCCACACACGATATTAGTTTTTAAGCAAGGCACCATAGGCATAATTAATAAGGGTTTATTATCACTCAATTAGGGAATGGAAACGGTTCCGTACTTCTTAATTGCCAAATTTTTGACGCATTCGACGTTTTAAAGTCGGCGCGACTTCCGTGTGATCCCGATTTTTTTACATCTGTCAACCAAGGCAGTGTACTGACCATGGCAAATCTTGCTATTCAAGAAATCCAAATTATAGTTAAATGACCTGAAATTATGAAAGGAAATTTTTACGAGGTCACTGGAAATCCGTGCTCCTCGATTACAACACCGTTAGTTCATGTCAAATGTTGTATCTTAAGGCCAACTAGATTACAGCCCAGTAGATATTGTGTGCCTACAGGTTTCATTGCTAGAGCGTTTAATATTTTTATCTTTTGCCTGTGTTTGCATAAATTCTTCCCAACCAAGGGGAAAGTAGGTTGACTGAATCGTATCCAAAGTGTGGGATCCAGTGGGCTACTTCGTCAGTTCTGACTGAGTTTAACGATCTCTTGTATACAAGAGTGAAATTGCGTATTTTCACCAAGAATTTCTAAAGAATGTTGCGAAATTATCAGCACGACGAGTATGCGCCTAGTTAAGATCAAGGTATGAAGCTATGTGGGGATTCTTAAGTATGAAAAGGAATTACTAGAGCGAGGACGACTCGAAATAATTTCTTTGTCCACAAAACAAGAACCCATTTAAAAAAGGCTAAGATTTTCAAGCGAGCTCGGGCTAGCAGAAGGGAGATGTTTGAAGTCATGTTAGGTGCTTTAAGGCCTATTGTGTTGCCTAATTTCCAAGATGCAAGTCATGAAAAAATTGCGATTTTTTTTCGGTTGATGCGAAATAAACCAAGTCATTAAAGCGCAGGATCAGAGATCGATTCAATGCCTTTCACTGCTTGAATTATCTGAATGTTTAATTGTTTTCATTGTTCGCAAAGCTTGTATGTTTCGGAGTGCATTAATTTTCATCGCTTTGGCGCCAGTGACGGTGTCGCATTATGCATTTACACGCTAAACACGGTCAATTTAAAACTGATCCACCCTTCTTTCTAGCAAAAATTTTGCTCATTTAATTTCAGGAATACTTAGGAGCGTCATTTGAAATAACTGTTTTCCTTTCCACTTCCTTTTTATTGGCTGAATTAAATATCCATGTAATCGCCTGCAGGATTAATGTGGCTCCTTAAATAATCGTCGATCGTGACCACAAGAAAGAGAAGGGGATTTCATACTCACTCCTCCCAGGAAGCACATGGTGAAAAGCTCACTGAAGTTATGGCATGATGCCTCCTTTTGATGCCATTGGTTGAAAACCGAGATTTGAACCCCGCTCAGCAATTGTGGATCGGGGTAGCTTTTCCCATCGATGAAGGCCCCTCAGCCCAGCTCAAATAGAACTCCTCCCCCAAGTCAATGGGAGTTCGCAAAAAGGGAGAAACGGGTGTGGTGAAATCAATCGCATTCCCAGTTGTTTTGCCAACCACAATCGATATTTGAATCAAATTCGATTAACTGAGTTGGGAGAAGTACGATTGCTGCTGTTAATGCGGCGTACGCAACGGCGAGTTTAACTTAGCCATATCTAATTTTCCTCTTCATTTATCGTAGCCACACCAATGATCCAATTCAAGGCTTATGCACTGTGGTTTTAGCAGAGTTTGAGGCGGGAGGTAATTGATTCTAGTGTCAGCTCGTTCAACTAGAATACAATTCTGCTTCATCCAATCGGTTGGACGTCGTCCGACTGAATCGACGCTATCTATAGGCTCAAATCCAGTGTATATCCACCACATGGCAAATTAATTCATTGAAAACACTTGCTGCGCCCACTAATGGATTTTTACAGCTCCCATAAAATGCGAGTCGGCGGAACTAAGAATGTGATTTTTGCAGGAAGCATTTATGAATTAAAAAGCCATTCAGGTGAGTTTCCATTAATCATCCCGATTCACAAAAGGACGTAATTAATACAACCCTTTAACATCTCACCGCACTAGCCACATTCTAAATTAATTTATCATAAAACACGAATGCATTGCAGCCGTTTCTTGCTCTTAACAGGGAACAGCTTCAGCTCTAACATGAAGCATAATGATGGCTTCGATAAATCAGGTATGTCTAATTCCGAGTGAACGCACATAAAAAGCCATGGTTGTTGTATGCATTAATTTTTTTTTTACAATAATTTTACAGATATTTACAATAATAAGTAACAAGATCACAAAAGCTCACTGTTTTATGACCAGAATGGACTCGGAATTACTTAAGGGGGACGTGAGTTTTCCCGTCTTTGTAGACAGTTAGCTGACACACTCTACTACGCCGCCTGCTACCTCCTAGTAAGGAGGCCACTGGAGAGAACAGTAAACAGGTACTGATTCCGTCTTGGCTCTACGGTGTCCCCTTGCATAATTCGGTGGTCGGGGCCGAGGTCGGTTGTATGGACCAGGTGTTGGTCCCTGCTGGAGTGGCTTGTAACTAGGGCGGCATTGGGCCTAAGTATTCGGCCGGACCCACCTTTCACATTCGGTGTGGTTGTCTCAGTGTCCGTGCCGGCCATGTAAGTGTATGTTCAAGCCGAGGAATGACCTACAACCCCGACTGAAGTTACCTACAAGGGCCACACTGACAACATTACCACTGACAAAGGAACGATTCGCTTGTTTAAGCAGTAAATGAAAACGAAGATTGAAAAGCTGTCGGCCAATAGGCCCCTAGACTTGTAGCTCCTGACAACGCATCTGAGAAACATGATAGGTTGATATGACAAGGGACCTGCCTGTTACCGTGATCTACGGCACTCTTGGTAACCGCTTCCTTACTTTACCTTGTAAATAGCTCAGTTTTCACATAAAACACCTGTTTAGCCGTAGCCATTGTAGGAAGTAGTGGAAACCGTGTTGGGTTGATACTTGTATCGAGGGTGGTATTCAATTGTAACACATATTAGTCCGCATATTTGTATCAGAAAATGTACACCTGACGAATTCTAAAGCCTTTCTGTCTTTCAGTGATAGGAATTATTTTAAATTATTGATACTACTCAGTCGCTACTGCGCTTAGCCGTTGTTATAACGCACCAGAGTTCACTAATCCTAATGACAGGATCTTTACAAGTCGATTTAGTTGTGAGTTTAAAGACTCAAGAATGTCTACACTTGCGTGAAGATCAGCAAGGCTATTTATAGTCATAGAAGGGAAAACTGGAGAGATTAAAGAAACCACTAAATTAATTTAGGGAATTTTAAAGTGCTTTCGCGCTATGTTAAATAGAATTATCGAGCTACTCAGAGGTCCATTGTTTGTTGAGAGTTAATGCTTCTCAGCCCGTCTTAGTTGCGCTTATTCTAGTACTGGGCATTGTTATGCCTGTCACGGTGACAAACTGTTTTACACATCAACTCCGTTTCGTTTTGACTTTTTTGTGCGTGTAGTTCTGCTTCTTCCAACTCCGCAGTGTGACAAGAGTTAAAAAGGACCATGCCGCGGATATTTCCAGGCTTTTTTATTTAGAAAGTCATTTTTAGCAAGAATGAAGTCTGCTCAGTAGTGAAATTGTGAAAACCGGATAAAACAATCCAACTATCCCAGAATCTGTGCTTGTTTACGACGTTCCACTTTTGTCACCAGCGTGGAGACAGGAAGTCAGCTGATTTAAATTTTAGACATACCGCGCGTGTCTGCGTCACTTTGCCAACTAAGTAGCCCTTAGTAAACCTAAGTATGTTTTCCTTAGGACCTGGCAACCACTTTCGATAAACAAATACCGGCAGTCCATGTTTTCGTATTTGAAATCTTATCCCGAATTTTCACAACTATGAGTTCTGCGTATACTGATATGGTTCTTTTCACGTGCCGTTCCGGATGGTTTTTATTTTAAATTTACTCTAATCTGGCAACATGGCAAGTTGATCCGTTTATGGATTAAAATCAACACTGGATTATTTGACAGTCGCAATATTAACAGTGTTACCTTAATAACTTAACATTTTGGTAAGTCCTAACTCTTTAAGACATTTCGGCAAAACCTTTAGGTGACCTTGAGTGTGGCATTCAGAAAAGTCGAACTTAGGTCGAAATTGCCGGCACAGGCAGAATTTCAGAATTAGTTTCAACCTTCTGTCGGTGACTTCATTGGTTACCTTGTACTTTGGTGTGGGGTAAGGAATGGGTGGGGTGGAAACTAAATCCCGACTGTGTCGTGCATGTAGAGCGACAGCCGGAAATATTTACTTCGGTCAGCCCGTGGCAGACCAGAAATGCGGACCGGAAGGTAGTGTCATGAATGACAGGCACCAACAAGGATATTTCCCCTCTGCTACACAAAGATCGCTCACCAAGGCAAATATCTTAAAGTATCCCCGACAAACACTCGAAGACGTTGATGGATGTGAAGCCTGACCAAGCGTAAGCACGAGAAAATAATATATTCTAATCATAACACGTGTTTCCGGCATTAGAAAAAAACTGTACACTTCTTTAAAGCCCATGTTCTTGAATCACGATGATGCTATTCTACGAACGAAGCTTTATTTAAATAAATAAGAAGCAATCCTACTATGCCATGACCCCAAGGTTGAACATTAAGATCCCAAAATTTCATTCTATTGCTGCTTCTATCCACACCAGGGAATCGACCCATTTGTAATATCGATTGGCTAGCGAAAAATTCTCATTTGCAGAGTTCTCTAACGGATTTTGCAGGAACACCCACAAACATTAAAACCGAATGGCCTTTAGACATTGGAAACTCCTGTTTCGGCGATCTTCTCATCCGATCCTGCTTCCCCCCCCCCCAATCTTGTGGAGAGCGGATATCAGAAAGGTTATCACACATTAACGACGCGGGGATTGTGCGATGGAAGAAAAGAATGCCTCTTCAGTCAAGGGGGGTGCGAGATAAGGATCCCTCGTTAAGATGACATTCAAGAGTGACAATTTTTTTTATCCAAGTGAACGTGTGAATTTGGCTGTCACACACGATAAATCATAGGTCGATTAGTCTAAACAGGAAAAAAGCTGTCGAAAACAACGCACAACACAGATTAATTTACTATGTGACGAATTTGATGAACGCGAAACTCAGCGTTGAAGAACCGGTGTCTTATCTACGTCAAAATCTTCAGCCAGGAATTGATTCCTTTATTCTGGCACTAGTATATCTAAAAACGGTACACGATCGTAATACAGGTATAGATCTTGCTGTAAGGGGTCATCATTAATTCAATCTAAACCTGGGCATTTTCTTCGGCCGGAAATCTCGCTTTAGCAAGCGCTACCATTCGAAAGGGAATTCCCTCGGATACGAAGGTCTTTTCCTACCCCTAGTGAGTTCACACAGTGAAATATTACTTTCCAGTATATTAACTTGTGGTATTTATGCTATTCACTCGGATGAATGAGTCTTGGTTATTTAATTTGTCTCTCAGAGTCTTCACAGGCAGTCAAATTCAATGTCGGCTATTCTCCTTGCCTTGATAAATTCCTCCATCGAGAATTAATCTGCCGGTTAAGGGAATCGAAAGTCGAGCAGGCGTCTTACACCCGTTAGGCTGCTTCCTCACCAATATAGGAGAACTTTGTGTAAAAGTGGTGCCGGTTGATGGAATTCACAGTGAAGCAAAATGCTAGGGACTGGGTGACGTCCGCAATAAGCTACACTAACTGCGGATGTTTTTCTGCAATAAGCACGTATATGACATTGAGAAACGGGGTTTAAGGATTAAAGGTTGATGATACTAGACAGATGATTAGTGTTCGTCTCTTCGTGAGAACAGCTACTCAGACTTTTGCCCTTTCGTTGAATCAGTTTCGTGATTTTGAGTGATAAGTCATTAGGTCCGACTAACGTTAGCGCTTATCTATTCGATAAATTTACCTGCCTGTCTTAGAGTATTTTGCATACTCAGCGTTTTTAGTGACTTCAACAGAATTTCTTAGTCTACGTCTGACCTCATGACCTTTTGATGAACGAACTTAATCTTTACGAGTAACCTAGGTAACGTGCTTTAGTGTTTGTTTATAGTTACGTGAGAATTCGGCTATTAACAGAATTCCTTAGGCCTGAATACGAATCCCACCATTAATAAGTCGAACTATATACTTTTAGTGTAGGCTTTTGAAGCGGTGTTCGAGGCATTTACTTAGCTAAAGGCTTGGTTAAAACCCTCTTCACAAATAAACTCCTCAAAATCTAGCCTTGTTGTCACAATTTCATCGAAACCATTTCTCGAAGAAGTGAAACTGGTATTTGTTAAAACAACTCGAACCCATTATAGCATATCAATTTGGTAGGACAAACCAACTTCAAGAGATAGTTTTAGCTGATAGTGCTTTAGTAGTATTGTGAAATTCTCAGACAGAGCACTTAGGTAAAGTCTGAAGTTTTACGGTTCCACAACACGACAAAAAGTTTTCTTTGCAATGGTTCGAATGTTTCCACAAATGTGTGATCACGCTTTAAGCTCTCTTCGACTAAAACAAAAGCCTTTACAACAAGGTAACTTTGGTTGACATTGTGGATGTCTCCTTCTAATATATATATATTCTAGCCATTTAGATCACATGCCCAACCTAAAATCGTGTCTTACAAGCATACTTTTATTGCCGTCATTTTTTATGTGAAATTCAAGCGAGACACTATCATTAGAATGTCGTCAGATGGTCGAGTGCTAGTAGCTGGCCATCTGCAGCTTCATTGAATAATTTTGTTAAAGTGTTTTCCATATGGCCAATGCCGGCGCCATTTTTTGCGTCTAGGAAATCTGTGGGCATTATAGTTTGCAGATGTCTGAGCTCCCATCTGTGGAAACTAATTAGTCACAGGAATGTCCGCGAGAGGTGAATAAGCCTAAGTGCTCAATTTTAATCTAATTGTATTTGTTGAGGGCTTTCTAGATATTTACTGCAGGATAATGAAGTGTCTACGCACGCCCGTTTGTTTGTGGTCACCTTAAAGTACACATCAGGGCGTGGCCTTCTGTGAAAAGTCCACGACTCTAAGTCTAGGACCAGTTACCGCCGGTCGTCACACGATAAAAGTCCAATTAGAATCGACCTCCACGACTGAGCCACTTAGGCCGATCAGTCTATGCACGCTGCAACACAACAATACAACTCCAGCGGTTTCTGTGTAGTCTCTAGGTGGGTGAATACGTAGACACCTGCAGAGAACTCAGGCTTGTTAATGAGACTGCGATCTGCAAGGGCTATCGATCCACTTTTCTCGCTATACAAGCCTTTTCCAATCATCTGCGTTGCATTTCGGTCCTCTTAGGACACATTTAGTATCAATGTTCTAGAAAATCTGGGCTGATGATCGTAGGTTTATATGATTTCAATGAATCCATCCAGCCGTGCTGACGCTATATCCTCGTAGTTTAAATTAGACCTGATTTTCTGAAATCGCCTGGAAAATCCCATTAAGAATCTTTAACCAATGAAAGCGGTGTGAACAAAATGGGAGAAGCAGTCGAACAATGGTCCTTCAACGCCAGAGGAGATGGGAAACCCCACAATTAGATTGGAGTGGGGGGTCGGATTGCCACTTCTCAAGTTCGC